CGCGTCCCAGATCTTGACAGTCCTGTCCCAAGACGCTGACGCTAGCTGGGTCGAGTCGTGCGAGAAGGCCACCAATGTAACTGGACCGCTATGGTCCTCGAGCGTGTGCACACACGTCCCGCTGCTCGCGTCCCAGATCTTGATAGTGCTGTCACTTGACGCTGACGCTAGCTGGGTCGAGTCGTGCGAGAAGACCACCGAGCTAACACTACTGCTATGGCCCTCGAGCGTCTGCAGGCACGCACTCCAGCCATTACCCATAGCTGGCTTGATGGTTACTCCCCTAGGCTCTTCATGCTGGAATAACCTTCTTACTATGCTATTAGTTGGACTGAATAGCAGAGCACATGCGTAAGCTTGTAATGGGTAGTTCTCGATTACCTCCTTATAAGACATAATAAATCGTCGTGCGTCGTACACGATCTTGTTCAATACATCCGTGTCTCCAAGTCCCTAGCCACGTTAGTAACTACACCGGGAAGGCCGTGTATAGATGTAGTCGTATTAGCCGTACCTGGACTAGATCCCATAGCCTTGTTATCGAGACTACCCCTTTGGCCATGCTTCTGCACAAGCTGAGCGCTTCTAGCCAGTAGAGATATTTTTGCTCAAGAAATGCGCCTATAGCCCTAGTGGTTTCTTGATTAGTAGCACTAGGTTTTAAGTCGCAGAAGTGGTCAACCCAGTACACACATGGATAGCGTGACACGGCTAGAGGATCGGGAAGAGGTGGCTCGACATCCTCTATAGTATATCCAGGTGCTTGAAGGTTATATACATCTCTGCATAGTGTCTTATGCAGAATTGCAAGTGATTTCGCGAAGATGTCTTGATGTACACATTCTATACCATCTAGAAAGACCTCATTTAACGCTTGTGTGATGAGGAAGTCCTTGGCTGACTGATGCACAAAGTAGACTGTGTCATCACGCAGCGTGAGGAATGATCCGCAGAGACTAATAATCTCCCGCACAGACTCTAGGTCATCAACAAGGTCTACAAGCTGCTTAGTAAGCACAACTAGCTCACTAACTGTAACGGGTCGATATAGGACAGCAGTCACTGCCAGCACGCGCAGACATCTTCGAGCGCTACTGGGCTTGCGTATCTGATCTAGCATCTGCCTATAAAGTGAGTCTAAACCAGGCGGGAACTGGGCTAGCTTCTCCAGCACGTCCCACTTCGGCGTCGCTTTAAGGTCTTGGCACACTAATGCGACCCAGAGGAAGGTATCGTTCGCATTTGAGGACAAGTGCTGGAGCACCGCGTCTTGTACCTCTGGCGTGTAGCGCTTCTCTTGCGCTAGTTGGCATACGTTTTGCTGAATAAAGACCTTAACCGCTACTGCTATAGACTCGGCGTTAAGCTCAAGACTTAGTCGCGTTTTGTACTCTGCACGCTCTAGTTGTTCCTCGATAACTGGCCAGTTACGACTAGACACAATCCACTTAACGCGAGAGGACGCAGACGACTGCTTAATAATAAAGCTAAGCAACTTTGGTAAGCATGTCACGCATTCGTCGAGCGCGTCAACAATTAGGTACGTTGTGCCTAGGCTTACATCTTGCAGCACGTTGGCGAAGATCTCTGTTAGGGCGACCCAGGCATTCGCGTCTTCGAACAAACTTTTGCCTGCGTGGTCGTGCTTCTTGCGGACGTGCGATATAAGCGACGGCTGCTGGTGCACAAGCATATATAATAGGCCCCGCAGCACAGCTGTGGCACTGTTAATGCGCGAATCTGTCGCTTGGCAGAAGAAATACGACAGAAGAGTATTCTGAGGTAAAGAACTTCGTAGTTCATTGATGACGCCACACAGCAGCATCGTTTTCCCCTTGCCAGGATCGCCTTTAACCCAGAGCAGTCGGCTGTGCTTGTCCTCATGCCACTGCCTGAACGCGGTATTGTCGAGGATCCAGCGGTAGGAGTCTGCTAGCAGTCCACCTTTTGTCTCTTCGATGCGCTTCTTGTCATCGCGCGGGTCTGTTTGGCGTATGTCTTGAGTGCATCGTTCCAGCTTGTGAACCTCATCCATCAGACGCTTGAACGCGCTCGGTCCTCCTTCACCGTAAGCCGGCGCAATCTCAACATCTAAGACGCCTGCTAACGAGTACCACGCATCTTCATCGCGTTTAGTCTGCCTGTCGCTTTTCCACTGCAGACGCTGCTTGATACTAAAGCAGGGAAGCGGAGTTCCATTAAGAGCTTCAGGCGGTATACCTGTTGTCTTGTGAATCGGGAGCTTAAGCGACATCTTGTTGCCAAGTATATTTCCTTCTTGAGAATAAAACTCAACAACAGTAGGGGCGAGAAGCTCTTGAAGCGTCCAGCCACGAGTGAACCACCGACTCGACCTGAATGCAAGCTCCGAGCTGGACCCTACAGATATGCCATCAGCGTTGATGGACACGTCTGAGAGGAAGACGTAACACTTAGTGGCAGAGCGGTACCAGTGAAACATGGACTGTATCGCCCATGAGTGCTCAGCCTTGTCTGTTGTGTCGATGCAGCACGTATCAATCCAGAAGTACTGGAGATTGTCGCGCCGCGCCCGTTTTCCGCAAAAGAGGATCTTCTCATAGCCCGGCTTTGTCTTGCCACCACCTGTCTTGAGGTCTGCGAAGGTCACCTCGTCGCCATCTGCGCCCCAGGTGTGTGAGAGTATCGCGTAGGGGGGTATGTCGCCATCGTCGAAGCTGTGGATGCTAAGCTCTTCGCTTTCGCTGTACTGTAAGAGCCGCATAGGTTCGTATGGGTGTATAGTAGGTATATGCGATGAGAACAGTATTCGAAAGGCTGAACTTAACAGCCTAGTCGCGCGGGCGTTTGTTGGCTGCTTTCCTGCTGCCGATAGATCGTCAGCATACAGAGAGAATGACCAGCAGGTCCACCAACTCAGATACTAGTAGGACCTTGTGATGCGTCAAGATGTCGCCAGCTGAGGCTGCCAGCTTTCGTTGTGTTCTCGGCTTGGTGGTGAAGCCTGTGAAGCCCCAGGCGGGGTAAGGCGTGCCATGCATGCGCCGTGCACTTGCTCGCAAGGCTGAAGCGCGTCTACATCGAGAGCTGCAAAGATGATGCCTACGGAAGGCCGCGAGGCTAACAGGATCCACAACTAGTCTGCTTATAAGAATAGCTAGCAACTGCGCGCAACACCTGATAGAAGCTTCTAGAGCTCTGCGCCACAGCTTCAGCTCTTTTGGCATAGCGCAGGTGTACATCATAGGCCGCTAAGCGTTCATAACCCTGCTATGTCAGCGTTCTAAATCCTCTCGCTAAACGCGAAGGATTAGCACTCTAAGCCGGACAAACTCGGAGTGCACCTGAACAGAGGCTGCATGTCTTGATATAATACGTGTAGCTTCTTTAGTCTCTCATGAATTATACAGGACTTCTAAATAGACTAGCTTTGCTTCTATAAAGAGTGCAACAGGGGTATATTATTATTGCAGCTCTAACGCTCAACATGAAAGATTTATATACACCCCTTAGGTTACTGTAATTTTACTCTTCGAGGCTTATAATAGATAGAAGTAGGCCTAGAGAGAATACAAATATATACTCATATCTCAGAACCTCTGTAGCTTGGGCAATGTTGGTGATTCGTTGCGCAGGGATATTCTACCCACAGGGACGGACGTTAGAGATAGGGCTAACAGTAAACTACGGGTACTAATATGCGACGGCTTCGGGACTTACGAGACGCTAAAGGTTCTAGAATTTTGCTTTTAGAACAAGATTATCTTATATCGTCTTCTTTCCCACACCTCGTATAAGCTTCAGCCCTGTAATGTTAGAGTTTTCGCCTCCTTAAAGACAGCCTATCGTAATCAGGTTGAGCGTCTATATCGCAGAGCTGTAGAGATTATTAAGAAGAGCCACTTCAAATATCTCTACGATCCTGCAAGGCGGACGGCGTTTACTAGGTGGAATATCAAATCTGCATAGGCAGCGAGCGGTCTACTCCCTTTTAATTCATAAAGAGTGCTTGAGGGCACACCTAAGCCTGCAGTTGAACAGCCAGGACTAGAGGTAGTGCAGCCCTGTCCCCAAGAAGAAAAAGTGTTAGAATCGCCTGTAACGCCAATAACCCTAGTTACAACGGATATCCTTTCGTCGTTGCACAACTTAATTAAGCAAGACACTTGTGGACTTGATGAGCCAAGGAGATAGCGCCTAGAGAGACACGTTCAGAAGCTTGCAAGGGCCGCCTAGATGTCCTTTGCCAAACAAACCCTTTTACAGGCTCATAACGGACACTTAACTAAGCATAACAACGAGTCTAAGGTTCGCCGATCTACTAGGTCTGTAGTCTTTGGAAAGGCCAAAGTAATGAGTTACGAGGATCTTCAGGACGCCCGAGCGAAGCGCGCGGAAAAAGAGAAAGCTAGGGTAGATAAAGTGAAGGTAAAACGCGGTCGTAAGCGCAAGAGTGCCGCGCAAGAGGAACCGCCAGCACCTAAAGTGGTGCGAACGAGTGGAGTGTTGGAGCGGGCATAGGGCTTATAGAAGGCCCCGGTTGCACATATGTATTGAGATAGCGTACCATTCAAGGTTAGATAAGTTGTTTGAAGAGAACTTAATGTAATTAATACTATAGCACATTCCATACGTATGCTTATACAGCTGATGGTATCAGGTCGCGTTTTATTTCACGAGCTCCCTAGTTGATCGTTTGTCCGACTGTGCATGTTAGAAAGAGCAAGAACGGTATCTTCCCAAATAACTTACTGTATCAAGTAAGACATGAAAATCGAGTACATATTGGTCTTGATTCTAAGAAATTGGTCTAAATACTCGATAATCTTTTGGCGTCAAAATACCCAAATTATACGACATTGGGTCTAAAGGGCGTGTGGAATTCTTGATTCGTTGTCAAACTTAGGTAGTTTTTCAAGCTCTCGGGTGATTGCATCGGTTACTTGGTTAAATTGTTCCAATGTTGCCTTTAGTTGTTGACAGTACTTTGAGAAGGTAGGATTATTCTGACAGTATTCTTGTTCACAATGATCGATGATCGGTTGTAGTTCGATACGCCATCGTCGTTGATCTTTATAAATCGTCTGTAAGTCTTGTAGAGCGTTCACAGAAAGGATAAAATATGCGAAGTAGGTTAAGGCTGCGCTAAGAACAAAAGTTAGAATTCCGATAACATTCGCAGCTACCGATAATCCGCTGTCACCACAGCAAACAGTGTGGTCTGTTTTAGCAGCTATGCGACGCAGCTTGCAGTGGAGTAGCGGTTGAGGATGGAGAGCAGTAGTTATGCTTAGAACAAGAAGTAGTTAAGAACGATAACTGACAGTAGGGAAACTACAGGTACGGTGGCTGTGGCACAATTGATCCCACGGTTACAGAAGCCTAACTGCGCCGACCTGTCTACACATGTGCGAGGACCACCAGCACGCGACCCCGCTGTAGGCAGTGCATCTTCTTGCGCAGCGCTGGCAGTGTATTCTCTGCCACTGGTACCTCGTGTGTTCGCTTCTCCTGATGGTGATCGGCGATTGAAAAGGAGTGGCGGGAATCGCTCAGGCGGTACGGGCAGTGCTGGGGCAGTACCGGGGCAGTGTGGGTGAACCAATGACTTCAGCTGAGCCAAAGCAACAAGCCACTGTAACGGCAACGAAGATGCACTGCCTAAACAAGAAAGAGTAACAGCTATACACCACAGATAAATGAAGATGGTAGATAGCAGTCACAATACGTACCAATTTTACACCGCACCCACGCGTGCAACAATATTTGACATCTGCGCTTGAACTTGCCTATATAATAAGAGCAGGAAACAAAATGGCAGAACTTGCACTTTCTTTCGCTGAGATGGATCAGAGCACTAGTGCTTGCAGTCGTATTTTTGCTACAGGGCCACACGGTGAAATCTCACTGAGCTTCCAGCGCACTTCAAAGGTTCCTAACGACGGGTATATGTTCTATACTCTAGATTTGGGGCACTTCCTGTTGTATTATGTCGACAGATTCTGTGGCCTTCTTAGTTTGGTTCTAAACACTGGCGGGTGGTTTATTACTATACGAGGTACATAGTTTCTTGCAGTACCTGCTTCTTTAAGGTAAACGGATACTAAAATAGAGTTTTAATCCTGCTAAGAGTAATAAAGGTCCTAGAATAACTTAGATGATGGAACCGTTGTTGGTAGTTTGTTGCTTGATATTAAACTATTAAAAGCTGTGTTTGTGGTTCTGGATAAGTTGATCGGGTTTCCCACATTTACCATTGATGTTAAAACACTTACTGGAAAATCCTTCTAGACTGGCATTAATGATGATACTATAGTTATCTAGCTGAAAATTGCGATACATGATGCAGAGGGCTTCCCTCTAGATTAGCAAAGGATTATCTTTGACCGTATCTAGATAACTGATGGTGAGCTTCTTAGATTAAAGGAGAAGCTAGCGCACTAATGCATCTCCAAAAAAACTGTTCTTAGTAACCATGGCATTGTGGAGGTTGTTTTCTAATATTTAATGTTCAAAAATTGATGTAGGCTAAAGTTGACTAGGATAGCGTCGTGCACTTGGTTTTGCGACTGCGTGGAGGTTAGAAAAGAACTATAGCAAGGCCTTTTGCAAGCTATGTGATGACTCTTGAACCTGGTGGACTTATCTGGTAGCCGAAAGTATGGAAAGAGGCACTGTAGATTACATTGGCAGAGATTTTAACACGCATTTCTATCCACATTCTGAACGCTGAACACGTATGGGCCTGGACCAGCATCGATCCGCCGTAGTCACTTTTTGATCCAGAACTCTACATTGCAGCGGGAATACCTTTTGTTCAAGATGAAGACGAAGCTGAGGAGCTCGTGAAACAACACGCGACCTTATGTAATTAGCTGAATGAGCATGTGGGCGGAATGCATTATAGTATGCATTCCATAAAGTGTTCAAGCACAATACTTAAAGATAATAATCCTTTCACGGCTATTAACTCTTGGAATTTAAAGGGCATGATCAATAAAAATATCTTAAATAGATATGTTAATCCAAGCAGTGGTATAGACATAGGCGGGGAAAATAGCCTAGCGGATAACTAAAACTCTAGGGAAAAGAAACATTGGTGGGGCAGGATGTTCTGGAAATAACTAACAAGAATTACTAGCTACGTTTGTGTTACATATACTACCTTGAAAGCTGCTTTGCTACGCAGTAAGAGACGTTGTAATCTATAAGATACTATAAGCACGGATAAATAAGAAGTTTAGCGGTTTCTCCGGACAGGTAGCAAGGAGCCACACTAGCTGGAGCTAGAACAGTTAGGGTACGTATGGCTTATGACAAGCGAGACAGGGGTGGGCGTGCGACAACTAAGCGCCGTGCGCAAAGCGGAAGCTGCAAGTGCATGAGAGTGTAAGAAAGGTTGTTTTGATATGACGGGTGACTGCCATTCTTCTCGCACAGCTATTGATGAGTCAGCTAGCTTGGCCTTGGTCATGGAGATAAAGTACGTAACGCTGTTTAACGCTTGCCAGAACAAGTAAGGCCATCGCCTCGATGTACCAGTCCCTATGACGATCTTGAATCAAATCGCGTACCATTGCACAAACAAGGCTGGTGATAACTTGATGCTATGGTAAATCGCATTATCAGATTTAGAGAAGACATCGGTAGGGGTCATAAAAGAGACAGAACCTTACTAACGGTCGTCTTATCATAGGACACTGGGCTGCAACGAAGGAAGGTGCGCCGCGAAGGAGGCGTAAAAGTGATAACGCGACAGTAATATTGAGGTGCGAGGGGTCTATTGTATCTAGAAGTAGCTATAGCAGAACACATCAAAGCTATAGGAGGAGCATAGTCGTAAGGGTGGAGTTATAAAGAAGCAAAGTCAAAGTACCCCTCATTTGTTTCGGTAAAGGTGGATTTTCGTCACGAGTGGAAAGACGTTAGTTTGAATACCATTCCCTCTCTCTCTCTCTCTTTTCTGTCAAAACCATCCCTTGTATCTTTTTTCTGTCGTATAGAATATCATATACATATATGTATATATGTAAAAGTAGACTACTGTACAAAAGATATGATAAGGTTTTTTTTTCATGCTCCGTTTTCTTCTGTGCTAAAAAGGATTTTTGACTGGGGATGATATGTGTATTCGCTGCAAAAAAGATTTTATTAGAGGGGTTGAGGGATGGGGGAGCAGGTACTAGGTAGTTAAAAACGCGGTGGAATAGAATGTTGAATGTGGTTTGGATTAAGAATAGGGAGAGAGGAAAGAGGAGAGAGGAGTGTGGGGTGGAGTGAGAAATTTTTGGTTTGTTTGACGGGGATGTGGCTGGTATCGGGTTTGGGGATGGGTTTGTTTGGGGTTGGAGTGACATGTACTTTTTTTTTTGTTTGATGATGGGATTGGGAAGGGCAGTTTGCGTTGTTGATGAATGGGTTTCGATATGTGGTTGTGGAGATAATGGATTTAGATCTGGATTGTAGAGTCTTCACATGGTAGGATAGAGAAAGCGATGCGATGTCACTGTTCGACACGCGTTTCTTTGAAATATGATTGAGGAAAGTCTAAAGTTTTACAATACGAAAATAGAGTTTTTATACTGCTAGTTATCTATTATCGAGCATCTTGCAGGTATGGATATTTATTCCGTGGTTATTATGAACGATGGTATCGGAGAACTGCATCTGGATGACAAGTTGTTTCTTGATGATTGTCAAGACGAGTATACATGTTCAGATGAGAAACACAATATGCATTCGTTACCAGATGAGAAGGTTTTCTTGCTGATAAGGAAAGAGACTTAGGGTTGTCAGTTCAAAGAACTGCTTCTTAGTCTATTCTCGATGCTATAGATGATGTTGTCACTGCTGATTTACCAGACGAAAATGCTACCGAGAATGGATACTATGGAATAACGCCATTTGCGTGGTGTATTTTCCATGACGCAAATCTTTTATTAGTTTAGTAGCAATGTCTCATTGCTTTTCAAAGATGGTAAGGAACGCATTGTCTTGGACCTTTGCACTACGAACGTCGAGCACCCGCGTCCAAGCCCACCTTTCGAACACGACTACATCGACACCAACACACAACACTACACCGGATAAACGGCTCCTAACCAACTATTCCGTACGAACAAAGTGGAGAATCGCATGATTGTTGAGTGCACCCTGAAAAAAGCCACTCAATACTAATTATGGCGCTATGCGACGCAGCTCAGCCGCCCACGTCACTCCCCCATATTTTACAGTTGCCACAGGCAACTCGGCTAGAGTCTCTACTGCGCTAACGACCCTAGTCTTTTCGTGTTTACTCGAACGATACATACATAGACCTTGGTTGCTTATTAACTCCGGCGTACGAGGTTCAGACCCACCCTCTATTGAACATCGGCGTCAAAGTAGTCAAAGTAGTATCGGCGAGGTAATAGTCTACCGTACTTTACCTGGTAACGTCGTCTATGTACGCAGATGATTGTGTCGTCTGTTTCATAGGCTGTGGGCGTTGTGGAGGTGTTCAGCCACCAGGACCACGTTGCGATGAGCTCTCCAGATTTTCATGACGTGGAAAACTGGCTTGACATCGATATTTACTAATGTGATTTCGGATATATCACCTGATACAGCGCTGTGTATTGCTCGAGAAGGAAAGTCTCCTCCGGCCCTAACGCTAGTGGGATAACGGTGGTGCTGTTGCGATGCGCTTGCTGTGTTTGAGGGGAGGTTGGTCGTATTCGACTTTACATATTCTAAATTGCGAATATGGGTCCTACGCACGAGGTGGTGCCGTTGGAACAGGAATTCGGTGCATGTTCACCAGATTCTGATGCTTTGAGGTTGGCAATGAATTTGAAGTTGGTGGTTGGGGTGATGGTGGAACGCATTCGTAATGATATCGACGGATGGGTGTAACGTCCTTAGTTGCACAAGACCTACATTAATGTCTTCCTAAATATTGATTACTCGCTCACCAAAAACTAATAACATTTGGTGTCTGTTCAGAGCGCACAAGACCGAAAATCCAATCTCAAAAAATCAAGCATCGAGGCAAAACTGAACAGTGAGTGAATCTTGCAGTGACAGGTCTTGCCAGCCTCCCTTCTACAATCGCAACACGCATAGCGAAATTCACCCTATTTTACGACGCAATTAAACCAAAAGAATTGCGTGGCTGAACCCCCAAAAAAAAGAAACTTTTCTTTTAGCCGGATTGTTGAGGCCTGTGTGGTTCGCTACTAGACTAACTGCCGGTGGTAAGTGCATGGGAGAGCACACGGGCTCGGCCCGTTTGTCAAATCTTGACAGGGTAAATGAGCAAAGCCCATTGTGCAGGCCGTGACATAAAGATCCAGAGCTGTCATTGTATCTCCTATCTTATACAAATGTGTACATATCTCTGTTGCCGCGCAGTTACCCCAATGTGCTTCGGACATTTGAGCGTACAGAAATAGCCCGAGCAGATCAGTCTCGGCTCGAGATGTACCTCGTAGCGCGAGCGAGTGGAACTATTCCGGAAAGATACCTGCTCTGGACCCTTTGATGCTATTAATTGCGTTGCCGGCAGGTATTATGTACTTGTGTACTCGTGTACTTACTTGCTCTTATAATGGTCAAGGGCCTATCACACGATTCGCACTATGACGCAACAATGTTGATGTCAGCCACTTCTGTCTCTCGGAAAGAGTGGAGTGCCAAAATTGTTCGCGCATCGTGTTTGGCATATTGCTCATCGGCTCGTTGTTCGCGATCGGCTGGTGTCAGCTATGCCCAATGCGCACGTATCCCCTAAATACATACGCCTGGGGCCTTATGTTGGACAGATTACGAATGCAGCCTGGAAATCGTATGTCTCTACAGCACAGTCGAGACAATATTCAATGCACTACAGAATCGGGCACCATTATGCAGTGTCATGTGACCGGTGAGATGTGAATGTCACCGTGGAAGTATCCACTTCTGCATGCAAGAAAGAATTAGTATAACAGTTTTTGCAACGCCACACAATAAACTTTAGGAAAGGCAGTAATGTGTCAAGAAAGGCGCGGTGAGGACCCGTGTGTACGGTAAGTTCCCAGATGAAGAACAGTGGAAATGTAGTGATGACCACAGATAGTCGATCGATGCATCGTGAACTTCAACAAGTTCTCAAGATCCAGGGATGTTATGATAGAAGATCACAGTGGTTACAACAGCTCATACAGGATGGAAGGACATGCTCCTTGCGGTCTTCGCAGGCATGCGCCCTCGGGGACGAACTTGCCGTTCATGCGATCACTATCCCCTTTCAGTCTTTAGCAATAAGCTTAAAGACGACAAGCATCACGCAGATTATTGGGGGAGCAAAAAGAGCAGGTTTGTGTTCCCCAGCCTTAATGCTGATGTCGGTGGCTGGCGGGCTGTTAGATTGAGGCTTCGTGTATCTCCAGTGTATTTTTACCACTGTTCGTCCTATTGGATAGTCGGTGTTCAATACGAAGAGCAAAGTGGGTAGGCCTGCTAACCAGGGTATGGGCCTCGCCAAACTTCATTGTAGCGCATGTGGCCCTTGTAGCTGCATAGAAATGCATCGAACCCTATGATTGTAGCACTTTGACTGTTCTCCATGTAAGGCTGTGGTACCCAAAATTACAGTGCATGCACACAAGGGTGACACGTCGACTTGTATCCGTGGCTGTGTGAATGTCATAGCTAGCTATTCATGACAGCCGCTCCCTGCTCGTTTTCTGTGCAAATTTCCTAGTCTCCTTAGGATGAGTTCTCGTAACTGCAGGTAAGCATTGCGGCGTCACGCACCACGGACAAAAACTTGTCGACTAGGACATGGCAAAGAAGCTTAATGCAAGCCCACCGAGACTCAAACGCTATCAAGTACCGGATTTGGGATAGCACAGCCAAAGGGAGAATAGTGTTCCGGCCCAGTAGAGTAACCAAGTGGATAAGCACGGTGGATCTTCAGGAACTCGGGGAACTCGGCGTGGTCTTACTCATCATCCTCTGGTTGTTGACGAATCCTATAGCATGAGCGTTGCCCCTTGAGCTGGATTGGGTGACATCGCTGGGTTTGGGTTCTGACGGCACCTGCAGCCATGCGTCGGCCGAGTATACGCGCCGTAAATGGACTAGCGCAATATTAAAATAGACTTCCGCCGTTGCCAATATCGTTAGTGCGATCATCGTCGAGCGGTAGGGCTGCGTGCTCAACCATGCAACCTTGTTGCTGACGTTACTCTTTGGGATGTGCACACTATCGACTGTCGTATCCCAGCTTCATGGCTCGCGTGCGGAGCATGGCAGCTGCTACTTCACGTGCGAGGAGCGAATACTACCGTTTCGACGTCAGCCCTTAGCCATGCACAGCAGTGTTGCAGTATATAACTTTCGTCCCATCTCCTCTACGATACCTCACCTCTATCGCTCACCTTCGCTTTAATCGTCTTTCCAGACTGACACTCGCTTTAGTGATCATCTCTAGAAACTCTTTAATTCTTAATTTTTCAATCCCCAAAGCTCATACAATTATCACCCAACAGTAGAGACAACAAACAACTCAAGATGCGTTACTCCCTTGTTGCCGCCGCCATCGTCGGCTCAACAATGGCGGCCCCGAAATACTACGAGGCAGTCCCATCTGGCTACAGCAGCATTCCCTCTTACCCTGCCTCGCCGCCACCGCCCTATCCCACGTCTACTCCATGTGATGATGAGGCAACGCCCACGCCCAGCACTCCAGCTGGCGCTGTCTCCACCCCTGGCTCGAGTGCCCCAGGTTACCCGGCCTCAAGCTACCCAGCCTACCCAGCCTCGAGCTACCCAGCTTATCCGGCCTCGAGCCTCCCTCCTTCTCCGGAGTCGAGCTACCCAGCCTACCCGGCCTCAAGCTACCCGGTCTACCCAGCTTCAAGCCTGCCTCCCTCCCCGGAGTCAAGCTACCCAGCTTACCCAGCTTCGAGCCAACCTGGCTACCCAGCTTCGAGCCAACCCGCCTACCCAGCTTCGAGCCAACCTGGCTACCCAGCTTCGAGCCAACCTGGCTACCCAGCTTCGAGCCAACCTGGCTACCCAGCTTCGAGCACTCCAGTGGCCTCATCAAGCACTATTTGTGACGAGGAATCGAGCACTCCAGCTAGCGCTGTCTCCACCCCTGTCTCGAGTGCCCCAGTCTACCCGGCTTCTAGCTACCCAGCTTATCCAGCCTCGAGCCAACCTGGCTACCCAGCCTCAAGCTATCCAGCTTACCCAGCCTCGAGCCAACCCGCTTACCCAGCCTCGAGCCAACCTGGCTACCCAGCCTCAAGCTACCCAGCTTACCCAGCTTCGAGCCAACCTGGCTACCCAGCCTCAAGCTACCCTCCATACCCCACTGGCAAAGTTTCCTCTAGCAGGGCAGTCCCATCTTCGTCCACGGCAACCCACCCTGAGGATATCACCACGACGTACACCAGCACCAGCACAGTCTTTGTGCCATGCTCTACCTCTATTGGCACTGGTGAGCATTCGTCGGTTATTTACTCCACTTATCTCACGGCATCATACACGCCTATCATAGTTACCTCCACGGTCTATGGATGCGGAGACAAGTGCCCGAAGCCAACACCCTCCTCGGATGTCCCGCACTACCCTGCTGTAACTCCTCCCTCACCTCAGCAGAGCCATCCTCCTACCTACCCCCAACAGAGCCATCCTCCTACCTACCCACAGCAGAGCCAGCCCCCTACCTACCCCCAGCAGAGCCAGCCCCCTTCGCCTCAGCAGAGTAAGCCTGTCCAGCCTGACCAGCCTGTCTACCCTCAGCAGTACCAGCCTCCGTCGCCTCAGCAGAGCCAGCCTCCTACCTACCCCCAGCAGTACCAACCTCCGTCGCCTCAGCAGAGCCAGCCTACCCAGCCTAACCAACCTGTCTACCCTCATAGCGAGCAGCCTCCTGCGCCTTACTGCCCCCCTGCTGGAGTCGTCACGGTAACTGTAACTCAGACCCAGACTGTAACAACGACTGTTACCCCCGATGCCTATGAACATGGGTACACACCGGGACCAGTTCCTTACCCTAATGGACCTAAGCCGTCTTACCCTGCTGGACCTAAGCCATCTTACCCAGCCGGACCTAAGCCATCTTACCCTGCAGGCGCCCAGTCTTCTCCTTATTACCCTATCCCAAGCAGCACCTCTCAGGGACCTCGCCCTACGGGATACGTACCATCGAGCAGCATGAGCTATCCTAGCTACCCTGCTGCCTCGCCCTCTTCACCCGCCAACGGCTACCCAGCTGCGTCACCCTCTCCTTACCCTGGAACCGGTTACCCAGCTGCCTCGCCCTCTCCTTCCCCCGCAAATGGCTACCCGGCTGCCCCGCCTTCCCCTTACCCCGGAACCGGCTACCCAGCTGCGTCACCCTCTCCTGCCTCTGGAAACGGTTACACCGGCTACAACGGTTACCCCGCCGGAGACAACTAAGCTATTGAGCCTAACATTGTAGTGTGAAAGATGGAAAATATTTCTCTTGTCAAGCCATGCAACAATTCTAGGGCGGCACAGGTGTTATCAACGGCAATTGGGAGGGGAACCTTGTAGCTCTTGCACTGCAGAGTAGTTACTTCTTCGATCTTGCCTAGTAGTAGCGCTTAGTGGTTTTTTGTTTCCTTTGTACTCGCGGTTCCTTAATTTAATATTATTCACTGTATATATTCTCAGATCACGGTATAGAACGGTTGTTTACGATTGGAGATGTTGTTTCTTTGCGTGTTTTTCTTGGATTTACTTTGTTTCATAGATAGCTCTATCAAATCAATAACTAACTTGAGTCACTCCTTTAACGCGTCTCTCGCCACGTCGTTGTTCATTGCTGTGGATCACGTGCTAATCCGCTCCAGCATCATTGATGGTATTACGAAGTCGTCAGCTTTGTCGTGCGATCACACCATCCTCTTGAGGCCCTGGCTCTTGCCACTCGCTGAAAATTGAGTTACTGGGCAGAGCATGCGCTGCGCTTCCGATGATGCCGAATAACGCCTGTCAATGTCGTGCTTATGCAGCAAACAAATAAAGAGGAATCGATAGAAAATGTAACCCTGTCATCGCGAACCTTCACTCTTGGCTCGTTTTGGTAACGGTGCTGCATAATCGATAGTTCACGCTCGTATCAGCACAGCAAAATCCAAAGTCATCCGCTCCATCCCAACCACACCTTATCTAGGGCGAAATAATGATTCCGCTCAATACTGCCATCAGAACCTATGCACAGTTGGTTTGATTTGCTGACTCTGTCGGGATGATGCTGGGAACTAGTGCAGAAGCACTAGTAGCAAGTGCACGCGGCTCCGCAAGAGTGGTGGATCGTTGAAGTTACGGAAATCTATCCGCCGGTGTCCGATACGACATGCGCGAAAACGGGCTTTATCGTATACGTAATTCATCGGTTCGTCCCCAAAATAGAAACTCATTTAGATTCAGACTTGTGCAGGCAGCTGCTTGCACGTTGCAGTAACGGTTGTTGCCAAGGCAAGCCTATGACGCTGGTGGTGGTTGAATTCCGACCCACCGAGTTTGTACCTTTGTTGAACCCAAGGTGAGGATCAATACGATGGGACTAGGATTGAAGCTTTCGACTTCCGGATTTGTCAAACTTTAGGGATGGGTACCTGTCAGAATGATTGTCGCCGCAATGTCGCGCGTGTTAGTACATGTGCATGTTGATTGCAATATCGTCCTCGTATACACATAACTCCAGTTAAGAACAATGGAAAGTGAGCCGCTCTATTGCGCTTTGGTGACACGTCAACTGTGACCGATGTATCGGTTCTGGGCCATGACGTGAGACGGGGAGTTCTCCTTAACCGCGCCAGTCGCGGGGAGAAATCTTGTCGTGGAATTCTCCGTCTGAGTAATATGAGCCTCCCACACATAAGGCCTGGATATGGTGACCAGGGAGAAGAAGAAGAAAAAACGGTATTTCCCCTGGTTACAAACCTCCTCTTCTTTTCCCCTTTTTGTCCCTTCCCCTCTCTGTTTTCCCCTCTGCCTTCCCCTCTGTCTTTCCCTCTTCGTCTTTTCCCCTCTCATCGCCGTCAGTCTTGGCTTCGGTAGACTGTACTTCCGAGTTCCTTTACTGCTGCTTTCTCAACATATGCTGCGCGGATTGATCTTTTGACGCTAGCCAAACAGTCATTCTATCAAGAGCTCTCTAGTGTCTAAACCCTTGCCATGAAAGTGAAGCCGCTGCTGCCGGTTGATCAACCACTTTGGTGAAGTTGTAATACCAAATTGCCTTGGACGGATGATCGGATCATGAGCAACAAAATCTACTACGCACTAAGCCCCGATTCTCCGCTTCGTGAAATCAATACACAGTGACTCCTCTGCAAATTGGAGCTTTTGCTTAGGCTGAGAGTACAGTAATCGATCTCACGAAGGTACCAAACAATTACTTCTTTTTCGCATAGTCTTTATAGTTGCCACATATCCAGGGCAGGGAAATGGTAGTCTGGATTCTCAAAATTACCTGATAGATTCAGTTTCGCAACTCGCGAGTAATGCGTAGTAGGCGGCTTCCAAGATCTCAGAGACTTGGTTTCTTGGGCATGCCCATGCTTGTGAAGATCATCAGACTCTGCCTAAGATCATCAGAACAGATCGCTTTCTGCAATCCACCAGTGAGTATAGTGTGACGCCCTCATAGAAAGTAAACCGTCCAAACAAATGGCATACTTTCTCCCTATGCAAAGAACATGCAGTACTTTACCCATCTCGCTGCGACTCAACTCCAACGTGTATACAGAACCCACGGAACGTGAGTTACAGTCGTGGACAAGACATGTAAGCCTGGGTTTGACAGCATTCTGAATAACAATAAGAACAAGAATATGAATTAAAACAAAGAGACGACGTTTTAGTACAAGGTAGTACAAGGTGATACAAGCGTAGTACGATCACCCACAATCCCACAACCCACCCACACCAGTCGTGCGCACAGATCACTAACCGACCCCCCCGCAGAATTCTTGCTTCAAACGACATCATCGCCCGCAACCACCCAAATCCGACTCCAAACAACCAAATCCAACCACCACACCCCCACGCCGCATACACCACCAGCGACACCCCAAAACACGCCAATTGCGCACCCCTTCACCCCTCGATTAAAGAGAAAGCAACCCAAACACTGCCCAAAATGTCCATGTTCTTCGGCCAAAAACCCCAAATCTCCTCGGAGCAAAAGATTGCGCAGGCAGAGGCAGAAATCGATATGGTTTCTGACATGTACAGTCGGTACGTCCTTTTTTCCCTCCCTATGAATCCACTTAATCCTTCGACGTCAACGCAGACGCTAATGCTTGAACAGCCTTGTCAAATCCTGCACGGCCAAATGCATAGACACGTCGTACCGCGAGGCGGATCTCAACAAGGGCGAGTCGGTGTGCCTGGATCGCTGCGTGTCCAAGTTCTTCGAGGTCAATGTCAAGGTTAGCGAGAAGATGCAAGGAGAGGCGCAGGGGAAGCAGGGGGGTGGGATGTTTGGGGGTATGTAAGTGTGGAGGAGATGGAATGATGATATGGGGCTGCCTGAGCGGTATATGTCAAAAGACTATCGAACGAGTCCGGGAGAGCATGTGGGAGATATCTGAATGGCATGAGTTGAGGGATTGCGGATGCAAGAGGACGATGGATACACTCCGCTTTTAGTCGGGCATTGCATGCACACATATCAGTCACGACTACAATGCTCAAAATCTGTACAATAAGAGTTCATGAATTCGATTGATCGATCTATTCTCCACCGTACCATACGTTTCTGAACGCAAGTGCTGAGCAACCATCCGCCTTTCATAGCCGCCATCATTCGTGAATCGCTGAGTAGTAACCATGAATCTCTATGTGCGGGTCCAGTCGCCACGCAAAACAATCGCATGCATCAATTCTTTATAAAATCGTCAAAATCATTAACACATCAAAGAAAAGCATCAAGTATCGTGCAATCCGTCGTGGAGTGGAGATATTGGTGCCCAAGAAAGTCAAAAGAAAAGCGACTGCAGCTCATTGTGCATCGGTATATCTTGGGGCACCGGAGTATCGTCGTCAAAGGGTATTGCAAAAAGGTAAAAGAATCGCACTCAGTAGTGATGGTGTCGAAATGTCCATGGGAGACGATCCACGATGGTGTCGACCAGCGGCCCACGTGGCTAGTGAGAAGTACTGTATCGCATTAGCCATCCGCCACGAATAAGTAAGTAGTGAGTGAGTATCAAACATGCCATCAAAGCCAATCCGGCTTGCCACCGGCCCTGAACCGACGACCAAGCCGCTTGATGCCGCTCACAACCTCGGTGTCGAGATCAGCATTTTCCACAAGGCTGTACAAGCGCTGGAGCTCCATGCCAGCCAGATCCAAATGCATCTCCGCATTGCGGGCATTTTTCTTGGCTTCTTCTGCGCAATCCTCGCAGTTCTTGGCATTTAAGGCGGCGCTGATGACACACTGTAGTCTTGGTGGTTAGCGGGGGCCTCTTTGAATGGAGGAGAGAGGGGGAAGTCGGGTTTTTGGCTGTTGTTATGATTATAGGTACCTCTGCCATCTCAACAATGCGTAGACGCTCTTTGGAGTCGCGAGGCTGTGTATCTAAGCGTTCAATCATATCTTCAATCAAGGTGCGTGTGCTCTCGCGTTCGTCGGGCACGAGTTTCCTATCTGGACTTGCGCAAGTACTTTTCAACTTGAGACCAGCACTAAGAGGTATGGGAGGGTTTTTGCCTGTGTCCTTCTTCTTTTGCTTGGGAGCAGGTGCAGTCTGAGGCCTGGACTCTGTCGGCACGGCGAGGTTGATCATGGAGTGACTTTTTGTGTCTCGCATGGCCTTGTTGAGTGAGCTGCTAGTGACACTCAGGAAATCTTGCTTGGTAGTAGGCATTGGCTCTTTTGGTCTAGTGCGCGATCTGCCTCGACTAAAGATGTCGCGAATGCTGCGTTGGGCCTTGGTCTTCTTCTCTGACATACCATGATCTTGCTTGTCCAACGACGTATCTTGCGGAGCAGAGGGAGTCACCGACAAGCCCATCAAGTGCTCGTCGGACTGGTATGGTTGGCGCTGCTGTGGCGTATCGTGACTCAAAGAGCCCTCTTCAGTTTCAGACGTCACAGTCTCCGCCGTCCTCAACCTTCCAGAATCGGGGTTGCGGACGGTATCGTGGGACTGCGCTGTATTGTACAATGACAGCGAGCTCTTGTTGAAAGGGTTCATTTTCCAGCTCTTGGTGTCATTTCCGGAGTGGTCCCTCAAGTTTGGTGAGGACTTCGAGTTCATGATGCTTGCGATCGTCTTCCTGATCCTGGTCTTCTTCATGTCCAAGACTGGCTCGTCGTCTGGCAATTGAGTGTATCCTGAAAGAGACGCAAGAAACTCCTGATGTAAGAATTAGTACTCTCTGCAAAAATCTCGGATTGACGTACCTGACGAGCTTCAGTAGATTCAAACATCTCTGGAGGTGCTGTGGGATTCGACACAACAATCCTGGGCTTCGAGACAGATCCTGTAAGCTTCATGTGATGATCTGATTGATTTGTAGTGCGAGCTGTTGTGTCAGCGGTTGTCGCAACTATCCTGTCTCCGGAATTGGAGCTTGCAGAGGGCCTGGCGAGCGGTGATGAAGACATTGGTGAATGACTGGCTGGGCTGACTTTTCTTGCAGGTTGCATGGAGCGGATTGGGCTGATTTTGACAACAGGGGTCAAACTCCTCAACGTCCTCACAGGGTTCGCTGTTGGAGTTGGAGGCGCATTGCTCAGTAGCGCTTTGGACTCTGTAGCCTCCGCGAGACGAGCCCTGAGATTGCTGAAAGAGCGTGTCTGCTGAAGACGCTTAGTGAATACCGCCGGAATAGGTGGTACTTCCGGGACATCGTCACCAGTGCCGAGAATGAAATCATCGGCGTCAGCAGAGATTCTGAGGATCGGACCTGTACCTGTGTGCGCAGTGGCGTTTGCATCTGATGCATGCCATGAGAGTGGCTTCAATCGGATGCTGCGGTCGTCGCCGGCGCCATCGTAAGAATCTTGAGCCAATAAGTTCGAGCACGGAGAAACATTCTCGGGGTGAAGTACCGGCCACTTGCAGCGTATAGAGCTCTCAGACTGAGCGTCTATGAGCGTACGCTGCGCTTTTGGCGGACTATTGGGATTTGACACCTGCACGATCGGAGGACTGGGCAGAGGCTTGTGAGTTGATATAGAACGAGGAAGCTGAGAGGTACCCATAGGCGTCGCGTCCGAGGGAGTTGGCGACAGTAGTTCATCTTCATGTAGAAGTACAGCCATATCAGTGGAGACTGGGCGGGGATCTGTCATCGTCGTTAGTGTCTGTGGCCAACTCTTGCGAGTTGGCGGTCCGTCTCGGGTAGAGGTCTCGACACGGCAGGCGGAGGTTAACTGGAGGAAAGAGATAATCTATTTGAGTTTTGCTATCTATAGAGCAAATGGCGAGGTATGCGCACGGGCTTGTTTGGGTTTGTAGAGGCAGTGAAGGTGAGTACGGATTGCCCAGTCCAAGTGAATGGCAAACGCGACATGACTCTGCTTTTTCTCTTGATCCAGATGAGAATAAATCCATGGCCACCATGAGAGACGTCTGCCGAGACTCTCCCTTTCGTGCTACAGGCATCTTTACGGTGTAGTGTTGAAGTCGCAGCAGATAGCTGTGGGAGTCACGATGTGTGAGGTCATTGACGCTTGGGCCACGGCTTCGGTTGGAGAAGAGGACAGCTAACGCGTCACCTTCACCAGTAATTGCATATCCAACGACCAACTCGGCCAACGCTCATTAAGACATCATGGCGAAAACGTACAAGCAGATGAAAGAGGCGTGGGTGTCGGGACATACGGGGAGCTCAGTAGCAGATGTAAATATCGTCTCGCTCGCAATGCCTGTACTGTGCACGATTCCATTCTTCAAGCAATAAGTCTATACTAACAATGCTCAGCTGAGCATCTTGCTATGGTCGGTCATACAGTCGCGTATGCGCTTGTTTACGCCTTATACGCCACCAGCCCTGTTCATCGACTTTCTACTCAATTGCGGAGCTACGCTGTTCGCAACCACCATCTACTCGCCCTCTCCATTGATTCTCAACCTCCTCTTGCTGCTCCCAGCAATTGCACTGTATGTCCTTGAGAAGCCCGCTCCAGCCAAGGAAGCCCCGCGACCGCCCAAGATCGACAAGTCTGAAAAAGACTCCAAACTGGATGCACTACCTGTCAAGCCGTTCATCACAAATTACCGCGGCGCAATGATGGTTATCACGTGCGTCGCAATTCTGGCCGTCGACTTTCGCGTCTTTCCACGGCGGTTCGCTAAAGTCGAGAACTGGGGCACGTCACTCATGGACATGGGCGTCGGGTCCTTTGTCTTTACCGCTGGCGTGGTTTCAGTCCGCTCTTCTCTCAAGGAAGGCACTGGCCGACCGCCACTATCCAAACGCTTGACGGCATCACTCAGACATTCCATTCCCCTTCTTGTCCTTGGTGTCGTTCGACTCATCTCCGTAAAGGGACTGGACTACGCAGAACATGTCTCTGAATACGGCGTGCATTGGAATTTCTTCTTTACCCTGGGTTTCCTACCACCATTTGCTGCTCTTTTTCAGTCGGCATTTGACCTGGTTCCTTCGTATGCTGTGCTGTCGTTCGCACTGGCTGCCGTCTACGAAGTTGTCTTAGACTGGACATCTCTTGGACCCTACATACTTGTGGCCCCACGTACAGATTTACTCTCCAAGAACCGAGAAGGGATATTCTCCTTCTTTGGATATCTTGCGATTTTCCTAGCCGGCCAATCCCTGGGTACATCTGCACTCCCTAGGCAGCAGCCAATCGCCAAAGACGCACCAATGACAACAAAACTCCGACAATCCACGCTTGGGAAGCTTGCGACTACATCTCTCCTCTGGACTGCACTATTCTACTTCTCTACAAGCTACTATGGCCTTCGTTTACCGGTGTCAAGGCGTCTCGCAAATCTTCCGTACTTTCTCTGGGTGTCTTCGTTCAACAGCTATCAAATCACTATATGCTGCGCGATTGAGACTGTTCTCTTTCCCAGCTTGTACAAGGCCACAAACAAAAACGAGGAACTACGGCGCACTAGAGACGCCACTAGTACTATACTGTATGCGTTCAACCGCAATGGTCTTGCGGTTTTCTTAGTCGCCAATTTGCTGACAGGTCTGGTCAACATGACGCTACCAACTTTGAACATGAGCGTCGTTGAATCAATGGCGGTCCTTACAGCATATATCGCTGTTGTGGCTGGAGTCGCTGTTGGTCTCGACTATTACAACGTAACGATAAAGCTATGAGTGAAGTTAGCTTGTGCTCAATTTTACCAAAAACAACCTCTAATTCAACATTCGCAAGTCTGCTTTAATCTGATCACATTTTTTACGGTGACTGAACATGTCTTTATTTTATCTGTCTTTCTTTTCGGTAGAGGTGTATTATTTATACATTACAACATGCATGCATGCAATATCCACCCATCTAGCTCTTTCCTTTTTGTGCATCCCACGTGACAGCGTGAAACCGCGTCTGCCAAGGAAAGCGACACAGAAAGCGACACAGAAAGCGACCGATGACATCGCCGCACTTCTAATTCTCACTCCACCAACACTCATTAAGCGATAGCAGATTTGATTGGTGATTCAAATGTGTACAAAGTTGCAAACATGTCGACTCCGCAAGCGAAACGACGTCGGCTGAACGAAGCCGCGAAAACGTTGCAGAAGCCATTCAAGTCTCCTTTCCGAACACTATCGAAGCCCAGCATTGGCGACGATCCGCCATTTTCAGACCCACCTGAGACAGAATCATCCACAAAGGGAAGATCGGCAGATAATTCCGTCTGCACGAGTTCCGCACATTCTACAAGCAGTGCAGAACAAAAGGCCACTACTACGTCAGCCTCTGGAAATGTTGCACCGGCACAAAGACCTTCTGCATCGAGAATCCCAAAGACTCTCGTGTCGCGACCAAATCCATCCACGCCTTCGCGACTAGCGTCAAGAAGCACACTCTCCAAGCCCTCAACTGCACGCGAGATAATGCAACTACGCAATGAGATCCAAATGCTCACCCAAGCCCAAACCCTCGCCACATCCTCAAAAGACGACGATCTCGTTGCATTAATAGAAAAATGGCGGACAGCAAGCCGTGCAGCAGCAGAAGAGCTTTTCGGTATCACCAGAGATCGGGTCAACAGGATGGGCGGGGTGGGCGCCTGGCAGGAGCGCGAGAAGGAGGCTAAGCAACGGCAGATGAAGTGGGACCAAGAAGAGATAGAGGCGGAGAGGGTGAGGGTGAGGGAGGCGAGGGAAAATGGGGAGATTCCGCAGGAGGAGTATGATCGGTTTGCTGAGATGGAGGGGGATAGGGAGATCGAGGAGGAGAAGGAGACGTTTAAGAATACTGACGATGTGAGTGATATCAGGGATATGGATTACGATGAAGAGATTGTTAACTGGTAATAGTCGTTTACTATGGATATGATGCTCAAGACGCTTAACATTGATCTACAGCTTATAGGGTACAACAAGGAAGCGCAGAGGTGGGACGGTTGAGCGATGCTCTTCAAGGTCGCAAGAAACCTCGGTCCAGCTCTAGGGTTATGCCTGGGTTTTCTCTAAAGAATGCAAAGGAATATTCAGCCCTCGTGTGATTCGTGAACAAGTCGAGTAAGTCGGCACCTAGGCTGTTCATCTTCGTACAGGTACTTACTCCACCAGAATCGTTGTTTACGCTTCTACCTTCATACCAAGTCATATTTACCATGCGGATCCATAGCACTATGAGATAACAATACAAATTTAAGATGGGACCTGGGAATTTCGCTCCAGACGTTCAAAGCTTTGCACTTGGTGCAAGTACCTTTTGCACAAGCTCCAACACGCGTTCAGCAGATCCCCTGTATCCTTACTTAGCAATTGCATCGCACAAATCGAATCACGAAAACTCACCAAGAAGCCTGATACCCCGCCCCAGCATGCCCGTAACAATGCACAATAGGCACTTTCCACTTGCCCACCTCCGTCTCAATTCTCATGCCTCCCTTCCTCGACGCTATTCCATCACGTTAGCCTTCACCCTCAACCCACTCCACTCCACTCCACTCCAATCATGAAATCGGGGATAAACAAAAAGAAACTCACGTCTCAATCCCACATTCCTCGCCAAAACCTGCACCTCCTCCGGCTTCCCCAATTCCGGACATAACTCACAGCACCGCCTCAATATATCCTGCCCAAGCTCCTCATCCCATTCAGAACTCCAATCGTTGTCTTGGCGGGAGCCGCCTAGAATAACGCCACCGCCCAGTGGGCGGGGGAAGACGTATGTGCATGTTGGGTCGATGCGGTGGGGGGAGCGGAGGTACCTTGTTGTTTTTGTGACATTAGCAAAAAGTTCTTATCAATAACTAACCTGTTCCCTTAATTTGTTTTAGGGGAGGCATAGAAACGGGGGGGGGGGAGAGGAAAAGGCATCACAATACCCCAGCCTCTCAAATTCATACATTCTCTCAATCGGAACTTTGGGTTCCGCAACAAGCAGAGTCTGGCCGCGGGTCGGGTACAAGTTCGTATCGCGGATGTCGGTTAGGGATAAGGAACCGAGGCCTGTGGCGTTGACGAGGAGGGTCGTGGATGGTATGTCTTCTAGCAACGAAGAGACAGAGCTATATTGTCGACGGAGTAAAGTGATTCCCTTGGCTAGGGCTTGGTGTTGTAACCTTTCCCCATCATCAGCATATCCACGTCGATACTGTTCGCTTTTTGAGCGGAAAGGAAAGGGAAAAAGGGGGGGACAGACCACTGCAAATATACCTGCGTATTGATCCGAAAAGTCTGTGGAATCTCAACCCCAAACACCGCATCTTTCGGTAAATCCTTCTTTTCTAGCTTTTTCAACCCCCCGACTAGCTCATCATACCATACCCGCCCTGTCCCTTGGCTTAGAATCCCCGCTTCCTCAATCGGCGTGTCGAATACAGCCCACATGCCCATACGACCCAACCCCGTTTCATTTCCGCCATCGCCCCCAGCTATATTCTTGACTTCGCCGGGTGTGCTGACTTGACAGCCAAACACGGGTTTTCCATCGATTAGTTCGCCGAAACGGCGAAACGTTACTTCGTCGTATTTTTCAAGGGGCCCGTTGTCGGTGGCCATGGAGGACCAGTTTGCGCCGGCCCAGGGCGAGGTGTAGTCTATGGAGCGGTCGCCGGGGAAGTGCTTTGCGGCGACTGTGACTTTGGCTGTGGGGTAGGTGTGGGAGAGGACGAGGGAGGTTGTTAGGCCGATTACGCCGGCGCCTAGGATGAGGATATGGGGAGATTCTTGGGGGGCTGACATTTTTTCTTTTGGTGTCGTGATGGGTGTCTTTGGTGAAGTTGGATTGAGAGTAGTATTATGTAATAAATGTTGGAAAGCGATGGGGGTGTTGGATCTAGGGATCTAGATTTGGGTGTAAGTAGGAATTGATAGCAATGATTAGACGCTTGTAAAATCAATCCAGATATCTGGTTGCAAGGGAATACAGCTAGTTGAACCTATAGTCTCAATGTTGAGCTGCCTTATAATGGAAGCTCGTCGGAATGATATGGGGTCATGGAGTCATACTATTCCGACGGTAAAACAGGCTATCAGCCGATTTGGAGATCGCCAGTCATTTCAATACATTACAAAAAATATTCACGTACCAAATATATTCCGATATATAAATAAATAATTCTTAGGGCAGAGGTAAATTTCTGCTGACAGTGTGTGGGAAGCTATATCGGTGTTGGTGCCATGACATGAGCAGATAGTGATACGAGGTCCGAAATCGGTATGGCGCTCCCGGCATATCTTCGCGAATGCACTTCACAACACGATACACGACTGCCAATGATGAAATCCATATATTCAAAAGAAATCCAGTATCATTAGGGCATATCAATTTGAGTATAGGTTTTAATATACCGACCAACTTTTTAAACACACCAAACCCATAACAGCAATCCACAACCACAGGAACCCATATAGTACAAACCGTCAACCCATGCGCCGCGAACCGATTTTGAAACTCATTACGCCGTCTGCTTCATAAACCAGTCGGAGCTAGCATCAACCATGTAGTTTGTAATATTGGACTCGTTGCCAAAAGTGCCGTCAGGCATCTGCACGTTACCATCGGGCGCAGGGTAGCTCATGACTCCATCCATTGATACGGGGAGTCTGGGCATATTGAAGAAATCGAATACATCCAAATACTCGAGTTCGTTCGGTGCAGGTGTTCGAGCCGGAGTAACGGATGCCAATTTCGTGCTCTGGTTGCTATTGAGCTTTGGCTGTCGCGAAATGAGAAAGTCCAAGTCAAATGCGCAACGTCGCATGTCCGCCAGGATTTTCACTGTCGAAGGCGTGACGCGTTCACCATTGGCACCAGCGGGTGCTTGTTGGCTTTCTTGGTACTCTGATAAAACACGCGACAGCAGGCTTGCATAGCGTGTGCCGACCTCCCAATACTGGCCCATGTCTCGAAGGGTGCTCACGAGGAGGTTAATCGATTGATCCACTCGATGATCAATAGTCGATCCATGAACCAGGAGAACTCGGGCAGCCACCCAGAGTGAGAACGCAAATGGGGGGCCGAGTTTGCTCAGCAGCGCGTTGTCGCGCACAGTAGCGCATAGAGCAGTAATATTTTCAACGGCGCTGAGACACCTTTGACTGGCACTAAACGACGGCGTAAAGATGGGCGATCTATGAGTAGGGTATGCTGCAGATGAGTGCAAGCGAATGACAGTACTAGAAGAGTCAGTATATCTGCTGGTAGAGTGAAGAGTAACCACTTACGTATGGAAAGCTGCGTGGAGCATGATCAAGCCACTATCGAGGTTCTGTCCCATGCCTGGTTTTGCGAATAGTCTGGCAGAGTTGCCATATTCTTGTGGAAGATTGTACTTCCACTGTTCGATGGCGTTGTCGAGTTCTCGATATTTGCTCTGCCAAGACTCAACATCAGACAGAGACGTGATATCCACGGGTTTTTTTAGAAACTTGTGTATTCTTGTGAGAATGCCAAGAATCTCAATCAAGTATGAGAATGAGCCCAGATTTTCGGGTCTGTTCATGCTGTAGTCTGATCTTGCCGACGTATGGAACCACCTCGTCTCTACCGGCGCATTGCGTGCATATAGGTCGTCGCGACACGGCAGACGGCGGTCGATTTCCTTGTCGTCCAGAGCAAATTCAAAGGCAGTTGCGACTGTTGCGTACCGATCAAGGACGTAGATCATCCAGAAGAGCCTCCGCCGGCTCTCCTCTTCTATCCAATCCTTTGGTTCTGGCAGTGTCATGGCCCGCAGGGTATATATAGAGGCGAACTGAGGAGCGACGCTTGGCGAATAGCTCTCAACCGACAAACCTAGCTGGACCACTGAACGAGTTATGAGTGCAAGCAAGTTCCATCCAGGCGGACCATTGGAGCAGCCAACAACGTCAAGTGCAAGGATGACAAGGGCCTGCAGCGACTTGACCGAGCTGTTCTCTATGCCGTAGAGCAAAACCTTTTCCTTGGAATTCTTGTGGTATCGCGTGCGCTTCTCAGGCGTAAGGCGTTGGTCTGTGGAGAACTTTACAGTTGTTGCAACGACTGAGTGCAGTATGATTTTGTCGGCGTCATCAAGGGGCATATCTCCAAAGAGCGAGTTGAGAGTGCTTTGGCGGTGGAGAATCGGACACCAAGTGTTGATGTGCTTGAAGAAGAGGTCGACGAGCCCGTAGAGCAGGTCGTATGGAGGAAAGTCTGCGTCGGCATGGCCCAAGTTCCGTGCCATTGAGGGCTGAAATTGCTCGCTGTAGGGTGTGTAGGGCTCGCGCGTGAGGGCGCCGCCCATGGCCGTCATGTCTTCGGGCGTGTAGCTGTGGCTGGCGACCGAAGAGGCGGGACGGTTGTCCGTGACGCCATTGCTGTATGTGGTGTGGATGGCACTCTGCGAGGGAAACGTGGGCTTCTGAATGAAGAGGGCAGTCTCGGGCCTGGGGATATGAGGAGTCTGGACAATGGGCGGGCTTCGGAAGGCAGTTGCATGCTGGGGCGAGGGGCCGGAAGTCGCGACCTGGTTGCTGGTGAGGTGGTTGATTTGTGACTGCTGTTGCAAGAGAAGAGCCTCGAGCTTATCTACAGGTCGTAGGTGTCAGCTTGCGACTGCTTAGCGGGACGGATACGAAGATGTGAGTAATTCTTGAAACTGGAGTCGGCCCATGGGGATACTTCGGCTACATATTTGCGTGTGTATGCATGTACTTGACGGCGCAACTTACCAAGTCGCGACTCGAGTTCGCGTCCGTAGCCAGCTCGGAGGCCCGGCTTCTTGCGTGGGAGGTAGACCTAGGGGTGGTTGAGTTTGCAGTGGGCACGCAGGAGGCGGACACACTCACACATGTGGAGTGGTTCTTCAGACACCACGAACAGGCTGGTGAGGCCCTGTCGCATTTCACTTTTCGCTGTTCTACACGGCGTCAGACGATGAAAGCGCGTGTGCATATGTATATCTTCATATATATATATGCCTCTGCCAGGGACGACTTACTGCATGTCTCGCAGCTCACGGAGAGAGGCCGCTTGCGCTTGTTGGATGCGCTGGCCTGGCCACGGTCGTTGGCATCGTCGTCGGTGGAGCGCTCATCGCCACTCCAGTCGTGCCCCTGTTCCTGAGAGTGCGAAGAGAACTTGGCCGTGCCATTTGGGCTCGCAGCTTGCTGGTGCGAGGCACTGGCGTCCATGGTCGATGATGCGACTGTCGGCGTGCAGCGGTGCGCAAAGGTTCGGCAGAGCGAACACCGAACTTCAGCCCCGCCCACGACCTCCAGCCCTTACCCCAGACATTGGCGCCGGCGGCCACACGGCGCCCATTGGTGGCCTCGGCACACTCGGGGCAATGCTGATCTGCACCACCAGCCCATGGCCCTGCCCATGCTTTCCCAATCATGCAGCCTTGCGCGTTGCCCTCCACTTGACGCCGGTTGCAACAGCGCCTGTCGCTGTCCTTCGTTACACATCGCAGCGAGATGAACCGAGGTATCCTCTTGCTGTGCATGTCGCCCACCATGGCCCTGCACATGATCCAGAGCCATTGAATTCAAATATCCCCCACGTACGACTTGCTGCCGTTTGCCCCTCACACTCCTCCAACTTTCCCTTTCGCTCACGACTAGAGTCACAATGGCTTCTTCACCGACTTCTGGCGCGTCGCGCTCGTTCCCTACAATCAAGCATGTGCGCACCTTTGTAACACAGGGCCCCGGAAGTGGCGGAGACTATCACAATGTTGCTGGTGGCCATTGGCTCATTGACAGCAAGATCTCAACTCCAATGAGCCAGTATGAGCAATATCGCAAGTCGAGAACGAGCTGGGGAATCAATGTTCTTGGTTCTTTCTGCGTCGAGATTGAGGCCAGTGATGGCACCAAAGGCTTTGCCACAGGCTTTGGAGGACCACCAGCGTGTTGGCTGGTTGCTGAACACTTTGAGCGCTTCTTGATCGGCCAGGGTGAGTGTCCAACAAAATCCTCTAGTATAAGCACTGTTAACAATATGCAGATCCCAGAGACACCAACCACATTTTTGAGCAAATGTATCGCGCCTCAATGTTCTATGGCCGCAAGGGTCTCCCCGTCGCCGTCATCTCAGTCATCGATCTCGCCATCTGGGATCTACTTGGTCACATTCGCAACGAGCCAGTGTACAAGATGCTGGGTGGTGCTACACGTGAGAGACTCAACTTTTACTGCACTGGTCCTGAGCCAGCAGCAGCAAAGGAAATGGGCTTCTTTGGCGCAAAGGTGCCGCTGCCCTATGGTCCTGGCGAGGGTGTCGAAGGCCTAAAGAAGAACGTCGAGTTCCTCACCAAACACCGTGAGAGTGTTGGCCCCGACTTTCCCCTCATGGTCGACTGCTACATGAGTCTGAACGTGCCTTACACAATCGAGGTGGTGAAGGCAACCGAGCACCTCAACCTCAACTGGTGGGAGGAGTGCTTGTCGCCAGACGACTCTGATGGCTTTGAGCAAATCAAGCGTGCTCACCCCCGAATGAAGTTCACCACTGGCGAACACGAATACTCGCGCTACGGCTTCAGGAAGCTCATCGAGGGACGCAACCTGGATATCCTCCAGCCAGACGTAATGTGGGTTGGCGGCATGACGGAGCTTATCAAGATTTCGGCCATGGCTGCTGCGTACGACATCCCTGTTGTGCCCCACGCCAGCGGGCCGTACTCATACCATTTTGTCGTCTCCCAAGCGAACTCGCCTTTCCAAGAGTACTTGGCAAACTCGCCAGACGGCAAATCCGTTTTGCCCGTATTCGGTAACCTGTAAGTGTCAACATTCGTGCTCTTGAAAATGTTTTCTGACCAGCCGTAGCTTCACCAACGAGCCCATTCCCACAAAAGGCTATCTCGACGTCAAGACCCTCGATCGTCCTGGCTTTGGCCTCGAGCTGAACCCGCATGCCGGATTGATCGACGCCACCCGCATCCTCAACCCTGCGCCACAAAAGGCCCTGAAGCCTGCCGAACCAGAGAAGCCGGCCGAAACCAATGGAAGTGCGTAATGTTTGCATAGCATAATGGTGTTCATGGAGTTGTGTACAGGTTGGTTCGGGTGGATTTCTTGGCTTGACGCATTGCGCTGGAGCATCAGATGTTTGCTTCTTTTTGTTCGCTGCTGGGTGACTGATGGCGGTATGTGGCTGCATTTCCATAGCTTCCGTCACATGGTAGCTTTGACGACTGCACTGGCAGCAAAAGCATCGCTTGCAAATAAACAATACATGTCATGTCATGTCTATAATTAGTAGTGACTGGTGGGCGCTGACGATCTCGCAAGCCTCGATCTTGCCCATGTGGGGCAACACGGAGCGTCAGAGCTGTGCTGTAGCCAGGTCTTGTAGGACACGCGGTGTGAAACCTGCAGCTCTGCGTTCTTTTTCCAACCACTCTTTGTGTATTTGTAGGCGTACACCCCTTCAATCAATTGCAATTGTTGTTCCCATCATTACAACTACCCCGCCATAACCCCACTTCATCATGGAAGCCATCAAGGATACCGTAAACAGCGCGCTTGAGAAGCTTCACATCGGTGGAACTGCTCAAGGCACTCCTGCAAAGGAGCCATCAGAGGCTGAGTTCAATGAGCTCAAGGCCAAGTACCAGAAGGCTGGTCAAGATCAAGTTTTTGTGCGTGCGGCCTTCCCCAACTCCAATGTTTCGGAGCACCTAAATGGATTTGATGAGCATCAGATGAATTGCAATTCCCGAACGCAATGCTAACTCCTTCCCCATAGTCTTTCTATGACAAGCTATCTACCTCCGAGAAGGCCTCTCTCTATGAGCAGCTAAGCAACTTCAACCCCGAATACATCAACGAGATCACCGAGCGTGCCCTCCACCCTGCACAGACCGAAGCAACTGAGAACAAGCTCGAGCCTCTCCCTGAAAATGCTACATCTTCAGTCCTCGACTCCTCGCAGGACAACCTCGATCAATGGTACAACAACGGCTTGGAATTCATTGCCAACAACCAGGTCGCCGTTGTGCTGATGGCTGGTGGTCAAGGCACCCGCCTGGGAAGCTCGGCTCCCAAGGGATGCTTCGACATTGGACTCCCAAGCCAGAAGAGCCTGTTCCAATTGCAGGGTGAGCGCATCAGGAAGGCCGAGATGCTGGCTGCAAAGAAGCACGGCAAGGAAAACGTCACCATCCCATGGTACGTTATGACTAGCGGACCTACTCGAGGACCTACTGCCGAGTTCTTCGAGAAGCACAACTACTTTGGCTTGAAGAAGGAGAATGTCGTCATCTTCGAGCAGGGTGTCTTGCCATGCATTTCAAATGAGGGCAAGATCCTCTTGGAAAGCAAGTCAAAGGTATGCCTCGACAATCCCTCAGGCCTAACAGCCAACAACACATCAGGAAAGTACTGACACAGAACAGGTCGCCGTCGCGCCTGATGGTAACGGTGGTCTTTACCAAGCCCTTATCCAATCTGGTGTCGTAGCCGACATGGGTAAGCGCGGAATCAAGCACATCCACGCCTACTGCGTCGATAACTGCCTGGTCAAGGTCGCTGACCCCGTCTTTATTGGCTTCTCTGCATCCAAGAATGTCGACATTGCCACCAAGGTCGTCCGCAAGCGCAACGCCAAGGAATCTGTCGGCCTCATCCTCCAGAAGAACGGCAAACCAGATGTTGTCGAGTACTCTGAGATTTCGACCGAGGATGCAGAGGCCAAGGATCCCAAGGACTCTGAGCTGCTCAAGTTCCGTGCTGCCAACATTGTCAACCACTACTACTCATACAGCTTCCTCGAGAGCATCCCCGCATGGGCCAAGAAGCTACCCCACCACGTTGCTCGCAAGAAGATTCCCTATGTCAACACCGAGACTGGAGAGACGATCAAGCCAGAGAAGCCCAACGGCATCAAGCTTGAGCAGTTCGTCTTCGACTGCTTCCCCTTCCTTACCCTCGACAAGTTTGCTTGCATGGAAGTAAAGCGTGAGGACGAGTTCTCGCCGTTGAAGAATGCCCGCGGCACTGGAGAGGACGATCCCGATACGAGCAAGCAGGACATCATGATGCAGGGCAAGAAGTGGGTCCAAGCTGCCGGTGCCACGGTTGTCAGCGAGGATCCCAAGGAGGGCATTGAGGTCTCTCCATTGATTTCTTACGTAAGTTTTCCTAGTGCCACGACTCCCATTGCACGTGTTGTATACTAATTGCAGTGCAGGGCGGTGAAGGCCTCGACTTCCTCAAGACGAGGACAATCAAGGCTCCCGCGGTCATCGAGTCGGAAGACTAGATGGTATTGTGCCAAGAGCAACACAATACCTTTTCGTGCACTGGGCCGTACACTGCGTACGGTTGTAGAGATACAATTTCTACTAGCACGGAGATCAAAAAATCAGATAGATACGAATGAATATGCGCATTGAGGCCGATTTCCTGAGTTTCTAGCATGTGCACATGCAAGTCCATTGTGAGTGAATTATTTAACAGAAGCTAGTAACTATCTACTTACGTAGTTGTATCCACGTACCAATTGGAAGAAGAAGCTTTTCAGTTGACCTGATTGTCACGTCTGAGCGCAGTTTAGATAAGTAGAACATAAGTAGGTGAACAGGATCTGCCACCCGGATTCTGTGATTATGCACTGGAGATGCCATCGAGAAGCTCTACCGAAGAAGCGTGCAGAAGGTCACATTTCGCACTAAACATGATTCCAGTGTAACTTCATAAATAACTTCTTAAGCAAAAACTGCCCTTGAAGTCCGTATCAGCGGCTTCGTTGTTCAAGAGATATCGTACGGTGCTACTTATTTGTCGGTTCTTTCTTTCTTCCGCAACTCTTTGATGCTTGTAACGTTTACGCGACTAATCGGGATGCGCCTGTCATTTCGAGGGTCGCGGATGGTTGTGTACTCTAGGAGGCAAGAATATTGGAAGTTGGTTAGGGGGGCTTGGAGTGGGGTATATGTTCAACGTGCAGTGGTGGTGGTGGAGCTGATTACAACCCCCCTTCAGTGTGATGGGACTTCTTGTGTCTCCACGTTAGAGTTTCAAAGAGTAGAAAGATTGTAACATTTATTGCGGTGGAATTGCGTCACGTAACGCAAAAGTTGCGAGTTTCGGTGATTTGGCGGAGGAAACAAATGACGCCTGCCTGCTACTATTTCTATACGCTAATTTATACCTAAGGGCCTGTTTGGTATCGTGAGTTGGATGTCTATTGTGACTGTGAAATGGAGCCTAATCGGAGTTGTTATAGTGCTTGCTGTGTTCGCAGGTTTGATTGGAATTGGAATAGAAGAGGATTTTTGGTCAACTATAGGTATTTCCAAATATATCGTACTTACCTATGGTACAACATTTGTCTTCCATATCTTGGTTACTTAACTTTGTTGTGTAGTAAGATAGGAACGTGGTATAATCACGTGCCCCTACCACGTGCTTATATTTAGGACCTGAAGCGATGGCACGGAGCACAGGACTAGATGGGAGAGGGGCGGCAGCGGTGGAGGGGTAAGAGTCCAGAATAGGACCCCCCCGCGACGGCGACAGGGCGGCAGATGCACGGCAATGGGCGACGAAACACGGCTAGGGTGAAGGGTGCATGGATGGATGCACCTATGGGAAGGCATATGATGCAATATGCAACGGCTCGGGGATTGTTGCGCGCAGGTTTCGACCTCGGGAACAGCCAAATTGCGCATTTCGCTAGCGCAACCGAAGCAGGGACCACAGCCATGAGCGGTGCATTTTGCCCGTCGCCTGAGCATTCCATGATCCCCAGTCTCTCACACCACACATACTGTACAATCGGAGGAAGGTTGCTGAAGTGTTGTCGAGGGAAGGCCTGGAAAGTCGAAAGTATGTTGCGCCCGCCCAAGATTGCTGTTTCCCGCATGTGCGCGCCTGGGTCCTCTCGGCGCATGCGATCATGCCCCGTTTTACCCCTCGACCGCCGCCCCTCGAAAATTTGCGACTGACGGCAAGCCCAGGTGACGGAATCTGAAGAAGAATACGAAGCAGGTACTTGCGCCCTATGTCTGCTCATCTGCGCCTGTCCATTTCCCCGCCCAAACAGAGGCACCGCACGCCGTAGAGCAAACGCCCTGCCCAAAACCCGCCCCCGCGTCCCACGATCCACTGCCTCTTCCCTCTTCGCACAACCACCCACTCTATGCTCACGCCTGGTGCAGATATATACCAAAGAAGAAACAAGCAAACATGTCGTCTCTGTCTCGTCGTGCGTGCTTCAAGTGCGGAAACGTCGGCCACTATGCCGGTAAGCAACATCCGAGTCACTGACTTGTGGCGCTCGTCGCAGTGACACAATTGCGAGGTATATGTGTCGATGCGATATCTGCAATTGTGGCGCTTGTGTCGCGAGACCATGAAGATGGTGACGAGATATACATTCAGCAGTGCGACTAACATGAACATGCAGAGGTGTGCTCTTCATCCGAGAGGCTCTGCTACAACTGTACGTCTGAATCCATGCCCACGCGCACACAAGACAATCCGCTAATCATCCAATAGGCAAGCAGCCAGGACACGAGTCCAACGGATGCCCACATCCCCGCACCACCGAGAGTACGTCATTCAGAATCTACCACTTGCGCTACTTGTCCCACGCCGTACCGTGGTTACTATCTTCGCACATTCGCAAAAGCCTGGCAGGCTGAGGCCACGACGAACTAGAATACTGACGAAGCAACAGCTAAGCAGTGCTATCACTGCCAAGGCCTCGGACACGTTCAGGCTGACTGCCCGACTCTGCGATTGAGCGGAGCTGGAACCAGCGGACGCTGCTACAGCTGTGGTATCGCTGGCCACCTTGCCCGCAACTGCCCCAACCCAGGAATGGGCCGCGGTGCCGGCGCTCCCCGTGGCGGTTACGGAGGCTTCAGGGGCGGCTTCGCTGGCGGCGCTCGCCCTGCTACTTGCTACAAGTGTGGCGGACCTAACCACTTCGCCCGTGATTGCCAGGCTCAGGCCATGAAGTGCTACGCCTGCGGCAAACTCGGTCAGTATAGTCGTCCGAATACGGTGTAGCGCCATTGACTTTCCATAGGACACATTTCCCGTGACTGCACCGCTCCCAACGGCGGCCCACTCAACACTGCCGGCAAGACCTGCTACCGCTGCGGCGAAACCGGCCACATCTCTCGGGACTGCACCCAGGCTGAAGTCAACGGCGACTCTGCTGCTGCTGCTGCTGCTGCTGCTGCTGCTGCTCCTGCCGCTGCCCCCGTTCCCGCGGCCGTTGCTCCTACGACTGCTGTCGCTTAGACGGCTCATGAGCTCCGCCAGCTCAAGCTTCGCCACGAGTACAATTGTAGCGAAACAATTAGCATTTACAGCATGCAGTCCCATATCTTTCGTTTAGTCCGGTATCTCTTGACAATCGTTTCCTAGCCTATCTCAGCATCTTTTCGGCAAATCTCACGCATTCACGAGTCATCAACGGTTTAAAAAAAGTTCTTCACAATTCTTACACTGATACCCACAAACGTTATCCCTTCAACCATTCTACCATGATTTCGAAACAGACGACGGCTTGGCGATTTGGATGGTTGCTCTCTACCCTCTATGGATGTGCTTGCATCGGCTAATGTAGTGTGCGCATGCGCTTGGATAGTATGGTAGTGGCTTCCTATGGAGCTTGAAGGCGGCTGTGGTGGTTTGGGTGCAGAAAGTTTGATGCAAAGGGATCGAGGTGGTTATGGAGGAGGGAAGAGTGAAGGAGACTGTGTGGTTTTTTGTCAGGAGCTGGGGTTAGCACGTGTACCCCGTGATTTTCCATCTTGCATCCCTTTTCTTCTCGGCTATTCCGTCATGGTAGATTTATTTATATTTCTCTATCGTGCATACATGTTGTTTTTGCCAGTGACATGGCTGATATGGGTAATAGCAGAAATTCTAGAGGCGCTTGCAATCTTCGTATGTTTGTTTACATTAGTTATCCAACAAGCAAAACATGGAATCCAAGTACTTGCACGACTCAATTTCACTTCATCAACCACAGTGTTTGCATAGCATATGCCAATAGCATACCCCTTTCCTTCCTTTACAACCATTGATACTACCATTGCCCCACCTCCGCACTAGCTAGTCCTCCCGACGTACCTCCCCCATCGCACCTTCCCTCTCTCACTTTCGCTACATACAACTTTGAGCGGGTGGCTCATTCCTTCCTATGGTGCTCGCTCTTTCCCAATACGTATGCGTGTCTCTGCATTGGTCCTCACGATCTTTTCTTTTCCCTTTCCTTCTCTCTCTACCATCATCTTTCATCTTTCCTTCGCCCTATCTCTTCAGGCAACATCTGTATACTTGCTTGCTCCGCTTTTCTTTTCATCCAGTATCGCATACTCCACGTAGATTACTAGCATGGCGGCGGAGTCAGTGGCTAGTGATGACGAGCACAACGATGATAGCTTCATTGTAGACATCGATGCGATCCAGGCACACGGCATTGGCGCTGTCGACATCTCTAAGCTAAAATCCAACGGCTACTACACGATCGCTTCCGTACACTCAGCTACCCGCCGCAACCTACTCAAGATCAAAGGCTTCAGTGAGGTCAAGGTCGATAAAGTCAAGGATGCTATTGCCAAGTGCCAGGTCAGTTGTGCTGGAGCGGTAGTGAGCGAGCTTGCTTTGCTAAAAAAAAACATATGCAGCCTACAGGTGGAGGCTTCCAGACTGCTCATGAGCTTGGACAACAGCGAAAGCGCGTCATCAAGATTTCTACTGGTAGCAAAGCGCTCGACGCGATTCTCGGAGGGTAGGTGCATCTGCTCATATTCTCTCATGACATCCGTTAACATATTGCAGTGGCTTTCAGACAATGAGCATCAGCGAGGTATTTGGCGAGTTTCGCTGCGGAAAGACGCAGCTCTCACATACCATGTCTGTCATTGCACAGCTGCCAAAAGACATGGGGGGTGCTGAGGGCAAGGTAGCATATATTGGTGTGTTGCCCTCATGTGGCCATCACCTCTTCTGACCGTGGCCCAGACACTGAAGGCACCTTTCGACCAGAGAGGATAACTCAAATCGCAGAACGTTTTGGTGTAGATCCTGAAACCAGTCTGTAATCCCGCCTCCTTGTTAACATTTGTGCTGATACTTTGCAGCGCAAGACAATATCACATATGCCCGCGCTGTTAACTCTGAGCATCAGATGGAGCTCTTGAACAAAGTCGCAGAGTTCTTTGTCAGCAACGAGTATCGGCTTCTGATCATCGACAGCATTATGGCACTCTTTCGCGTTGACTACACTGGACGTGGTGAGCTCAATGAGCGACAGCAAAAACTCAACCAGTTCCTCTCGAAGCTCACGCATGTCGCCGAGGGTTTGTCATAGTTACCCTGTTGCTCATTATTCAACTAATGATCTGCAGAGTTTAACGTCGCAGTGCTAATGACTAACCAAGTTCAAAGCGATCCAGGAGCAAACGCTTTATTTGCCAGCGCCGATGGTCGTAAGCCGGTTGGGGGTCATATTCTCGCTCACGCTTCTGCCACGAGGATTTTGCTTCGAAAGGGACGAGGCGAGGAGCGCGTCGCAAAGATTCAAGACTCTCCTGGTATGTCGACTCCATAATGTCTAGCCTTTATCACTAATCCCTCTCTCTAGACATGCCTGAGAAGGAAGCTACGTACATCATTACCAATGGCGGAATCAACGACCCGGAAAAGGTGTGACGGATATTCAAAGATCTCGTGTCTGCACATCTATGGGTACCGGAGGTGACCTTCTATATGTTTGAAAAGTTCTCAGAACTTATGTCCGAGGAGGAAAAATGGAGGGTTGTTTACGGTCAAGGGAGTCTTACCTATAATCAATTACATGTCACAATACTCAGCGCTGAATTGCTAGGACAACCTAAGGTTGTTCTTAACTTACAGTAGGGTAATCTCATATATATTTCCTTCTTTCGTCATTGCGCAAGACATGCTACTTCCATCAATCTCGATACCACAACTATAATTTACCATGCTTCACGGCATACAAACCGCAAGTGTAACTGCACTTTGTAGGTACACCACCTGCCCAAATTTGAGAAAGAAATTTTGATTGAATTCGTTGAAACGGTTTGTATTATCCGGTACAGCGAGGTGGATGGTAGGTTTAGATCATAAGAGATGCGCTGAGTGAGGTTAGTTTGCCAGATGACTGGCACCTTTTTATGGGCATGGTATAACGACTAGGATGGTGCAGGGACACGCCCCCTTTTTTTCTTTTTTGATGACGGTGTATGGAGTGGTGATTCTTGGAGGTTATAATGTAGAGAGGTCTGGTTTTTGGGAATTATACACATGATTCACGAACTCTCCGTTTTTCTTCTTCTTCTCTCTTTTGCTGAAGGAGGTGGATGTGGGGGTGGAAAGGGGGGAAATGGAGTTGATGTGGAGGTTTGCTTGGGGATTTTGTTTCATTTTTCTTTTCCTTTTAATGGGGTTAGAAGACATTTTGTGATAGATAATGGTTTGTATTCAAAGAGGGTATGAGGGGGGGTTTGCTGTTGTTGCTATTGTTGCTGCAGTTGCTGCAGTTGGATCTCAGGTCAATGGTTAGTAAGTCGGATGGTGTCGTCAGGACCGCTGTGAACCTTAAGTACTGGGTTTTTTCTTTTCTTTTGGGTCTTTCGTGCTCCCCATTGTGACAATCCTCCGTAGTAAACAGATAGTAGCTAATTTTGGTTATTGCTGGTACGAACTTGGGGTGTTGAACTTTGGGAAAGATAGGTGACGTATATGTGCGTCTCCAACTAGAGGCCACCCATGGAAAGTTCTGGCGGACAAGAAGTTGCAATGATTAGTATACCTTCTCTCCACCCATGTACGGAGGTTTGAATCGCAAAAGCCCTGTCTGTTAGGCTTTAGAAGAGTGAGGGGAGGCGGAGCACCTGGATCCCACATGGCGATCGGCCCCAAATATTTTGTGGCCTCGCGAGTACTTCATTGGGCTCTTTATATTCGTCAAGCCTCCACCATCCGCAGGCTCCAATCAAAGTATAACCACACCGCAACAACTGCTGATAGACCTCGCAGCGGCCAACCTAAGATACTTTCGAGACAACAGAGAAAGATTATCTGGCGTGTTGCACGCCGCTCGCTGAAAATTGAGTATAAAGAGCTTTAAGAAGCTGCAATAGTTGTGCTAGCCTACCTAGCAAGGCTACCCTCTATCGGATGCTCCGTAGTCTCAATACAGTTAAATACCGGTGCAAAAAGCGACCAAAACCAACTCCTTTCTATACTCGTAAGTGCCTATAGTTTGCCTATCGTTATTGACCATGGCCTTGGGGCCACCGCATAGTCAAGTTCTCAGATGAGTGCTCAATTCAAAAGAATTCCTACTTAGAACAGGAGTGGTGCTGTCGACATCTAGAAAGAAAGTAGGAATACTAGCTGATAGCTTAAGTATCTCCTGGCTAAGTAAGGCGCCAGATGGTGTGGGGAGTTATCTGGATCGACGAACGTGGGCGTGGTCGCTGCAGTCCTTGCGTAATTATGGAAAGAGATTACGCCAGCACTTCATTGAAAAAGAGGAACGCGATAAGCGAACGGAATATAGTAGCAAGTGAGACTGGGAGATTTCAAGTCCATCATGACAACAACACGACCATAACACCACACATATAGGACAGAATTGAATAATAAGGAGCGACTCTAGTTGAAAACCTTCCTCCTTCAACCCTGTAACTTTATGCATCCTCCATGGCAGTCCTATTTATCACCCCCCACATGTTGACTAAACGTCCCGTGCTCCGTACTAAATACGAGCACTTTAGCAGCATTGGCCGCCGATGTTCTGGCCTTGTTCCTAGTTAGACACCAACATTCCAACGAAAGGCCTTGACATACCCTTAGAGTCATAAAGACAGTTGTCAGCACCATAGTAGATATCACCATAGTTGGAAGGCCACGTGAAGTCTTTCGTGCAGTGGCTGGTCTGGTCCAACTTGGCTTCGACATGGGCTTTGCCACCGTCAATCTGGCGTGCACCGTCTTTGCCCGCGCAGAGGATAGCTTGGTTGAGGAGGATGCAGCCTCTGTTTACGTGCTGTTTCTTAAGTCAGCACTTGCTAAGGTTTGATCAAGAACAACATACAAACCATGTCGCCGAGACTGAGGCGGTGGAGGCCAGGACCGCTGCGATGGTGGCGATCTTGATGGTAACCATTTTGAGAAAGAGTAGATTGATAATTGTGAGTAACAAGGAGTACTTGAAAAGACAATCGATAGTTGCTGTGGTAGATGTCAACCTAAGGGAATAATGACCAGCTCTTTATATCTGCTCTTAACGCCCTGCTAAGGAGAGTTAACCAATGGGTTATATCCTTCGGTGCTTATTCATTATCCTAGGAAGCATATTGAATCCAGGTAGTGCTTACACAGGTATGTATGATCTCGTTTTGAAAACCATTAGATCTTTTTTCGGGCATATCGGCTCGGTCGATCCAATGCATATAGCCGTTAGCGGCTATAGCTCCACCTATCACACGAATGCTAAGAGCATTATGCTCAGGCTGGACTTCCAGGAAAGGTCTAGTGATGACTGCGGGTTTCCGAACACCCATGTCACCGGTTACTAAACACTTTCCTAATCTGGGCGCGATTTACAATGCTGCCCCCAATGTTGTCTCAAAAGTAAAGAATGTATGGCACGCCTGGTAGGACTAACTAGAATGCCTAACAGAACCAACTAGCACGCCTAACGCAACGAATTGCTCCGTCTAACGAAATAAATTGCTCCGCATAACAGGCGCCTAACCAAAAAGTGACCCAGATGCCCACCGGTCATATTACTTGCAACATGATTGGTATTAATGCAAGTCGGAGTCTGTCTTACCTATGCAATGCATGTAGAAACAAGCTTAACACCGGATTCATATAGTTGATAGTGCGAAGGCAAGCTTGCGAGCAGTATCGCCTGGAATCAACATTCGAAGCTAAGGTTGTAAGGTGTGTCAGATCACGATATCCACTCATACTGCACTAAGAATATGAAGCAATTGCCGAAGGATCCTTTGCTATTACCGTGCCTTGAGTAAGCATCTGCATATCTCTCATCCTATTATACGAACGAATCAAGTGCCTTCGTTTGAATTCACTGTAAATTGCGGACGGGTAGCACCATTAAGTGCCTTTGTTTAGAACTTTAGAGTTCCTTTGTTTACTCTAAATTTTCACAATACTTTGAACTGGAGACTAACCCTCGGGGATCCATTAGATACCCCTCGGGCCAGCGAAGCTACAGTCACGTGCATTGTAACGTGTTTCGCAAATAGGCATAAAATATATTAGTTAGAGTAAATTAAGGCGAATTCTTAACAAGTTACCTTAGGTTTAGACAGGACTATATACTCAATATCGGTAACTATAGTCTCGCTAGCCTAAGAGATATCTAATAGATTATTAAAAGTTAGCCTTTAGTGTAGAGTATCGTGATAATAGCCCTCTTCTTTTGAGAGTTATTCTAAATTAGCGTGGTAAATAAGTATAGAGACTACATACGAGACATTGATGATACCTAATACGTTACCCAGAGAAGATCCTTGTACCTACGAGGACGTGCTGAATGAGAATTCACCTACTGGGTACTTCTACTATGACATGGAGAGCAACACAGCACAAGAAAATTCCAAAATAGATCAAAAGAGAACCTTCGAAGTACTTCTATGACAAGGACTCAGTCCTCAATCCCAAGCATCCACCAACGGTAATCTATACAACTTCACTATCGATTACAGTATCGCAGATCTCCACGGCGAATACACCGCAGCACAAGTCTGTCCTCTATCCGCAATCGGCGTGTCCTGTACCTCAAAAAGTAGCGTCGACACCGCAGACATCAACGGCGTTCACTCCACCTTTTCAAACTTCATACGAAACGACACGCCCATACCCACCCGCCGCGGTGAGTGCTCTCGAAGCCTCGGCGCCAAAACTCTCGCATGCACACTGCGCCTCCAGGATAAAGGATGTATTAGATGGTTCTTCAACTCCGTTGGCGCACCGCTCCCCACCGACAGTGTACCAACGAATAACCCCAGCTTCATCGATATCGGTTTGAGAGAGAACGTCCAACTAGCTTACGTGCAAGCTTCACAGCTAAGACAGAGTCTATTTAAAGCGTTTTCTTCATATGCCATTACACTCATGTACAACAATGGTCGCGATTTCATTGCGCCCGATGGGAGTCGTCTTGTCAAGACGAACCCCAACATGACTGCTTTCACTGCTGGCACTGTAACAACGGGGAACGCCATACCCGCCATCATTCCCATTGCTCTATTCGGGTTCTGGGCAGTTGCCAGCTCGGCACTGTGTCTTGTATACGGCTTTCGCCGTCGCTGGAGTGCGATATTAGATGGGCATACGGTCTCTAGACTCGGCGTTGAGGTGAAGGATGGGTACAAAGCGAAATTCAAGAAGCATTCGACGCTAGCGGATATCGAGGAGTGTACTGCGCTGCATGAGATTCTGGGGTTTTTGAGCGATACGCAACCGAGGAATTGTCTGGGGAGAATCCGACTTGTTGAGGGGGACGCTGCTGATAAGAATAAGTATTATGAGTGATGGAGGTAGATGAATGACTTGTCTTAGAAGATATGTATCCTTATTCTCGGATTTTTTTACGACAACATGCCAGGCAAAATTGTTTCGCACTTTCTGTGATGTTGGCTAGACTGCTTGTTGTATCAAATAGGAACATTGGCAAACTTACTTCTGTATACTTGTATTCATCTGCGTATATAGAAACATAACCAGTTCTGCTTGCAAAAGAGAACATCAAAGCTATGTTAATTCATTTAAGCCCATCTGGACTATCACATCCAGACTCTCTAAATCAAGAAAAAGTAGTATATAGTATTTTTTTTCCACCTGTATATCGATGGAAAGATTTATACCAAAGTGATATGACTGAATTTCGAAGTTTCCGCAGCCTCACCATCCATAATACCATCCACATAAGCTTCGCCAACCAAGTTAAACCGCCCCTTACCCAGCGGCCGAAGCACAAACGGAACCTGGCTTCCTTCAATAATCGCAACTGCATCACCCTGTCTTACACCATCTGAGCCCAACCCAAGATGGCCCTTTTTCGTCACAAAAGGAAGCCGTCCTAAGCTCCTTCCCATAATTTGAAATGCCAACGGAAGCTCATTCCTTATCCTATCTTTAAACTTCGTGGTTATTGTCTGAGTAGCTAAGAAGCGCTCTGCCTCAACTCTGAAGCGCCCATTTCCAATAAGCCGGAGCCCATCTCGCAAAAGGACGACAGCATCATCGAAATGGGCATTTCCAGCGCGGGTGAATTCCCCTTCACTATTCCTTACGGTGTCTCCGGTTGAAGTTCGTGCACTTGCGGATAATCGGTCGCAAAATCGCTTGTAATGTTTCCTTGTGCAACAATAGCTGAGGCGCAGAATCTCGACAAGCCACTCTGAAGGCCATGTGTACGTCTCCGGAAGTGGTACATCTTTGCTGTCAATCCGGTTGGGGAAACGACCGACTTGAAAAATCTCATCGAAAAGAATAGACCTGATTGATATTTGCTTCACGATCCCGGAGTCTTCCTCTAGTATCTTGATTGAAGTTCTGTTGTATGTGCGATGACAGCCTGAGGAACAAAACTCTGGGTATAGAGTCATATGGTCGTTGCGCACATCTTGCAACATATCAGTTACCGATCGCGACCAATCCGGGACCCACGATGGAAGGTTTGGCGACCTTGAGGGTTGACACATAGAGAGAATGGATATATGGCCCTGCCGTAGTAACGCTACCATCGTAGTAGTGTAGGTTTGTTCGTATGGAATATCATAGTTTGGGACGACGCCAAAACCCTTCAACTCTTCTCGATCTGCAGCCAGGCCTAGCAAGGCGAAGATCTTGTCCTCTGGTCTTGTCGCTTCGAGATTATGAGGTCCGTGTTGTTTAAGATTTATGCTGCCGACACACGTTGCGCGAAGAAGGGCTACCAATTGGAATGCGTTATGCCGGTGTATCTTTGGCATGGTTAGCATGAGGGTAGGACGGTGGTGAAATAAAAGCCTCATAATATCGAAGCGATATTGTGTGAAGTGTGCTTGTTCTCTCTGGAAGGCAGTAGCGTTGGCTTTCCATAGTGTTGCATACATGTGTATGAAAGCGTTGCAACAGGTCCTTGACAGTCTTTGGGCTCCACAAACGAAATGTGTATCCCTGGAAAGAGCAGCTTCTTGCAAAACCCATACTCTTGTCCACCACGGTCTAGTAAAGAAATTGTTCAAGTCGGTAATTGGTAGCAGGTTACTCAGACTGCTCCTGCCGCTGATGGAATCGAACAGGCTTTTCATGGCTTTACCGTACCATGGGTTGGCCGATACCACTCGCTGATATCCCCCAGAGACAAATTCGATTTCATGCGATATTCTTAGGCCTAGTTCAGGTACATCCTCGAAACCACAAGCTTCTGCCTTTGACCCAATGGTGTTGATACAGTGGATGGCTACGTCACTGCTTTTGTCTGCTGGTCCTAACCACACAAAGACATGATCAGCCCATTCATAAATCTCTCTCATCAAACCTACTTGAAAGCTCTTTTCTGTATTGTTTCCCTGGTTGATACAGATAGCATCGATCCAGAAGTGAAAGGGCTGATTATGGGACCTTGTATAGGGCTTAAGCCTAGCTAATCTTTTACGATTTTCTCGAAATTGCCATAGTGCCTCGTGGAGATTTTGGGTCACCGCGATGGTTTTTCCGTTACATAAAAGATTTACTGTGTCGTTTGCATCTCCCCATGTGTAAGAGAGTGCGATGTATGGCGGATGGTTGTCAATCCTGTACTTTTCGATTCCAAGCGAGATAATTTCGTCGTTGTGGCCGAATTTAAGATCGAGTAAACGTATATGTCGATCCTTTAGACTATCCGAGTATTCGAAATACGCCCTTGGAGAAACTGTTAGCTACAATGCAATATTCCATAATTGTTTCTTATAGAAATGGCTGAGACTTGCGGAGACAGGATGAATGAGACTTGGGACGAGCAGGTGTTGAAAAGAGAAATAAATTGGAACAATTACTCATGCAAATGCTGACTAGATGATGATGGAGTTAAAGCTGAGGCCTCCATATCTTTCGCTCTCATGATACGGGGTCTGGAGCTGGGCCCTCACAGTATAGGCTGACTGATGCTATGTATGCTGTGCAGAAGTTGTATCGTTGATTGAACAGGCTGAAGCAATGGGTTTAAGACAAGATGTTGTTGCTCGAATGCCGTTGGCATGTAGCGAATGAATATATGCCACGACACAGTAGCAGCTAAGCAACAACAAGTCCCTAATGTATGTTGGCAAAGACGCAGTTGAGGATGGGTGGGGGCGTTGCAGACCGGTGAGCTAACTGAAGGAAGGCACATCCCACAAGGCTGAGGAGCCATTAGTTGTACCACATGATATCACCTGCGATTATAAAGTCAAATATCTTCATCGCTAACCTATCAATTTCTGTTATGTATACAAGTATTTTATTGGCAGGCTATCATTAGGCAGGTGATGACTAGTCGATTCCCGTCATGTGTATTCTTCTGCGAAAAGACAGATCACGTGATGACCCTCAACCCATTGGTTCGTACCTCGTGAAGAAACAGAGAGAACTTCTCCATCTTGTCTTACCAGACGTCAAAATAAAGAGATGAATAAAGACAAACCTAATGTATTTGCCAGACATGAAGTGGACCTTAGTGTACCAAACTTAACCCAAGCTACAAGCTTACTGCATACGCGTCGGCGTCGAAGCTCCACTCGAACCTCGGTCCTTTGTCCTCCCCGCATCCCTCTCGCATCCTCCAACTAATCATAGATTAATTCGACGCAGCAACACAAGCACATAAACATCGCATACTCAACACAAAAATAAAAACATCAATCCAATAAATCTTTCAATTTCCCATCCTTACAGAAACAAAAAATCTAATCTAATTCTATACTCGCTACTGTACTGTTTCCACTACTACCACTACTCCTAATACATACCACATCCCATCACCCAACATGCCCAGACAACCCAAGCAATCTCCCCGTCACAAACCAGACATCCAACTCCCTACCTCCTACAACGACCTCCCTTTTACCCAAATCCGCACTCAGCACCATACCAAGGACGCATCCATCATCATCCTCACGCTTTACCGCCCGCAAAACCACAATGCATTCACCGACACAATGCAGGCGGAGCTGGAATCCGCATACGCCATGTTCGACGTAGACGAGCGTGTAAGATGTATCGTTGTGACGGGCCATGGACGGATCTTTTGTGCAGGCGCGGATCTGGATGATGGGTTTGGGAAAGGGGTGGAGGCGGAGGGGGCGGAAGGTGTGGCGGAGCATAGGGATGGGTATGTTCATTCCTTCTCGCACTATTCATCTTGGGTTGGCTATTGGGGATGCTGAGTTTTGCTAATGCTTTGAGAATAGAGGCGGACGTGTCGCTCTCGCCATACATCACTGCCGGAAGCCAAGCATAGCTGCGATCCAAGGTTCCGCAGTTGGCGTAGGCATCACCATGACGCTGCCTATGAACATCCGCATTGCAGCGTCAACAGCGAAGATAGGGTTTGTTTTCTCGCGTCGTGGACTCATCATGGAGGCCACTTCTTCATTCTACCTGCCTAGGTTGATTGGGCACTCACGTGCCATGCAGGCTGTTACCACGGGCAGCACGTATCTGGCTACGCACAAGGTCTGGGACGGCCTTTTTGCAGAAGTATGCGAGAAGCCTGAGCAGGTGCTGCCAAGGGCGCTCGAGCTGGCTGAGGAAGTAGCTGGGAACACGAGCAGTGTTAGTACGTACCTAATGAAGGAGTTGATGTATAGGGATCGTGGAAGTCCCGAAGGCCAGCATTTGTTGGACAGCAGGATCATTTTTGAGTTGTTTGGGTCGCCGTAAGTTTATGCAACATGAAGAATTTAATATCGGCAAGCTGATGGCGAATGCAGGGACAACGATGAAGGTGTCAAGTCTTTCATGGAGAAGCGACCGGCAAATTTCAAGGCAACAATGGATAAGATGAAGGTGACAGGGTATCCATGGTGGATACCTGTGGATACATTAGGAAGACCAAAAGTGGCGCCGACGGGAGGATCAAAGATCTAGTTGCATGTCAGAGGATAAAGCAAAGGCGCATGCAATACCACATGTTGACTCGCAATTTCATGAGTTCATTGTCTATCGTCCAGCTCGTACCATACCCTCATCTGGTAGTCTGAGACTTGCCCTATTTGCGGAACCCTGGCCAGCACCCTGTGTAGCATCACGCGTCTCGATGACTCGAACGGAGGTATCAGGGATTTTCATTCGTTCCTAGTGTACTTCTTTTCGTGAAGCATGCATAACCGAGGGAAACCCATAACAATCCTTCCCATCCAGACCGCACTCCGTAATAAGAAACACGCTTAGAAGAAAGTGGATGGGCGGTGGGCAGCGAAGACCTTCTTGCCCGCCTTCTTGTTGATGCGGTGGGGCAGCGGGAACTTGAGGTTCTTGGTGAGGAGCTGCTTGATGTATGGTCGGCGGAGATCATCGGTCTTCTCGACCTCAACGACCTTGAGGATCTAAGTGAAGTGTGAGATTGACGTTGCAAATGACGGATCGAGGATAATCATACCTGAACGGACCTGAAGCGCGTTCGGTGACGGGCAGCCATGTCCTGGTAGAGAGCCTCGACAGCGGCGACACGGGACATCTCACGGTACTCCTTGTACATGTTGTGGGTGCCGGAGCGCGAGTCGTACTTGATCCAGATACCGAAGTTCTTGACCTTCTGGGGCTTCTTCTCGTGGATCTGGACGCGGGTTAGCCTTAGTGCACCGGGCTGTGTGTTTGTGTATGACTGCAGCGTACCTGGTTTACGGAGACGATCTCACCGTTGGCCTTCTTGATCTTGCGGAGCTTGCCAAGGAAGTACCAGAACCGTGACTTGGCGACGACCTCGTTGGGCGCAAAGATGCGCATACGGTAGATCTTTGGCGCAGGGTTAGCCTCGGAAGGCAGATGGCGCCCGATGATCTGGTATTCCTGGAAGCGAGCTGATGCATCGTCAGTACTGCTCCAAAAGAAAAAGTTTCGTAGTCTCTGTTCCAGCAATTGCAGCAGTCATACGCAGTGTAGGTCGGTCGTGTTAAGGCGATTGGGGTGCGGTCGAGGGAGTCCAAATAGGCGCATGCAGGTTCTCAATTTTCATCCAAGGCCATCATCACGGTTGCTTGACGCCCTCAATCCACCAAGCAAACACCAAGAAGCTTGTGCAAGCTCTCGTCATCTCCTTCTATCCGTTCGTCATGTTCGATATGCTGTCACAGGCTTTTCGGTGCGTGTCGCGGGTTTGTGCGAAAACTCCATCGGCTGCAATTGCTGGGCGAGACGGTGATGCGCAGGAAATTGAAAGAGAGTGCTTACCCATCTGTGATGTATTAGCAAGCCGAATACGTGAGAGAAGGCAATATGGACTGACCGTAATTGTGCTGTGGTTAGTACCTTGAGGTGAGAAGTTCAGGTCGTCTATCGCGAATTGTGGCCGGCCTGTCGAATTCGAGGTCGCTTGTGGGCGCTAGCCGAGAAGAGGAGCCACCACGACTTGGCGGCCAGGTGCGAGCTGCATCGGCGAACCCACCGCCCAAACACCGACACTACTAGCATCCGCAATCGTCAGAACATCAAACAGCTCAGCTTCCGGCACGGGCACAACACGACATGTCTAATGGTTGAAAAGACCACCGGAGGCCGCCAATACTGCTGAGATTCTCCAAAACCCCATCTCTAGCTACAGCAGTACCAGCCGTAGCCCCAGTCCCAGCCTCAACCATGCAAGCCGCACTCGAACCTTTCCATGAGGCATATGCCACAGGATTGGCGCAGCCCGTCGCAGACTTTCTCAGCCCAGTTGCGCCTGCGCATGATCCTGGGCGGCTATATGAATTCTATCGCGCATCCAACGGAGATAAGATCGAGGGCGATGTTCGCTATGCGCTCAAACACAACAAGAGCACGCGCATGACCAACAAAGAGAGCGGTGCTTGGGTTGATATCATTGCTGGTTATTGGCGCGCTGTCAGGGAGATTATAAGGTCGGACGAGGCTGCAAACCAGGACAAGCTCAACGAGCGCCAATTCGTGGCAGTGTATGATGCTTGGAAAGACTTGACCAGCAGCTTTATCAAGCACATATCGGCTGGGCTACTGCCACCGTGGGCCATCTTTACGCTGTATTTCACTGCGAACCATCTTAGGAAGATAGCTATCAAAGCAGACGAACAGTTGGCCAAGTCGAAATCAGCAACTCCCAGCACGGGATTTTCAGACGATATCGTGAGCACTATTCCTCAGAACCAAAAGCTTGAAGAGGCTGCTCGAGTCTTCAACAGGATCTTTGCGCTATGCCTTGGTGATAGGTGTGCCATATCTCTATTGCTGTGTTTGAGTAATTGTCTTACAATGCACCAGAAACCCAGACATGTCCGAGTCCCGTAAATGGGGTGTGTACTGCATAGCCAATCTCCAGTTCAAGACATACTTCAAGGTAAGAATTCATCGATGACTGGTTTCTAGTAACTACTAATCGAAAAAATTCATAGTTGAAAGCCATCAGTCTATCCAAGAACGTGGTGCGATCGATCGAAGCGCAGTCCGACCTACCTACATTCGAGCTATACCCGCGCGCCCATAGGGTAACATACAAGTACTATCTTGGAGTGCTCTCGTTTCTGCAGGAGGACTATGCCAAGGTATTCCCAAAAGCCAATATAATAGGGGTCCCTCTAACATCTAGTAGGCAGAAAGGAGCTTGCAGCAAGCATGGGAGTCCTGCTATTCGCGGTCGCAACATAACAAATCGTAAGTGTGACAAACAAAAACATGATGCGTGTCAAAATCTGACTGCTCTAGCTTGATCCTCACGTACTTGATTCCTTGCCGCCTCATCACCCAGCACAAGATTCCGACAACAAGCCTTCTCGCAGAAGCCCCGCATCTGCAGCGCACCTTCGGGCCTCTTGTATCGTGTATAAAACGTGGAGATCTTACGGGCTTCGACAGAGCCCTTGCGGAGGGCGAACCCGAGTTTGTCAAGCAGCGCATATTCCTCACCCTAGAACGAAGTCGCGATATTGCCCTGCGCAATCTTCTCCGAAAAGTATACCTTGCCGCCGGCTTTGACGATCTCAAGGAAGGACAAACGGAGAAGGACAGAATACGCAAGTCGCGCATACCACTAGCGCATTTCGCAGCCGCACTCAGAATGGGGACTGCAGGCGAAGGCAGCGGCCAAGTCGTGGAGGACGATGAGGTGGAGTGCTTATTGGCGAACCAAATCTACAAGGTATGTGCCAACGCAGCGGTTGTACTGATCGAAGTTAGGCTGACAGGTTTCTTAGGGCCTGATGAAAGGCTATATCTCGCGCGACCATGGAATAGTAGTCATGAACAAGAAGGGAGCATTCCCCGGGACAGGGGTCTGATGCCTAAACTCTACTTTGGCCCGCCGCCTTGCGTTAAGTAGAGTCACCACACCACCTCAACAAGATTCTTGGCTTTGTGGGAATATGACTCTGGCATATCACTAACACTGTGCATGTGCACAAGGGCATGCGTCTTGGGTTCGTTGCACGTACGAATGGTACATTCATAGAACTTTGGCAAAATTATAAGAATAGGAGAAAATTCAAACAGCATACCCAGGTCATGGTACTAGCTAAATCCCTCTTGCTCATTACTATCCCTTGCATAACTATTGATTGTGAGACGCACGGGCCATGTGTAGTGAGCGAATAGTAGCATCTTAACTCTCTTCTCCCTCCATCTTGCAAGCAAACATCCCTACTTGGCGCTCATGAGCTGAGATTACACTTCCATACCCACTTCTCGCCCTCTTTCGTTTCTCGTCTTATCTTTTTCTTTTCTTTGTCTACGCCGACTATGTTTGTGTTCTATCGTACAGCCCACGTTAAGTGCATTTGTTACTACCATTTTGCACTCAACAAGCAAGTACGTCAAGGACGGAGCGAGACTTTGCACAGCTAGTAGACGCATCAAACATACGACAGAGACGTTCAGATATACTAGTAATTGCTATGTGATCGGCGGAATCCATCAATTTCTCATTATACCAAATAAACATCATGTAAAGTCCATTGCAAATATCTGCAAGCCAAAAGAGACCAGGCCGGCGTGGTACAATCTGGTAGTAATCTCCCATGCGAAAGCAGTACAACTCAATAAAAAAGAAAACAAGTGTCAATAAAAGGATATTACCTGATCATAACGAAGAAAACAGTCTTTCAAAAGAAAAAAAATAACACATGTGCCTTGGTGCATCAAGCACTCTTCCGCAATTTCTTTGGTTGTCTGCGCTTTGATCCTATTCTAGCAGCCGCAGATGCGCAAAACGTCAAAGTGAGTTAGAAGAAAGCGGGATATAGTAGTACAACAGTGGAATATAAATGAAATAGCGAAACGAGACGAAGAATAGAAAGAAGGAGGAGAATCCAAGAACGCCTTGCATCAGCAGAGAACAGTATGAAAGAATGATGGAGAAGGACCGATACTGGGGAGACATAGCTGGGGGCTGATCGGGAAAGTGAATATGTACATGAAGGATAGAAGAAGGGAGATGAAAGGGTCAGTGAGTCGTTGCACCATGGCAGTCATGCAAAGTCGACCAAATAATCGACTGCGCAAGGCAGTTGCGAACGGTGCTAGTACGCCGGCTTGCCAGACAAATCATCCATATGATTGACCATGGCGACAAACAGATCGAAGAAGAGCTTGCCACCACTCTCCATCTCATTCTGCATGGTGCCACTCCGCTTGAACGTGTGGCGCGCCCGAATAATAAGCGCAAGATAGTGCGCACGTAGCTTGGAATCGTTATCAGGGGTATTCGCATACGCATACCGTGCCGACGTAAGGATAGTCGAGCACTGTATCCCGGACTGCAACCCCTGCTTCTTCAGCGCCAGCTTCTTTAGTTCCTGAAGCCCGTACTTGTCCGCCTGACAATAAATAATGGTATCTTTCAAGATGGGGCCGACAGAGGACTGAATCACAGCTTCATGTGGGTTGTTGGCGCCGGCGCTGGCATCTTCGAGGTTCCAGCTATTGCGCTTCTTGTCGTACTCGACGCGGGGGTAGTAGTCGCCTTTGTAGAGGTACTCGAGGATGGAGGAGAAGACTTCGGGTTCTTCGTCGGGGAGGTCGATGCGTTTGTTGGTTGTCGTTTGGAAGAATTGTCCGGAGCAGAGGGATTGGAACCAGGGGGAGTGGGAGAGGACGTCTTCGTGGGCGGCGAAGAGGCGTTGTTCGCGGCCGACGGATATGGTGACGATTGCACTGTGGAAGTGATGTTAGTAACGCTGTCGGAGAAGGGACACTAAAAGGGTAAACTCACCTCCCAAGAGATGGAGATGTCGGACTAGGTTGCGCTGAGGATGCCTGTGCTTGCTGTGCTAATTTCTCTACTCTCCTAGGCGAGTCCTTGAAGGAAGGGTTCTTCTTGGACGACTTTGACTTGCTTGCTCGATGTTTCGAGAAGCTACCTTCCTGGTATCGTGTGCGGTTTGATGATGAGAACATATTCTACAGATGGTACTGAAGACAAGGCTTTTGATGAGTAGGCGTCGTGGATACTTATTGGTACAGTTAGTAGGCAGCAGATGTAGGAATCCGGACTGGCAAGCCAATAGAAGATGCAGTTCCTCGGGCAGACGATTAGCTGGGCACAGCAGGCGATGGCAGGCCAAGTAGCGAGCGAATGCAGCCATGTATATATACCTGACTCCTCACAGGAGGCCACTATCGGGCCCTCTGCCGGGGTGGGGTTGAGGTGCGAGGTGGATTGGACGCGACCAGTGTGGCTAGCGCGTAAATCACGGTTACGCGGTATCACATGCAGCGCCTTTCCTTTTCGGGCTGTTAAGAGTCAGCCCTCAGCATACGGCAAAGCCTTGGACCGGGGCCAGGTAGCACTTGGCCAAGGTTGTGAAACAAAGGCGGGACAAAGAGCTGATTGCGCTAGGCTGGCGCTGCTGCGATGAGCAACTCGAGCTGTAAGAGAGACATCGCTTAGAGCTCGAGGATGCTTACTCCTACACCTACTTGCGACGTATCCCTTCATGCTTTTTTATCCTTTTCTCTTCCAGTCGCCAATGAGCATCCACGCAGAGCGGTTGAGTCGCCGAGTCCCTTGTCGCGTTCTTCGCCGAAGCCAGCACCCTTTCATGGCACAGCTCGCGCTATGGCCAGGCTACCCAGGAAACTTTGCGAAAAGCAAACGCAACCGATGCCGCGCAGTAGCCAGCGTCGGTTCATCGCTCCCACCTACGCATACATACCCAGCAAGGAGGCGTGGCTGCTCGTCCTGTGCCTAATCCACATGCGGTCTGCCGTTCCCCTGACGGGCAAAAGTCGCGTCGGCCTCACCTAACAAGCATGGAATAAGGCACTGATCCGGTCCCGCGCAACGATGCAATTCGCCGCCAGACAATCCAATGTTAATAGTCATCAAATGGTGCCTAATATCACGGTAATATGCCTCGCTGATCATTGAGCCTTGGAACAGAGGGGTCGACTTGGGGCGAGGGAGGGGGAGCGCGCCCTGCCCTCGCTTTCACGCGCCAGTCCGCCCCTCAACGCGACCGCGACAGAAAATCACGTTACCACTTACATCCCTTTCTGGCTTGGCCCCGGACGCCAGTCTGCAACCCAACCGTTTCGCACCCTTACATAGCTGTGCTTTACTTGGAGGACTACGCCTGTCTCATGGTCGGCGGCGATGATGCCTATCTTGACGCCTTTCCGGATCAGCCCTGGCTTGCTGGGTAATGCCATGGTTCTGTCAACACCGTTGAGTCAACATCGGTTTCCACTGTAACCACATGCATCTTAAATACTAGTAGACGCTTCGCTGTAAATCTGCATTCATGGATGTACAGAGCAATCCGAGTAACGGATCCTCGCGACCTTTCCTCGCCACAGACTTCACACACAGCTTCTGTTGCCATCGGGCTCACCCTATGCATTCATCCTTTCTTTGTCCACACATCCTAGCCTTCTTTGGGTGGTGCCTGGTCGCGGCTTTCCATGCTCATCCTATTGGCTCATCCCTACACCCTCTTTGCTGTGGAAAGTATCTAGCGCCACCTGCTCGAACTCTGGTAAGGGGCTTGCCGAAAGATTCGTTTTTTCCCAGCATTAGATCAACACCGTACCACATATCTATGCTCTTAATCTGCAAAAGGTGCAGAAACATGCTGCATAGTATCAGAGGCTTGTATCCTGGCTGCTGTATAGATGGTGTAAGAATGACCTACGGCTGAGACAATTGCTGTCCTATGAAGGAGGACGGCCTGTACTGATGGTCCTTTCCGCCGAGATTTCTTGCCAGGGAGTTGGGCTGTGCAACCTCCAGTAGCCGGTACGTCAGTCCAATGTCACTACTTCTCCGCTGAAAAACAACCTAACCCTTTCTTGGCAAGCCATTCTCTCTCACTTCAGTACTATACTCGCTTTTTATAGGATGATTTGCGAATAGCTTGAAACAACATCTGTGATTTTTGGCACTTTCCACTAGGCACCCTTCGACCACATGCGAGTTTCATCAATCATTATCCCGGCGCACACTTCTTACAAGTAGCCTGTCTCATCCCATGCCAGAAGAGCGCCGAGCATCTTGCCGCTCCCCATGTCATTTGGGTTTTTGACATCCCTACACTTTAACAGCCTCGAAGAAAGTTTTTGTGGGACAGCTGACAGGCTTCGCGGCTCGTATCGTACCAAGTTTGATGAATCACAGTCTCCTAGATTCCGATCCAAATTACAACAGGCACCTTATTCGGTTCGCATGAACCAGTCATCACCATAAAACAGATATACTGCTGCTATGCCACAAAAAAAGTGGTTACCATTTCCCAACACCCCATTTAGCTATACAAACACGTACTAGTAGCGATTTCACCAAAGACGAACAAACATCCTACACTTCAAGGCACAAGCAAGGGCAAGACAGCAGATGCTCCTCAAACGCTAATTTCATTACTTTAGTTCCAATACCCCCACAAGTGCATGTCAAGCGCTTTCCTACTCCCAAGTTCCTTATGCAAATCTTAAACAAACCAAGGCGCGCATCTTTCGTTCTGAACGGGCAATATAAACTACTCGTACAGTTGTGGTATCAAATCCTCCTACCCAAACACTAGCTTAGTCACCACATCATATTCAAGCAGTGACTTCGCCTTCAGCAAATGCTCTTCCGATCTCCCGTGCTACACCGACTCGCAACACAGCAATGATGTCGTCGCTCTTTGCGCCCTGGGGAAAGCCTTTGCGCCAGTCCCAGCTGCGCTTGCTGTCGTCGACATGACCGCCCTTGACAAGCACTGTGGAGCCCTCGGCGCTCTGGCCGTCTGCGGAGCCAAAATCTGCTGAGCCGATGAGCGAGTACTGGCTCGAGGCAGTGGTCACGTTAGATGTAGACTTTGTGAGGAAGTTGTGTGGGTTCGGTATTTGTGGTGAAGAGTTGGCGTCGTGTGCGGATAGCAAGGTGGTATTCAGCACTTCCTCGCACTGCGCTCGAATCATGCTAGGGGCAGTATCCAAGTCCTCGACAGCAGCGAGAAGATCGTAGAGATGGCGAAGAGTCAGAGTGCGCTTGGGCTGGTTCACGAAAATGAGCGCCTCGCCTAGAAGCGGTAGCAAGACATCGACGGGGACAACGGTCTCAATCTCTGGATCGTACAGTCCTCCCCGGATGCTCGACGCTGCACTGGCGATGATGACCATGAGTGAATTGGCAGCAGCACGTTTCCGAGCCATGGGTCGGTGTGCTGGTTTCTGGCCATTCTTCAAAAGCACTTCTTCATCTCGTAGGTCATAGTACTTGCGGATCGTCGCGTAACCACTGAGATGATTGGAGAGCAATGATGCGGCTTCAGAGTCTGTGTTGGCGAGCTTGGTCAGAGCTTGCTTGGGAGAGGTGATTAGCGAGCTGAGGGATTCGTCCAGTTCGTCCAGAGGAGGGTACGCCATTGATTTGACCAGGCAGTGAGCGACTAGCACGCGAAGGACTTCTTGGATCCTCGATGCATCGTGAGCACGGGCGTAGTAGAGGAGAGTGTCGCCGTAACTCTCAGTGTTTGTGCGGAGATGGTCGGCGTATTTCTATGATGGTCAGCATCAATAAGAAAGGGTCCAAAGTGGTGACGTACCTGAGCAATGGTGACTGCATGCTGCGAAAGACCCAGGTTATGACACAGCTGAGTGATCTTATCCACTCGACTTGACGACTCAAGAGGTAGGTCGTTGAGTATCCGCTCGATACGCTCATTCGCCGCTATAGTATCATCCAGTCTTCCTAGGACTTGCACAGCCAGCTCCCATCCCTCTTTAGACTCTTGGCCATCTTTGCCTGTAATTTGTCCCTTGGATGCCAATAGATCCGAGTAGGTAACAAGCAAGTCGTCCTTTGTCACCCCCTTTGGCTGCTGTTGTTCGGTATAGCTCAGAACCATCAGATCATCCTGATCAAATTGATCTAACAAGCCCTTTGCACCCTTGAACCACTCTCCCGCGCTAGCAATCTCGGCCACTGCGGAAGCGATCGTGAGAGACCAGCCCTGGAGAATCTGGAGCACGCCTTCCGCGTTGTCGTCTAGTACACATGCTAGACCCACCTCGAAGCGGTCTACGGAGTTTATGCTGAAATCCTCATCACTGTTTTGTATGACTGCCGCAAGCGCAGCAGAAAGGCGTTGAGAGTAGGCTTTGACCGGCGTCACATCTACAGGGCGAACCCGCTGCGACCGCATCAAGGAACGACGGTTAGCTGCCAGACTGCCTTGGGCAATATCCTCTTCTTCTCCGTTCCACCAGATGGTCAGACCAACGGTCGCTTCAATCCAATCTGCCGACAAGGTAAGAATCTCCTCCTCGTTACCGAGCAAGAGTTGATACATCCTTTCCAGGTTCTCATAGACAGACCACGGTACTTTGCTTTCTGCTTTCCTGCTCGCTACACTGAGTTGGAAGCTTGCTTGACTCTGCGAAATGCCAAAGTGGGCCGCTTGGAAGGGCTGTGATATGGAGTGACGGCTCACACTTTCGCCTTCTGCAAAGTCTTCCAAATCAACAGAGGTTTGCTGAACGCGCTGACGGAAAATGGTCCAATCATGTCCTTTGATGTCCCAATCTTCTGATGCGATAGCAGGACACTCACGTAGAAGGTCGATTGCTTGGCGAAGTGCGTGGTTTGCATATTGTAGATGCGTCCCGGTGTATCCAGCACGTCCCAGCCCGTCATGGTCGGCTGTTTCAGCATGTTCAAGCTGCGCGCCCTGGAGCAGCTGTAAAGTTTGTGCGAATTTTCCTCGGGCAATGGTAACATGCACAACCTCCCAGAAAGAAGGATGCCTCGAATATCCGCCAGTCTGTTTCAAAACCTCAGTCACCTCAGAGCCGCCATCGAATGTGCTATTGAGCCAGTCGAGCAAGGCTTTGGGGATTGGCGTGTATTGTTTCGATTCAGATCGCGCTGGTATCAAGGACAAGGCAGAGGTTCGCTGGTCTAGTCCAACTTGGGGAGGGTGGTGTAGAGTTAGCAAAAGAGCTGCCAATTGCGTGGTCTGCGACAGTTCCATTACACTTTCTGGTCGGCTTGAGGATGTGTTGGTTCGGGAGGTCGACTTGGATGCGGCGCGCCATGCTGCTATCAACTCGTGAGCGACAGAACCAACCACCTCGGTCCTCTTCTCTGGCGAGTCCGACTGCAGCGATTCATACACCTTCTCAACCAACAACTCCGTGTCGAGTATCAGATGGTCGGGTTCGCGAATACGCGATCGACCAGCGTCCGACGTAAGGCCCTTTGCAAGTGCAAGAAGATCGAACTGAGTTTGCTTTGCGCCTGGCCGAACCAAGGTAGGTCCTGGCTCCACGTCGTTCGCGCTCGTCCTTGACACTGTCGACTGGGTGAATCTGTTCTGTGTCTTGTTGCGCCGTTGTGGCGAGTAGTGTTCCTCTTCCTCTTCAGAACCCTCTTCCTCGTCCATTTCGTCGTCGTACTCTTCTTCATCCTCGTCGGTGTAGTCGTCCTCATCGTTTGTGCTCTGAGCATGTCTGTTTGGCGCGCCATTGACTGGGCGAAACTGGCTCGAGTTGGTGGGACGTCCTCGCTGGACATGAGGTCGGCCTATGGTCGAGGTGCCCATTGAGCCCGATCCAACGCCCTCGAGCAGATCATTCTTAGGGGGTGAACTTCCAAACAATGAAGTAGCGCCGAAATCGTAATGGTTGGGGTTAAAGGCTGGCCGCGACGATCCAAACAAGCCGTTGTTCATGCCGGGCGGATGGCCAACTGGTGTTGTCGATGGAGGAGGTTCGGGGTAGCTATCGTACTCGCGACCGGGCGTGGAAGGTGGAGTGGGAGATGGGACACGAAACATTGCAGTTGCTGGTGTGCTGCTCTGGGCCCCAGTCGTCGGACAGGCTAGTAGGGCAGTGGACCGACTTAGTAGTCTGCAAGCAACAATGCGACTAGCACTTTGGGCGCGGTAATTTCAGTATCACGAAATTCGCAGCATATGCGCGCCAGCGGGCCGTAACGAGTGAAGTGGAGATATACGTTTGTCCCTTGTTCAGCCCGTGGTCGCGGTCGCAAAACATAAACTTTGGTGAGCTTCGGAGCGACGCGCCTGATCCGGCCCGGTCTTGGCGCGTTGCCAGCGCGGAGCCCGGCGGGACTGTTTCTCCGCCCAGGTCTGCTGAGCCAGCATCAGACGACGACGGGAGCAGAAGGCAGGCCGACCATCCATGGGCCACGTGCAACTGATTCACGGCGCATGTGTGCCCAAACCCTATCGGGAAGGGCCTCTACCTCGTCGTGTTTTTCTGCTTGTTCCTGGCTCCGCTCTAAGCACTGGCTAGTACCCAGGACCCAGCCTCCTCAACGAATCAGGCGACGTGCATGTCCCCTCCTAGTGGTGTGCAGCAGCCGTCTTGGAATCGCCTCGACGACCCGCTGCATCTGGTAAATCAATATCTGATGACGGCACCTGAGGGTTCGACCGAGTCGTAAGGTGCAGGGGTCAGTCACCTGCGAGGGACTGCCCAGGGCATTATTAAACATAAGTACCCGATCCTACAGCAGTGCCACCACCCGCATCGGCTGACGTACCGCGCAACTGAAAAACGGTCGTCGCCTGCTGGTCTACCACGTATTCCCGACGCTTCCGACTCTTGACCTCCCTCTTTGCTTTTCCCTTGAACCACCCATCACGCTTTCCATGCTTTGCATCCATGTGTAGTTACAATCGAACCCACCTCTAGCACCCGGCCAGCCTGTGACGTAGTCAGCCCGCCAACATGGCCCTGTGGTCCAAGACGAAAACCCAGTCCAAAGCCAGCTTCGACAAGGTCTACAACTGGGTTGACAAACTCGGTGCTCCTGTCAACCGCCTGTCCAACAAAGTCGGCGCCGAAGCATTCTGGCCCACGACGCTCGACATTGAGTCGGACAAGGCTGCGCGCATTCTCAAGAGTTTCTGCAGTATGTCACCGCTACATGTCCACCCGCACCCACTGACCCCATTACAGAGGATGGCTTCTACGAGGAAGAAGACCAGCCCGCCGCCACCAATGCGCCCCAAGGGAAGCAGAGAGTGCTCAAGAAGATCCCGTCCAAAGTCATACAAAATGCAAAAGGCCTCTGCATCTTCACAACCATGCGGACAGGCCTTTGGGTCTCTGGATCCGGTGGAGCCGGTATACTTGTTGCGCGAAAAGAGGACGGCACATGGTCACCGCCCTCTGGCATCATGATGCATACAGTCGGTGTGGGCTTTCTCTTAGGCGTGGACATCTACGACTGTGTCATTGTCATCAATTCAGACAAGGCACTGGAGGCTTTTCAGTCGGTTAGATGCACCTTGGGCGGGGAAATCAGCGCGGTCGCAGGTCCAGCTGGCGTTGGGGCCATGCTGGATACCGAGATTCATAAGCGCCAGTCGCCTCTCTTCACTTACATCAAGTCACGAGGATTCTACGCTGGCCTTCAACTAGACGGAACTATTGTCATCGAACGCACAGACGAGAATGAGCGTTTCTACGGCGAGCGCATAGGGGTGAAGGATATATTGGCTGGAAAAGTGCGGCACGTACCCCAAGAGACAAGAAGACTCCTGGAGACACTTAAATCAGCCCAAGGCGACACCGACGTCGATGAGTCTTTGATTCCAGATGAAGCTCCGCCTGGTGACTTTGAGATCACAGGCCCCGAAGAGAAGACTTTTGGCATTCCGGACGCTGTTGATCCCGATCCATTTGGTGTGCTTGCGCTACAAGAGGCCGGCCTGGAGATCAGGGAAGCAGGAACACACAGCCGGCCATCAAGCGAACAATTCGAATTCAAGCCCAGCCCGACGAGTCCTATTTACAACACCTTCAGAAACTCCACATATCGTAGGAGTACGGACCGGTCGAGCTTTGCCGGGAGCCGACCATCGAGCTGGCGAATGAGTAACATCAGCAGCGTATTCGAGCCTCGGGCACCAACGGTCGACATGAGCACGCAGACCGACGATCTGCCACCACCTCCTCCGACCATCAAGAAACCAGTCCCGAAACTACCACCACGAACAAGCGTCGCACCCACACCTGCTACTCCCACGATAGAGATACCCGAGACAACGATCGAACACCCCACCCCGCCACGACCAACGAGCGCCGAAAAGAAGCCCGAAGAGGCTACTCCCACAGCTCCTAAACCACAGCCTCTACCACAGGCTCAATCAAGCAAGGCTATTGATGACAAATCAAGCGGCTCTCCCCGGAACGAAGTATCACATGATAATATAGATCTTAACAAGGATGACGAGGATGAGGATGATGATGATGATGATTTCGAAGAGGAGCCAGTTGTTCACGAGATCCATCAGGCAGCGGCCCCGCAGGCAATTCGTGCACGCGTCGTCCAAGTGGCGAAGCCCGTTGCCCCGGCCCTGCCCGCCAGGAATCCCTTCCGCAACCGTATGTCGACCAACTCGGATGGATCACTGAACACAACATCAGCCATGCCTTCTCCGACTATCCCAAAGCATAGCCCAGACTCAACTCCTTCCCTCATGCGCGGAGACTCGACTTCATCTTTGTCTTCTGTAGAGGACAGCAGGCTCGAACAGATTGGCAACAGACTCAAGCCCAAATACTCCCACGAGCCGTCGCCAGAAGATAACAAGACAGATAACGCAGCTCTCCATTCGCCCCCAGACTCTCCTATCAAGAGCATTCCGGGTGGCTTCAACTAAGGCAGTCACGTTTCTACGGTTATAAGACTTGGTCACGATATTTACATGCCGCTCTTTGGTTTTTCTATTCTCTGCTGCATAGCGGCATTGTTACCTATACCCGAATTACATTACTGTAGAAGCTTGGTCTGACGGTATCCATTGCATGCTCCTGCCCCTACTATCTCAGCTCGACAGCCACGCATTTGAAGATTGCTTCCTGCTTGTGCAGTTAGAGTGGATCCAGGTACCAATTTGGAACCTGCAGTCGCTCTTCCTGCTGAGAGGATCATTACTTTCTGTCTTTTACGCCTCACGACTTTATTGATATCCACATTTTTCCGTTACGGTTCGCTCGCATACAGCGTTTCGTTTAAAAAAACCCGTAATTTCTAGCATAGCAAAGAAATAGATTACTATTGATCTCCTCGTCAATCAATGCGTTAATATTGAGATGATTCGTCCTGGTATTCACAAATGCACTTGCCTACGAAAGCTAGTAGTTGGCCTCGCAGCGCTGGTGACGGTGCTAGAAAAAGCATCCGTGCCAACCCTGCCAAAATTTCATGAGTGCAGAAGGTCCACCAGCAACGAACTCTACTACTTCGAGCGCATACATGTGAACACCTCCCCCACGCAATCGCGGACTCCCTGGCGCATTCCCAACTCAGCGCTTAAATCAGCATTGCCTGCGCTCGAACCATAAAACACTCAATTCCCACCACCCACAAACCTCTAGTATATCCCTACACCAACCAGCGCAAACCCATCACCACCACCCAGCATGTCGCCCCAACCCACCAAAACCCCTAAACCTCCCCCGAAAGCAGTCGCAGACTTCACCGTCCTACCCCTCACCCTCTCCCCGCTACCAGGCCTCCCCGACCAATGCTCCACCGCATTCCACTACATGTACATCAAACCGCACACGCCGTCTATCCCAACCCCGTCCTCAGACCGCAGCCTCTTCATCGCCAACCTCCCCATCGACGCCTCTGAATCCAGCCTCCGCACGCTATTCTCCGAGCACCTCGGCGGCTCAATGGTGGAGCGCGTAGAGTTCGACGCTTCTGTTCCTGCGGAGCCGATGCATAAGCGGTGGAAGAGCGAGGGCACGGGTGCTGTTACTATGCAGGGGAAGAAGAGGAAGAGGGGGGATGATAAGGAGATTGTGGCGGAAGGTGTGGTGGAGGATGCGGAGAGTGCGTTACCGCCGCTTTGGAGTAATGGGATACGCACGAGTGGGAGTGCGGGGGTTGTGGTGTTTGTGGATGGGAAGAGTGCGAGGGGGGCGATGAGGGGGGTATTGAGGGTTGTTAAGGAAGAGGGGGAGGTGGTGTGGAGGGGAGAAGAGGGTGGGATGGGGGTGGAACGTAAGTTGCCATATTTCTATATTTGTTGTCGTAAAGAGGTAGGAGCTAACAGTCATGTGCAGGCTATAAGTCGCATAATAACCTCATGTACCCGCCGCCATCTCTTCTTCAATCTAGCTTGAATGCGTATCTATCGCAATTCAACGCTCTGGAAACGATGCGGAATCGACTTCGCAAGACGGCGCGGTCTATACCTGACGAAGATGGTTTCGTGGCTGTTGTCCGTGGCGGACGTGTTGGGCCTGCGCGCTTGGAAGAGGCGGAGAAGAAAAAAGCCGAGTTGGATGAGCGCAAGAGGAATCATCGGGCTACGGATGATTTCTACCGGTTCCAGAACCGTGAGAGGAGGAAGAAGGCGGAAGGCGAGTTGAAGAGGCGGTTTGAGGAGGATCGGAAGAGGGTGGAGGGTATGAGGGAGAGGAGGGGGAAGGTCAGACCTGAGGCGTGATGGGGGAAAAGTCTCAAGCAGTGCGAGTTTAAAGCATAGTCACTTTGGCGTTCAAGGAATCGTGGAAAAAGCGATGATGGGATTGAAGAAAAACTTGGAATATTGAATACAAAAGGAAACTATGGAAGAATCGAATCGGTTTAGTACCGATACTAGAAACTGGAAACTTGGCCGTGAAACTTCGTGATGAAATAAACCCCTCGGACTACATCAGCCCAGTCGCTTGGATGACATCGTCAAAAACCTCTCCACTCCTTTCACCTCCTATCCTAGCATTTGCATTCGCATTTGCTTGCACCACCTCACCATTCCCATTCCTACTCCTACTCCTCCTACATATCCCCATACTACTACTTCCATCACTACAACACACACATACACTATCATCAAACTGCGGTATCTCCGCACGACTTGCACGCCCATCCAGCGTCGCCAGCACCGCATTTGCATCCCGAGCTGCATCATTGCCTTGCTTCTTAACCCACTGCCAGTCACGTAAACGACTGACACTTAGGAGTGGCGGACGCGGCTCGGCGGGCTTCTGATGCGGAATCGTGTTTGCATTGTGTGCATCGTCAAATTCCATGGCGAAGACCTTTGCACTAGGAAACACGTTGCTTGTCTGTGCACGCATTTCTTCGGCGTCGTCGCTACATTGTGTATGGACCTTTTCCCAGAGGAGCGCAGGTAGACCGCGAGGGAAGGTCTCAGAGGCTTTGAGGGTGTTACATTCCCAGTATGATTGTTCGCCCAAGTGCAGGAAGCGGCGACTCAGGAGACGGTCTTGGAGCGCCCAGGCCCTGGTATCCCAGCCCAGGTTGGGGGCTGTGAGGATAAAAGAGGGCAGTAAGGCGGAGGCCGGGAGGCGAGCCGCGATTGTGGTCCTATTCTTGATGGGAGAAATCGTCGAGGCAAACTGTGCATCTTTGGTCGCATTCTCAACGTCCTTGTTTGTGCTAGTATTTGCGAGCTGGTCGAGGACGACGGTGAGAACCGCGTTGCGGAAGATGGAAGACATGTTTGTGCACTCTTGTTCCTTTTCTTGATCTGAATCCTGTAGCACGCAGAGTGAATCCAGCCAGCAGTATCGGAAGCCGAGACGTTGCACCTCTGTAATCGCATTTCTTACTGCACTAGGCAGTGCTTCCAGTACGAGCTCAGATTGCATCTTCGACTGTGAATCGCTTGAGAGTAGAGGCTCGGCGTCACTCCAGACGTGACTGAGTGCAACATATTGAACATGTTGCATCTGTTCCTTGAGAGACTCGCTTTCAACGATGCGAACGTAGTTGCTAGCCTGGCCTTCCGGAAGGATATCAATCAGGCGTCTAGGGAGATCGGTGGAGCAGCCCGAGGACAAGTGGTGACAGGCACCGTGGGTGCACAAACAATTATCCAGCCAGGTCTTTGCAATGGGAACAGTGTCAGAACAGTCGTTCGCATCCTTGTCATGCAGATGAGGCTGGGAATTGCCATCAATGTGATGGTGTTTCCCAAATCTTTCTACCTCTAGCAGTTCCTCATGCGGGCCAGGGAACGTCATCTTGTCGTTCGGCCAGTTGAGACAGCACGGCGCAGGAGCAAAGATCATTGTGAGCGATGCTGCATCCGGCCGCTCATCGGGCTGGGCACACAACATGGCTTGGAGCGCGCGTACAAGGAGCAGTTCAGCCGGACCCCTTGCTGAGTCAAAGAACATAGCAAGCTTCTTCTGTACGCCTGGTACGTCTTGCCAGTAATACGTCCCTGTGCGACCATTGTATTCCTTGCTAAAGGCTGACCATTCCGGATTATGTTGACTTAATGGAACAGATGCCATCTCTGCAAAGACACATCCCAGACTCCAGATGTCGGCAGCCTGCTTGCGAGTGAAGCCTTCAACGACCTCAGGCGCGATGTATTGGCGTGTCCAGGGTCGCGATTGATCATCGGGTACTTCTTCTGCACAACTGACACCAAAGTCGGAAAGGATGACGTGCGGGAATTCTTGATCGCCATCGACAATGAGGATGTTCTGTGGTTTGATGTCCATGTGCTTAACAACAGGTCGCTGCTCATGGAGGTACCTGACAGAGGAAGAGAGACAACCAAACATCTTCATAACGGTCTCGAACAGGTTGGCAGGCCGTTGTAACGCTGACTGATCAAGCCAGACTGCCAGTGTTGTTTCTGCAACAGGGGAAAGCAGTATCGACATCTTGTCGCCCTTTGAGTAGGCTCCAAGGAAGCGGATAATATGTGGGTGACGTAGCTTTTGAAGGACATTGACTTCTTTCTTGAGTTCCTCAAGCGCTGTCTGGTTGCGATTCTTGAGTGTCTTCCTTCCAATACGCAGGCCCGTTTGTTGATGCTTGACTTCGTCGACTGTGCTGAAGCCTCCAGCGCCTAGGAGCTTGATACTGTGGAAGGCCCGTGAGGACTTGGGCATCTGTGGCGTAGATTGTCGGCTTGATAGTTGGTCTGTTGCATCGCTGCATTGAGAGCGTACTGTTACTGTTGCGTCTGGCAATGACTCAGAGGATGGAGTTTCTTCGCTCATCAACAATTCCTCCAGTGGTGCTCCTAATTGGCTCCAAGAAGGCGCGAGAGTCGAAATCAACGTTGCAATCGCGGTTATAGCGGCGTCCCTGATTCCAAACGTATGTTCCAAGCCGCGCTTGTCAGTTCGTTCGTCCTGTGACGACCCACCCTCCCTAATTATGGGCTGGGCGAAAGCATCTCCGGCCAGAGCAGCTTCGTAGTCTCCCTTTGTCGGAATGTGCCTGTCGAGTGGACGTTGTGACTTGAACGACTCGTCTTGTGGGGCCGTGCCGTCGCGATCAATTGAGATTGATGACGGAGAGATGTTCGGCGAAAGTGTAGTGTGTCTGGTAGGTTTGACCGCACAATACCGCTGGCTCTCACCAAGTTGTGAGAGCTGGAAGTGGAAGAAACCACTCTGAGATGGTTGCCCTGAAGAGCCGCCACCGCTACCCTGGTCACCGGAAGGTTTGGAGTTGTTGCCGTGTGGATGGAAGGATGGTGGTTGGAAGAAAGGGCTACCGTCGAAACCGTCTCCACTTGGTCGGTCGTCGTTGTCATCGTCGGTGTAATCATCGCCACCATTGTTGTCGTCGTCATCGCGCCAGTCGAGCATGCACTTGCCCTGCTTGAAGTGGTCTGCAATATGATCAATTCGCTCCTGTCTCGACGAGAATCGGTGGCGACAGAATCCGCACTTTCGTGGGAACTCTGTCTCCGAGTATACTACGCTCGCCTCTTCGTATTGATCAGGGTCAACGTCGGCGTGGATGTTTCGGAAGTGTTGCACGAAATGATACTTCCTGTAGCATGGCTTGACGTTCTCCACGCCTTCACTGATGCATAGACTGCATACCCATGACTTGCATGGGTAGCCCTCCTCCTCCTTTCTCTTCCAGTCGTTCTTTCGGCCATACCGCTTGCCACACTTTCGAGTGCACTGGTAGATCTTCCTGGGGTCTCGACCAAGCAACTCTAGGTCATCGGTAGGTGTGCAGCGCTTCTTGCAGCTTCTGGTAGTGGTGGCTGGTTGGACGGTAGTTGAAACAACGTTGTCCTGACTGTATGAAATTTCTGGGGTAGTGATGTTCTCCAGTAGTAGTGGTTGTGATGGCGAGGCCTGCAGAAGGTCTGTCTGGTAAGTGTGATCATCCCAGAACGAGTCTTGCTGCTGGATGTGTGCGGTTTGAGACTTGTAAGCCGAGTCACTTGGGCCTCCCTTGCCCATGCCCTGCTTCAAGAGCTGGCCAAACCAGCTCCGGATCGCATCTGCCGACTCACCAGTGAGTTGGCTTAATGAATCGATGTGTCGGTCACTCAAGCACTGTTAGTAAATCAAAATGAGGCGCCTAAAACTTGAGGTGCATACCCAGGGAGCACGTTGAACTTGGTGAACCATGTTGCGCAGACATCAGCCGCTTCATCCGACAGACCTTCTACTGTGGTAGTTGAAGGAGTGGCCTCCAGGCCCCAGCTAGAGGTGGTGTTTGTGGCGGATGGTGTTGGGAATAGAGGAAAATCATAACTTGCTTGACGCTTAGATTGGGGGAAGTCATCAGCTTCGAGCTGTAGGGGGCGCTTTCCGTAAGTATTAAGCTGTGTGGGTACGGGGCCAAGAAACTGTGATGCTGGAGTTTGTGGGTAGTAGCTCGCAGCAGATGGGATGTTCATGTCGAAGGCGCCCTGTTGGGGTGTGCCTAATGTGATGGGATCCATGAAGGATGAGGTAGTGGTGTCGATGCCCTCGTCAGCGAAGAAGAAGCCAGAAGTGTTATCCGCTGGCTTGAACAATGTCTCGGACGCGGCCGCGAACATGTTGCTGAAATCCATGTTGGAATCAAAGGCGAATCCTGCGCCCTGATGATCCATGTCGTTGATGATGTTTCCTAGATGGTCTGTGTCAAGAGGGCGGCGTCGGTGGAAAAGGCGCCTTTATTGCGTCTTGGTCGACGTTTGATGATCACGGGCTCCAAGGGTGTGAGCAGAAAATGGCGGAAGAAAGGGTCTTGAGAAGCCTCAGGCGTGGTGTTTGGTATTTTAGATCAAAGGGCGCTGCGCCTACAAACTGATAGCGTTTCGCGTTTAGAGTCATCCATGCAGCCCTTGCCGGCGCTGAAGGGCTGAGTGTTGATCACCGTCCGAGGTTCAGGCCACCGGTGAGAAGAATAGCGTGGAATTGCCGCCAGCCGCTTGTAAATTACGGTTGTGCCAAGAGAGTGGTTCGCGACGCGGTCGTGGATGTAGAATGTATTGAATGACGTACGGGCTGGCTATAAGATATGCATCTCCCGCATCCTGCGCATTCAATCTAGTCGCAAACTAGTCTGCGGGGAGAGAGGGAGGGTGTTAATGCACAATCAAATGGCTGAGGATGAATGCAAAGAAAGCGGTGCAGTGGGTCGAGGTGAGCGCTAAACCGCTGTATCGCCCTTTGCTCAGCACAAGGGCGCAGCCCGCACAAAAGAGGCTAGCGCTGGCTGTGCCGCCAATGGAGCGTGGGGCTTGTGGCCTTGTGGCTCAGCAGCACAGCCTCCGCCTCAACGAGAAAGATGTGACACTGACAAGCTGCGTAAGTTTCAAGTTTCCTTCTACCCCGCACCAAGCCTACATGTTCAATCTTCTCAAAACTTGACAGGGCCCTGACACAGTAGCTTGTGTCGAGTCGAGTCGGCCCGCTCTGTCCCTATACTAACGCTTCGTCATGTGTAGCCTACATACGTACAAATGTAGTTTCAACGTCAAGAAACAACCACATGGCGTGACTGACCAGAGTGACATCCTGAGACCGTATGTGTAGAAAAGCAGTATGCATCACAAGTAATGCCTTTCCTCCACCAATAGACAATAGCAACAGCAAGAGTAGTAGAGTATCAACGCTTTGCACAATTGGTATCATTAACATTAATCAGCTAAATCATTAGAGCAGGCTGTTCCAGATCATCTCCTTGCCTTTAGTATGCAACCATGGCGTTCAGCCCCGCAGTCTCGCGCTCAAAGTTCTTGTGCTGCGAAATCGCATACATGTACGCACTAGCAAAGTCCTTGGCCTCCTTGACCATGTTGACCGCCTCCTTGAAGCTCTCAGGCTGCACTGCCGTAGCCGTGACTACTCCATAGCTGTTGACAACATCGCCCGAGGTTGAGAATTCCATACCCGGTAGATCCACAGCCTGCTTAATGAAGGAAACTGCTTCGCCAGTACCACCAATGGCCTTGAGGTGACCAAATGCCTCACGCACCCAGTGTACCGCACGTCCGTTCTTGCTGAGCGTCTCAATCGACTTGGCGCCACCAGGAACGAAGACACTGTCATACATGGTGGAGCGTTGGCCCTCAAGATGGTGGTCTGCCACTACTCCAGAGCCGCTCTTGTCCTCTCCATCGGCAAAGATCTTGTTCCTTCTGGGCGAGATGGTAAAAGGGAGAGCGCCAGCCGCAGTCAATGCGGCCTTCATACCAGTGTAGGCAGCCTTGTCGTAGCCGTCGGCAATAAGAATCGCGACCATGCGAGTCGCAATGGTAGGCTTCTCGGGCTGGAAGTCCATTTGCGATAGGCCCTTGGCTGTCTTGTTGTGCTTGGGCCGAGTCTGCTTAGTCGGTTGCTCGCCACCAACCATCTCGGCAACACTCTGAGCGAGCTCGAGATCAATCTCGCACAGACGCTCACAGAGGCGCTCGTACACAACCGGATCGTCGCAGTGGTCAAGCTCAAAGGCAAAAGCAGCCTTCATGTGCATCTTCTCGTTCTCCGACATGGAGTTGTAGAAGAGCTCGGCCTGGCTCTTGTGTTCCCTGAACTTCTTACTCTGCATACGCACCTTGATGCCGGCAGTCTTCTCAGGGAACTCGACGTATCCACCCTCCTTCTCCGTCGCAGGTGGCACACTCTGGAAGCGGTTGGGCCAGTAGTTGACCTTACCCTTTGTGATTGTGTGTCGCATGGCACCGTCACGGTTGAAGTTCATGACGGGGCAGACGGGCTTGTTGATCGGTAACTCTTCCCAGTTAATGCCCAGACGAGAGAGTTGGGTGTCTTGGTAGGAGAAGTTGCGGCCCTGTAGTAGAGGGTCGTTGCTGAAGCCGATGCCGGGAACGATATGGCTTGTGCAGAAGGCGACTTGCTCAGTCTGCGTGAAGAACTCGTCAGGGTTTTTGTTGAGCTCGAGCTCACCAATGTATCGGACGGGCACAAGTTCCTCAGGCCACACCTTGGTAGCATCGAGAATGTCGAATTCGAAGTCGTGCTCCTTTGCCTCCGGAATGACTTGAATACCAAACTTCCACTTGGGATACGCACCGCTGTCGATGGCCATCCACAAGTCCTTGCGGTGGAAATCTGGGTCTTGACCAGCAATCTTCAGCGCCTCATCCCAGACGAAGCTGTGGACGCCAAGTTCAGGTGTGAAGTGGAACTTGACAAAATGTCTCTCGCCCTTGGCATTGATAAGAGTGTATGTGTTGACACCGAAACCCTGCATCATTCGGTACGAGCGAGGAATCGTGCGGTCAGACATGGCCCACATGAACATGTGCGTGGCTTCAGGGTGCATGTATTGAAAGTCCCAGAAGTTGTTGTGAGCAGATTGCGCTTGCGGGACCTCGCAGTCTGGCTCCGGCTTGCCAGCGTGGATCACATCGGGAAACTTCATCGAGTCTTGGATGAAAAATACGGGGATGTTGTTACCGACAATATCCCAGTTGCCCTCTTCCGTGTAGAACTTGACAGCAAAGCCGCGCACATCGCGGACAGTGTCTGCAGAACCACGGCTACCGAGCACAGTCGAGAATCGTAGGAAGACTGGAGTTTCGCGCGAAGTATCAGTGAGAATTCCAGCCGATGTGACATCCGAGGCCGACTCGAAAAGAGTGAATTTTCCAAAGGCACCCGAGCCACGCGCGTGAACGACACGCTCGGGAATTCTTTCATGGTCGAATCGGTGGATCTAATGCTATTAGCCATGTGACGAATAAGTCGGCTGGTCGATGGTCAAGCATACCTTCTCACGAGCAAATTGGTCCTCGAGTAACAGAGGGCCAGTCTTGTCGTCCGTGGCAACCCTTAGCCAGTCGTCGGTGTTGTTCTGCTTCACTCCATAGTCGCTGGTAATCCTCCACTTGTCGTCGTGGACATCCTTGGTGACTTCAGCAAGCTGAGCCATCTTGGTCGACTTGGAGCCAGCGAGGTCCTTAGCCTTCTCCGCAACGTTGCCTAGTATTTCAGATGCCATATTTTCGATCTTTCAAAGTCGACTCGGATGGCAATGTCTATTGTCGAGATGACAAGCTTTGGGGCTTGTGGGGAGCGTTCCCTTTTGTACTCCTCCGAGGGCGTCACGTCGCAAACACATGTTTACATCTTGACGTCATGGCGACGTGAGGCGATGGTCGTCCGGCATTGAGTTGCCTAAACGACTCTGACACGCACTTCGACAGGTCATTGACCGCACTTCGACGAAGCGGTGGAAAGTGGATTTGATGTCAACAGCCAATGGCAGCAAAGATGATGTTCGATCATCGCGATTTGATCGATTCAATCGACTGCCGAGCGACGCCGATGTACCACGCGAGGCTCAACTTTGCCATGCGCCCCGCGCCCCAGCGCAATCGCGGTCAATTCCAGATTTCCATGATGAGGAATCGGAAATCTCTGACACCTATCGGGCCTTTCTCCTGTTAGAGTCGTTCCAAAGTACGAGGCTTTGCACGCCAAAACATCAGAGAAATGTGCCTCAATGTTGGTTCACTGGTGACGTCAAATGACGATGGCAAAAAAAGAGTTCCACGTGCGTGCGCCCCACACCAGATTTGCTGACCATGACAGACAATAAACAGAGCAGAGAAAAAATGATGGAGAGCGACTATACAATTACACAATGTGTACTTCATGCAAACGGTATGGTAGGGTAAATATGATGGAAGAATCCGACAAAAGACGAGTAATGCAGGCTACATGAATGGCTGCGGCTTGGCCGGGACAGAAGGCCTTGCTAATTCCACTGGCATGAGCATCTTGTAAGCTTCGGGCTCTAACACAGATAGATGATACCACGATAGCCGTTTCTCTTGTCGGATGTAAGTGCAAGCAGTACGCAAACCCATATTCGACACCATACCATGCTGGGACTAAGCAAGCCGCCACAGCTGTAGCGCGTCATGTCCCGGAGGCCAGCTTGAGGTTCCGGATGTGACTCCACATCGCAAAGCTTCGGGAGTGGGAGGACAGCTTCATGCAGGCTGCAAGCTAGTACGCAGACTTGACCTCTTCTGTCGCTGGGCCAAACGGTTTCCGAAATATTGACGGTCCGCTTTACAAGACAAAAAGCGACTAGGGTACTGCAAAGAGTCGTGAGCGCTTTACGCAGCAACATCTGCCGATATGCGCATATGGGCACTATGGTGATCTGCAATAGGTAGATGGTGTCAACGCACCCTGTAGCAGTTCGAAAGACCGCGGGTGTACGGCTAATCTACCACCAATGACGGAGGTGTTGCAGATCCTACATATGCCGCATATTCGCATCAGTGCCCAATCATGCACCGACTGACGCGGTACGTGGACTTTCGTACCTTGCATTTCGCTCTCAAATCTCCGCATGTTCCGCAAGAAGCTGCACTTAGGAGCATGTCCCTGTCAAGCAATGGCAAAAGAGCACCATGGCAGCAGAGGATTTTGGTGTACCTATTTTCAGGCTGCCATGGATTTTTCCTGTGCTGTGTGGGTCGCGTATAATTAGGATTGGATGCAAAGCAGGCCGGGCAGAGTTGATTGATATATGTTGAGACATGATGGGCGTTAGGATTGGTCGGCTCGTGATAGCGTGGATATATGGAAATGCTTGGCTCCGAGTTTAGACTTGCACAATTCATGGCCTACTGTCGCGAATTGAGTCGCAGGTTCATCTTTAGTTTGTGACTGACAGATGCGCAGAATATCTACAGAATACGGACGGGTGAGGGAGAGATAGGTGCCGGATGAATTTTTAGGCGGGACGGGTTGGTCCGGCAAGTACCGTCGTGGCACCCTGTGGAGTATGAATGCTAGTCGCACTCGTCAATGGACTGCACTCAGGCCATGCTTGTCCATGTGCCAACGTACTACGCAGAGGCGCCTGGCCCGGTTAGCACCACGCATCTCGGACACAGATCCTCTTGCAGTAAATGGACCAGAAACAACTCCCAACAACATGCACGGTATATGTGCTATGGTTGGCAAGATATTGGGTGCATAACTTCCACGGAGGGGGTTGTAGCAGGTACGAGACGTACAGTGAAGAGATTTTGATAGTGCGAGGAGGAGGATTGGGGAAAAGTCGCGCTATGGCAAGCGCACTAATAGATACTACCGTAGTGTAGCGCAGTCTGATGTAGCGCACCGCGCGTGGTAAGCGCAGCCGAGATATGGCGTCGTGGAGATCGCCACCAGGCTCATCAGTTGCAGTTGTCAATGCATATAGTTTGAGCGACTGCATAATCGAAAGAGCGTAGTGTCTGTCGAGTGCGTGGACGTGTTCAGCACCCCACACTGCAGCGATCTGCCCATGCAGTTAAGTACATACAGTGAGCAATGTCAGATTGCCGAGAAAACGCCGGACCACGTCGTTGGTCAGATGAGGCTGCTGTGATGCGCGTCGGGGGCCATGGGGACAAGCCACATGCAGTACCAGCCGCAGCAAGAAGCGAGAGGGAAGTTCCGAAAGCTGAACCTGGTTCGAGCTGACGACTGCTTGTGGAGCATGGAAGCGCAAAAAACAGTGTTGCAGGTATATGAGACGCATTGCTTTTGCGCGTAGGAGCAGGAGCAGGAGTTGCGATGGGCTAAGCACATGCACAGATGCTGCACCAGCCAAAACAAACCAGGCCGTGTTGCTGTTGGATGAGCGGTGGCGCGTCTGCATTGTGGAGTTCCTGGTCGTACAGGTCGATCAGGTAAGAGCGGGCCGAAAGGCTAGAGCGCTTTGGGCAACGTGTCCCTCAGCTACCCCTGCGGCCGTTGAAGAGACATGGAACAAGAAAATCTGACAGGCTACACAGCATCCGCCCACCAGTGCTTGTATCACGATCCTACTGCACAGCGCCATGCACCGCGTCCTGGAGGCAGCGCATATGATCACATTGCACTCGTATGCGGCCATTGCTTTTTCCTCCTGTGACCGTCGTAGTGTAGAGGCAAGCAAGCCAGCAGTTACATTTGATGAGTAAACGGGCCATTGGCAGGCAGCCCGTCTTCACGTTTGGCGTTTCAACCGACGCTGACACTCTGAGCTGAGGGCAGCGTAGTGGGGGCATGGTTTGCTGATTGTTTGTAATTGTGCCGCTCCATTCATTTAGCTATAAACTATGGATGTTGACGGATGTGAGCAGCATGAAATGTTTTCATGGCGTCGCGAATCATGCATGGCGACAGTCATGCATGCGCCAAAGTTTGCAATTTCCAAATCTGGGCCTGCCAATTCCCAGACGGCGTCGTTGCGGGACTGGGACATGCCGTCACGACACTTTTACTTTTAACCTCACAGGCGCTGCAATGCCGCTGGCCCTGAGGCGGGTATGCAATATGCAAGGGGCTGCCCTTGTGGTGGTTGTAGTAGTCAAGGTAGCACCCGTGCCCGGCCGCCATGGTGGAGGTCAGCGCACAGCAGGCGTGGCTGCGTTTGCCGTCTTCTTTTTGTGCTTCTTTTTCTCCTTGCTCCTCCTCCGCAGCGGGCTACGAGTCGTCGAGAGTGACCAGGGTGCCATGTGCCAATGGTGTGCATCCGCGAGCCGAGCCAGGGTAGCATTCATTGCTCAGGAGGGTGGTCCAGGCGCGAGAGGTGAAGAAGCTACGGCGTGAGTCGAGCCCTTTGCATTTGAGTCAGCCGGCACCGCCAGACTCGGGAGCGTGGACGGGCAGCAGACAGTGGACAGAGAGGGCGCTGATGGTGTTGCAGCAGCAGGCTGTGTGCTGCTTTGGGCGGACGGGCCGGTGCAGCAAGTATGTATGATATTGGCAGCTTGTCAGCCCTGTGGCCGGTCACGCAAGGGCGGAGCGTGACAGCAGCGGTCGGACAGGCTCTTTGCAAGAAGCAGAGGCGGTGGGCGGCAGCGCATGCTTGGGAGACCAGACGGCGTGATGGCGGGGCGGATGGGCAGGATGGGCAGGATGAGCAGCGTGTGGTGAGGAGAAAGCATGTGGGGCGTGATTGGAGGTTCACGCCGCAGCCGTGCGTCCGGCGGTGCAGCAGCGCGTGATTGGGCAGAGGGCGGGCTGGTGGGCTGGTGGGCTGCTGGTGGGCTGCTGCACTGGTGGACGGCTGGTGGTCACAGCGCTGGCGCTGGGCAGGAGGCGGGATCACCCTGGCCGATGCGCTGCTGGCTGCAGCTGCAGCTATGCGACCCAGGCGTCAAGGCTAGCAGCTCCGCGTATGTATGTCCTGGCCTTTCCGCACGGAGCCAACGGCTGTACAAGACTGTCGCGCCTCGTTGCAAACGGGAACGAAGGCAATCTAACAATCTCTCGACCGTTACCGTCACGCTGGCTCGCTGCAATGGCTGTCTTATAAATCGCTCTGCGCTGCCCGCCCTGTGCCCCCCCAAGACGCTCCGACCAATTCCTCTTCAGCACCCTCACCCTCACCCACCCTAGCTGCCACTCCCTCCTGCCGGGCTGCTGCTGCTGCTACTACTACTGCTGCTGTCACTCGCCAACACCTTGCCCCGCCGCCTGTTCTCGCCCACACGCCGCCTTGGCCGCCCGTGGTCCTGCTGTTGCTTCTGTTGCTGTTGCTGCTCTTGCTGCTGCTCTTCTTCTTCTTTGCTCGTTGTCCGTGCCAGCTCCCTCCCGTCGAGCTGCGCTCCGCATTGCCGTCTCCGTCTCAAGCTGCCACAGCAGCCGTCTGCACCAAGCAACACCTCTCCACCACCCCCGGCCAATCAGCACCTCTCTGCGCCCACCCCCACCTTCCCTACCCTCGCCCGCCCGCCGTCTCGCCTTCCTCCCACGCCGTTGCAGGAGGCGCCTTCCCCCCGCCGTGCGGCCGTGCCTTCCCCGCTCCCATAGCACCGCCAACATGTGTACCAAAGTCGTACACAAGTATGGCTGCGGCCACGAGATTGCGGAAAAGGCCCCATGCGCCACGTCGAGGACATCACCCTGTGGCGTGAGCAATACAAAGACTGTCAAGCATGACGAGAGGTGTGATAGATGTGACCATTGACAGGTACTGCCGCTTCTCCCCTTACCCCTGCACGTCACACCTGGTCTGACAAGCCTGCCTCTAGTGTGTTACCGTCGCTTTCTTCGCACAATATCCCTCCTCTAATACCTCGCCAGTTGCACCTTGTGGGCCTTTACCGGTGCCGCGCTATCACGCTCAAACGGCATCTCGCTGCTCTTGCTCCTCCTCGTCCATGACTTGGGGGAGCATGGTCAGCTTCTGTCCCGAGGCTTCAATTCCCACCCCATATCAAGTCCACACTTTACGGCGTCACGGAATTCGAAAAAAAGTTTTGGCGTTTTAGGGGGCATTGTGACTTGTTTGGACTCTGAGCCCACAAAGTCGGGCGTTTGGGATACAGGCTGCTGTTGCGAGACACATTTTTCACTTGTACTACTTTCACAGCTTTCTTGCTTCATGGATACCACGCTTTTTCTTAATATGGTCGTGCGATGGGCCGACGCTGAGCCATGTGGCTTCTTTCTTGTTATCTTGTCATTACCATGGCCACATGGCTGTCTGCAGTCCCTGGTGCCCCACATTCCCTGACATGAAGGGGGGGGGCAAATACAGTATACGAGCAAGTCAATTAACACATAGGCACCCGGTATAGAGATCTCCTTCTTGAATCGGGTAGCCATAATAACTACTTGTGGAGCTCATGCTTTGTATTGCGCGCCTGGCGCGCATCCCGAGACCATATCCACAACCAATGAATCACGACTGATCTACAAGACAGTATCACGCCCAAGCAGCCACATGCACTGCCGTTTTTCGCCAATCTGCTAGTCTACCATCCTCAGACGACCCTTCGAGGCACCACCTACGCCAGCCTCAAAGTCGCTAATGCGAATCGAAACAACGACCCAGGCGCTTCGCCCTTTGCTATATTGGTTTTTAGTAGCTGGTGAAAAGGCCTGGCACTAGCACCCCGGTAGGCGAGCAAATGTGGCCGAGGCACTGTCTATTCTTGGATCGTGATAGGATACAATAGATCAAACTCAACTTTCTGTCATGCCGCACCTGCTAGCCACCTAGCACCGGCCGTAACACCCGACTTGGAGATGAGGCCAATATGGCATGATGCTCGAGACATAGTAGCACTCCTGCTAAGGGACGGGCCGCGGCACATGGCCAACTGCTGTCAGCTCAGGTACAGTATTGTCCTAAGAGGATGCAACATGGCATGATGCGCACGTCGGACCAAACCACTAGTAGGGGAGTCTTATTGCCAATAGCCTCTGGTCTGGTGTGATGAGAATGCAAAGCCGCGGGCTGTGTGGGTATGCTACACTGTGTCTCCTCTGATCGCCAAATAGCCGAGTCCACCGGGTATACGTGCACTTTGATATACATATGTATGATGTATGTAAGTACTTACATTCTTGGAGGCGTACGTCGACACGCGCATTGGCTTGTCCGTGGCCGACCGGGTAACGGTTCTTCTAGAAGCCATTCAGGCAGACTTCTGCCGACGTGGTTCGTTTACCCAAAACCGGAGCCACACCATAACACAGACAAGCCTTGCCATCACACGCATCCAGGGCATGATTGTGACGCACCCTGGAAGCGCTTGACAAGATTACATGCTTGCCTGTTTGCCTTCTTGGTCCGCGTCGTCAATGTTAATTTAATATCCTGTGGCAGATGCTCAGTGGCAACCTTGTTCTCGACCTGGCCTCTATTGCCTCGTCTGTTGCTCTTAATTCTCCAGCAGCATCACATGGACGATCTGCAACATGGGCGCGTCTGTAGCGGCACATGCGACAGCGCAATGGCACCTTCTTCTGGTTCGTGGTTCCGTATCCCGTATTTGTTCAACTACACACTGAGGCCACATCCTAGTAAAGATTTCAACACATGCGGGACTCGCTGCAGAGGATTGAGTCAAGCGACGCACCAAGCGGTACGGCAGGCAGGGTATTGATGCAGACGTGACGGCCTCATCACATCCGAAGGTTTCGTCAAGAGATGAACTGCGCAAGCGACGACCTAGTGGGCAGGCTGCTAACTGGCCCGCTGCTCGGCATCGTTGTTTGTGCGCCCGGCCCGGGGTGCGCTCGTCCCCATCCGGTATCAGTAGCCGTGGCTTTCTGTCATCAACCCATCCCAACATCCAATCTCCAGCAATGTCCATTGATATCAACTGGGACACCATCACATGCGGCGCAGAAGGCTCCGCGCGTGCAGAGAAAATACGCGCCTTTATCCATGACCGCTTCCAGCAAGTGACGCTGCCACGCTTCATTCGCTCCGTTCACGTGCACTCGTTCGACTTTGGCAGTGTCGCTCCCGAAATTGAAATCAAGGACATATGCGATCCACTGCCGGACTTCTACGAGGATGATGAAGATTACCCAGACGAGGAAGGCGGCGAGCCCGAGCCCGAGCCTGACGACGAAGCCTTACACGCTGATGACAAGCTACGTGAGTCGAGAGACCCATCACGCCGCTCATCGAGGGACAGGCATGGCAAAGAAAGAGGCAGTCGTGAGACAGCAAATCCGCAACGACTCCACCCCGATCATGCCCACGTACGCCCGTCTCAACCTCGTACTAAGCCGTCTAACAAGCGTGGTTCGTTGGCTCCCAACGAGATAGGCAGTCCCTTCTTTCCTGGCGCACTCACACCAGGCATCCCCGGTGGCACCTCCAACATGAACTACTTCCATCTTCCTTTGAGCGCAGGCTTATCTGGCGCTGCAACACCTCTCGCTGCTGTAGCTGGCGCACAGTTACATACTTGGCTCGATAATCCCCATGGCCGGCCAGCAACTCCGGCCAATATGCGTCTTCGTCATGCTGCATCTGTCAATTCTCTAACACTCACGCCACAGTCTCATCCCGATCCTAGCTCCCGGCCTTCTTCACGACATCAACAAGACGAGCCCAAGAGGCCGACTTTTGCTGGATCGGATGATGGCCTTTCTCAAGATAGCTATGTCCGGACCCCATCTGCATCTCCAAACCGCATGCACGAGAAGAGCCCCGATGATATTCAAGTCGTGACGCATGTGCAATATTCTGGGGATATCAAAATGTCCTTGACTGCGGAAATCCTTCTTGACTACCCCATGCCAAGCTTTGTCGGCATCCCCCTCAAACTAAACATTACCGGGCTCACATTTGATGGTGTTGCTATTCTCGCCTACATCAAGAAGCGGGCCCATTTCTGCTTCTTGTCGCCTGACGATGCAGACGCCTTGGTCGGCAGCGACACTGGTTTCAATGGTCTCCAAACAGACGCACGGGGCCAAAACCCACGCCCTGTGCAGCGCCCCAAGATTGGAGGGCTACTGGAAAACATCAAAGTCGAAAGCGAGATTGGTGGCCAGGGCAGTGGCAAACAAGTTCTCAAGAATGTGGGCAAGGTAGAATCATTCGTGTTGGAGCAAGTCAGGCGCATATTCGAGGACGAATTCGTATACCCAAGCTTCTGGACCTTTCTCATTTAGGGCTATCAATTTTTTTCCTAGCCGAGAGTAAGCTCGTCTGGTTTCTGCTATTGTACAAGGTGCTCCCAAAACAGATCTGTCACGATGCAGTGTTGCGGTGGTTCGTGACGGTAAAATATGCCGCTCAAAATACACGGCGAATCACGCTAGCACGACACACGTCACTCTTACTCTACGAGTCTTCCATACGGTCGCCGGCATGCAAACACGCGTTGTGGATGTTACACGGCGCACTCAACCCCACTTGGACCGACGGCTACTGCGCAGGGCTAGAGTACCACATTAGCCAGGTGCCTTCACAACAAGCCTTTCCTAGCTCAATCAAGCAAGAATGATGCAGGAGGGTTTCCAAGGGCATAGTTTAGCGCCTTGTCACGAATGGGTGTTCGCAGAAGCGATGGAGGACAGCATTTTGACAGCTACGTTACTGACAGCGGGAGTGACAGTATCAGGCCATCCTGGTCACACTCAGGATAGAGGTACAGGCCTAACTCGATGCTTGCTTGCATCACCTGGTGTGCGTATTACGTACCTGTCAAATTCAAGTACCCGTCTGGGCATCAAGCCCAACAAGAGAGAAGAAATGAGGCAGCGTCGTATCAGCTAGCGCATATTATTCTCCCTTCAATCTTCTTTCGTCATGTGCTTCTGTCCTATCGTCGATTTTACATCTTGCCTGTGATTTCTTGCCCCCCTCCCGTCGTCCCCACACACACTCTCTTTCTCGATGATCGCGATGCTGCTTGGAGCCCAAAATGGTGCATTCGCTAACAGTGCAGGTTTACTAGATACTGCGGTTCGAGACCCCTCTCACCGATGAGCCAAAAGTCTTGGCAGCTCGCCATCTATCACGATGCACCCCTCCTCCCCCACCATACATATACATCATACATGTAATAAAACTGCTCATTGCTTGATTTCCTCAGACATACAGGTAACCCACAGAACGCTAGGGCAAGCCTCGATCCGCCAATCAGATTCTGCCAGCAAATGTAGCTGCATGATTATCTCGCCACTTTCGAACTTGCTTCGAGCTGCGATGCTTTCCGACTTGTTCGTTTGAATAGCCTTCTTTTAGGGGTGCAAAATAAGTCATCGACATTGCCATTTCATTTTGCAATTCATTATCAAATCTGTTCCTAGCTCCCCCTCTCGAAATAGAAAGACCCAAGTCCCCTTGTCCCCGGCATCATTAACCAAAACTCTCATCTTCTTTTTGCTTACCGTAAATATGCATCGCAAGTTTCTACCTGACCTACATATAGGCTACAGCACAGGGAAAGGATGGAAATACCACATTCGTACTAAGACTTGAGTTCTGGACATGGCATCACTTCGGAGCGTTTGATGTCGTGCATGGTTATCTTCGCGCCAGCCTAGCCTCATTTTTTTGCTTTTTCCCTAATTGCATGGTTTACTTTTCTTTTGCTCTTCACGTACTTAGCGGATTTAAATCCGCAACGCACGTACGTGTGTATGTACCTTGCGTTGCGAGTAAGTAAGTACGAGGGGTTTGCCAGGTTTTTTGCGCCGCATTGCATGGATCGGTGGGATAGTGACGTAGGGGCGTGTGTGTAGTATATGTAGGTGGTGCTTGGACGGTTTATAGATAATATGCAGGTAAGAGAGCATGGGTTGTTGCATATCCTGGTTTGAGGTGGTGATGTACAGGGGTTGTTGGGGTGGTTAGTTACTATGGAACGTTTGGTATTGAGAGCGGGCTTAACGAGATTCTTTCTTTCTTGCTCTCTTCCCTTTTACTCTTTGCTCTTTTGCTCCGTGCTCTTTGAGGGAAAACGAAAGTCCATATTTTTTTTTCGTTTCTTCGCAGCGGCCCGATCCAAGCAGCGGGTTTGCATAAGTACCCAATGGCAGTAAGCCGGTGAAATAGACGCTCGCTCGTCTGATGTCTGGCAAGGGTATTGGTTAGAGAGGAGAACAAAAAAAGAGACTCGGACAAAAGAGAAAAACAAGTGCCGATGGGGGCATGCTAATAACACGCTGACCCTCAGCCAAGTATTGCATATTTCAACTCCAAGTATGAAGGCACGCCCCGTGAGTCTTTGCGAAAGTCTGTACAAAAACTTGCTTTCCTGTATATTTTGGTGTTCCTAATATGGATATACATCGCGCGACTCAACTTCCTAACCCTCTCTCTACTCTAGGATACGAGTACTATACGCAACGCACGTACGTACGCACTAGTAAGCGCAAAAGCGCCCGATACCCTACACCCCTCCTCTCCACTAAAGGCCCTTTCACACGATTGCGTATGCGACATGCATGCCTTTCCCCTACTAAGTGCTTCCCCGAACTCCTCCGTCAACAACCTACCCCAGCCACGCCAGTAGCCAAGCCAAGCCGGCCACAACCAACTGCTGGGCGAGTCGATCTACTACCATCGCACACCACTCTCCCTTTTTCGTTCCCCAGAGTTTCAGAGTGGAGAGTTGCACATTCTCCGTGTTGTTTTGGATTGCAAATCCGATTAGCGAGATTAGGGTGGGTGGGGAAAGGTACCGGAATTAAGCAAATGTGGACTAGGGGAGAGAGGGAGAGGAGACGTATAGTAGGCTTGGCTGAGATTGGTTTAGGCGGGTTTTCTTTGACCGGCCTAGTGAGGGGGTATCTGTGCTTAGGGTAATTTAACGGGGTTGAAGAGTTGTTTGTGTGAAACGGAGGGGGGGGGGATGGCGTAAGTGGAGGGCTAGCATGGGAGCGGGTTGTTCTGGGCCTAGGGAGATCAGTTGATTTGGTCTTGTAAGGGTCTAACAGGGGTGGCTATGAAGGTTAATTCTTGAGGGTGGGTAATGTGTTGCACTTGCATGAGGGCTAGATAATAGAGGCGCTTGTATATGCGTGTTAGTGGTAGGTGATGGAGTGTTCATGGTAAATGGCAGATCGTCAAAGGTTAGATTAGTAGATCCGAGGGTCTACTAACTAGAAGACGGTGAAGAGGGTAAACCTCGGTAGTCGTGGTGGGCCACGGTGCTTAGATTATTGCATCTCTGGTCTTCTGATTTCATCTGCGTAAAAGTCTTTATCCTCTCTTTTTCCTAAGTAAGATCGTCTACTCATCAACCGCTTGGTGAGATCATAGATTTAGCCGAAACGGTAAAAAAAATAAGCTTCTAATGTGGCTAAGGACAACAAAGAAATGCGCCTCTAAGGTTAGTCTTGGACACAGACACTTTTATGTTTTTCCATTTCGTAAATCCTGGTAGACTTTCTTACACCGCTCAAGTGGCGCACTGTTCAGCTAGGTTGATGAGCCGAGCTGCTTTGACATTGTGCCGTGTCAAATCAGCACCGACATCTATCCTAGGCGGTTACGGAAGCAACACTAGTACGTAGTACCATGTACCACGTATGGGATTACTTCTAGGTCAAGTGTTGTCGGCTAACTTAGTTTTACAGGTTTATCTGTTTGGTAGTATCCTTACATAATTTGCAAAATTATGTAAGTGAGATAGGCTAAGTCATTGAAGAGAACAATGTACTTACCCAAGAGGGATATCTGGAAATGGTTTCCTCATAATAAACATCGCTTACCTACCCTGTGCCTGAAGAGAATGACTCTTACTAATGGTGATATTACATATGGGTTTATTTCAGATCGCCAAAAGACCACACCGTGCCTGGCTCCATTACGGACATCTTTCCAGAATTGTAGCGATATGCGAATAGTGTACAAAGTACCACTTAAGCTTATTGTGCAACTAATTCATGTAGTAACACAAGAGCTGAACAACTTCCTTAGCTTGCATACTGCAGCGAAGGTCCCGTGTCAGAAACAGACAATGCGAATTCAACAGGGTCATCTTGACGCAAGATAAATTGCAGTGGACCCTTGGAAGCTGGAAGCAACAAGGGTGGCATTGTGCGATGAATGAAGTTTTATAGCTCGTATTCAGTCGCGGCGTTAACCGCGTGTAGTCTTTCTTTTTACGCATGACCGCGCGTGCCGCATATCTAGGCAGGAAAGATACTTGACAAGGTTCTTAACAAGAGTGGATTAGATTATCTGATAAACCCTGAGGCAGCATAAATGTCTCTGACAGCATTGCGTTGACATCCTGTCACTTATGCCGGCCATGCCAGAAAGGTCTTAGGGACAAGTACTCTATGGAATTTTCGCATTGGTCTTGGAAATTTTCAGTATATCTGCGTGTTTAGCGGCTACTAGCGTTGCACTATAAAAGTCTCCCACTGGCTATGCATAACTACAACCAGCGCATTCCATGCATTAACGAGGGAACAATGCATATGAATGGCGCCACGTTGGCTAGATCCACATGCTAATTCTTTGCAAGTACTTCGTGCTAGGCCAATAAAATTATTATGTCATTAGATCAATTAGCAGATCTCAGCTCGGAGAAAACGACCGGATCCATATGATGCTATATGCTACCTGAAAGAAAATCTGATACACAAACATGCACTTTAGTTTCCAGCATAGTAGAAATACAACAGAAAACTATTCCAATATTAGGAAAGGTCCTGCAGCACCTTCTCTAGTCCGTCGATCCAATGAATACCTTCCCTCCATGTCCTAGCTCACTCCGTAATCGCACTTACCAGATCACATCATAATACGAAAAGAATGAAGGTTATTACTTCCCTCCCCACTAGCCAACAGCCGACGTTCTAGAATCCGGAGAACTTTCCCCCTTGACAGAACTACATAATGCGGTGTCACTTGAACCTCGTATCAACCACAACCGTCCCTTTCCTATTCGGGCCAAGCTTCAAAAATTCTCCTAGACACACGGACTTGGGTCTTCGAAAGGATTCTCCAGTTCCGCTGCTCCACTATGCGTGTTATGCATGAGTGAATCTTCCAACTTTTGTCCATGTAGTAGGTTTAATATTAGAATATAAAGTATCTAATATTGGGCTTACTCATCAACCAACACAAGCCTATTCATCATCGAATAGACAACTCCGCTTGGTGTAGTTGGTTTATCACGTTCGACTGTAATAGCAATTGTAATCGAAAGGTCCCTAGTTCGATTCTGGGAGCGGAGAACAGCGTGTTTCTTTTTTGCTCATTCGGGCTGTAAGAGGTGGCCTAACAAATTATTTTTTGTCCTTGTGGGGGGGGTCAAGGGGACTGATGGTACAGTTGTGAATTTTGCTTGAACAGCAGTGGCTCTTTTATCTTCATACATTGAGAGTGTATGATAATGCATATTCTGTACATTGTGTATAGAAGCTATTCGTTTATTTGACTAATGGAAGCATAGGCCTTGCGTGGAAAGAGAGAAGAGGGATGTTTCCTAACACTTTCCTACCATTGGCACGAAAGTCGTCCTATTTCAGTATCAAGATTGCCAAAGAAATCCCAAAAATGACAAGCAACCTGTGCACGATATACAAGCCGACCTTTCTTGCCCCTACGCCCAATACCCAAGCATTGCCATAGCAGCGGCGCCAACAAAGACATATACAATCATCAAACCCAATTTACCCAAATCCCTCGTCCTTTCCATATCAAACAAAAAGTCCTTAGCTAGCAACTCAACCAAAGCACTGTAAATCAAGAAACCCGCGCTCACGGCATTCATAACACCCTGGACTATCATCCCCCCTCTACTCTCAGGCACATACGTAGCTCTAAAACCCAACCCCACCGCAATCGCCAGTGGCGTCGTAAGTCCATAAAGCGCACACAGTGCCCAAGGCATCCGTGATCTGTTGAGAGGAAAGGTGATATTCGATAGGCGAGCGCCGAGACCGAGACCTTCAAAGGACTGGTGAAAGACTAGGACGGGGTAAAGCGTAGTAAAAGTCGATGAAGCCACGACACCGAGGTTCAACCCGATGATGACGGAGTGAAATATTATCCCGAGTTCCAGCACAAGAAACGTGCTAATTTGCTGTGCAAAGGATATATGAGACCGCATGGATACTTCCCTCCGTTCTGTATCTGATGAGAAATCTGATGAGAAACTCGCATTGTCTTTTCCTGCCGCAGCATCGTGTCGTTGCTGTGCAGCAAGTAACGCATCCCGCTCTCCGCACCGCACAACCCCATCTCCTTCCCTAGCTTGCCCGAATTGCCGTTGAACATACACTTCCGCCGCGAGATCCACACAGAAAACAAGCAAGATCGACGTTAAGACGATGCCTGCACACCAGGGAAACTTACTCCACACTCCATCCGCAGCAACACAACTCCGCGGCCCAATAGCTTCGTACGCTGGGTCAAGCAAATGGATAAATGCCGTAGCGATGATAACGCCTGTGCCGAAGAAGCGTGCGAAGGTATATATCCCACCGGAGATTTTCCAGCGGGGGTTTCGCCGTGGGAGAAGGGGGAAGCAGGTTGATAATGTTGAGGTGAAGCCGATTACGAAGATGGAGGAGATGCGGAGGCTGAGAAGGCTGTTGGTTTGGGTTGAGTTGAGAGCGGAGAAGCAGGGGGTGGTTGTGAGATCGATGTTGGTTGGGTTGAAGGGTGCGGCGGAGGACATGATGGAAGATTGGGCTGTGTTTGATTTACAGGAATTAGTATGACTTGATATTGGAGAGGTTCGAGGGAGATTAAGATTGATAGTCGCCTTTTTACGTTGATTTTAGAGTGCCAAGTACCGTGTTGGACGAGTTGTGAGTACCTAACATAAGAGCAGGCACTTGGCGCACATACATGCGCTGTATCCATATAGGTACTGAAGTTCTAATATAGTAGCCGATTTTCTCAAGAAAATATTGTTCGGGAAACTGAAAACATGCAGGTATTCTTTCATTTCATGTTTTAAACGGGTTTCCTGCTAACCAATTCGTTAGAGTAAGTGCTCTTAACCTGTTCCTGACCAACATATCAAGATCAGCTTCCTTATCCCAAGAAAAGAAATTTTGGCAAGTTTTGTGCCTGTGCTAAGAAGACGTGCACATTTTCCTCCATTATACACCAGATTTCTTGGCTTCGAAATACCAAGCCCGCTTTTCCTCATATTTCCAAGCCATACAGCCATCAGACTAACGAATTCCGTTTGTTCTGACGAACAAGCTCATGTCAGGACGTAGCGACTCTCTTGGTGGCGGCGGTCTAGGCGGCGGTTTGACAAACCGTTTCGGCATCGGCTTATCCGGTAAAAGAATATCAGGCTTTGGCAAAGTTGCCGTTGCAATTGATGTTTTTGGCATGTACATGCTAGCCTGAATAGATGGTAGGGGTTCTTTAGAAACATTCATGTTTCCTGTAAATGGGTCTTCGGATTCGTAGGGAGTGCCGCCGATAGTGGTACTTGACCAATGCCTTGAGAGTCCCGACCTGGGCGTGAGAGCATCTGAGCGTGATTGTTGGAGGTTGGTGAATGGCTTCAAGTAGAGAGTGCAGACTATGAAAATAACAAGCGCGATGTGGCATTGTGTAGCGATGTGATAGGGTAAAGACCAGTAGGTTGGACCCGCATCACGATCGTAGGCTGGTGTGAGGTAGACGAGGCGAGTGACAGATTCTGCAATTAAACTATATGCTAAAGTTAGATCTGACAAATAGTAGGTGTTTGCAGTTAAGATCCACTTACATTAATCTCAATGAAAGAAGTAATAGTACAAGTGTCTTTTGACGAAATGACTTGCGTAGCCACCATATGCTGCACGCGAAGTGTGCGAAGATAGCTGCCTCCAGGGCAGTATCAACTGCGTTCATAGTCATCCAGAATGGTACCTGTTTGTCTGTTAGATGTTTGCATGATTCCCATTGAATACTTTTAACGTACCAGTGGAATGCATTTGCCGGTCCATATCCTCCAGGGCGTTGGCAATTCGCATTGGAAGACCATACCAGATAAAACAACAATGGTCCACGTCACAGCCAATATGCTGGTAATTATTACACTGGCTTTTCGAAGAGCATTTCCAGCCAGGCGATAGAGAAACACCAATGCCGAAATCTTCGATATACTAGCGACCAAGATGAACAATAGCGTGGAGACATATAGCCTGAGCTGAATCTGCTCCACCTCACCATCGCTCAAAAGACAACCTTTCTTGCCAAAGCCTGACATGACAGCCATGGAGGTAACGATGATGCTGCCCAGAGCACATAAGAATGTAACGAATATCACAATGTCGTTGGTCCATGGTACACGATAATGGCTTCCTGACCTGTATCGAACGATTATTCTTGCGACCACAGCGAGAGTCTGCACCAATATGTGAGTAGTGGAAATGATTTGGTGCGAAGTATCCTACCAGTAGGCAAGCAAGAGACCAGACTACCATTAACAGAATCGTTCCATGATTCTGAGCAGAAATGAGCGCATTCTCTTGTTGGGGTTGCTCGTCGCACATTGTGAGTGATGGGCGTCCGGAAATTGCATTAGATTGAGCACAATTAATCTTTATCAAAGTAGCATTTTAGTGGCCATGTGGACATAGAGGAAGTCCGATGTGTCCAAGTTTCGGACATTGGGATACGATGTTTGTAATACTTTTCTAGAGTCCGGATCACCAGGATGTACGCGTCTCCCCGTCTTCGCGAATGATTGCCTTTTGTCGCGGGAGGAAGGGTGTGCGATCCATAAGGTTTCGCCAAGCAGGCCGTAAATGGGAGTGGTAACAAAAGAGAAGGCTGAAAAGAGCGAATAGGGATGCAAGAAGTGTTAGGAAGGGATAAGTTTGATGCATATCAGTAGCGCCTATGCCGGCATCCAGGGTGGAGATTCGCCGTGGAGCTGAGTCCAGATCCCGCGATGCTGGTACCTCAAATGACGCCACAGTAGCACAAGGGTATTTTAGAGGCCATGTTGCTGATGTTCAGTGTATGCCAGGGTTTTCAGGCCACTGCGATCGTCTCAGTGTAGGTTTCAAGTACCGAGAAGCAATTATACCCCACGTACACTGACACGGCTAAGGCAGAAGAGATTGAATGGGATCCATGTGTTCCTGAGTAAAGAAACGGATATTAGAATGGTATAGTGTCACGTAGCGTAACGGGGATGAAAATGGTTGTATGTGTTGGTCTGGGTTGAAGTCAATGGTATGTTAGCCAGGATGAGCTATGATTAGCGAAGTCCGGTGGTAGAGTTGGGCCAGCCAAGGGCACCAACGGTCATGCTGCGTGGGCATGGAGCCTGGCAAGATGTGATAAAAGTGGAGGGCAGCTTCCTCAGGCCACGCGGACTTTTCGATAGTGTTCGCTTATGCTCGTGGTAGGTACATGCTTCGGACTTCACGCCAACACAACCAGCCACCAAGAAGCCATGTGTACACAACAAAGGCCGTCAGGCATGGGCAGATTTCAGAGTGACGAGGGAGGCTCCATCGGATATGAGTCAGTAAGGGGAGCATCGGAATCGAAGAGTATCATCATGTTCCACGGTGGATTGAGCCGACCCCCGCGCGGGCTGGGGTCGCATTGATGTTGAGATGCACAAGAGCAGGTGTAGCCATAGTCGAAGCCCGATGAGCGCGCGGGTATGAGGTGCGACAAGGAACTGTATGACGCAGGTGAGGTTGTACGTACGCCAAAGAGGACAAGGCGCGCGACGTCGCAGGTGGTCGGGTGTGGGGGCTTCCGAACATGGAATCCTCTTCTTTCCTTATCGACAAGGATTTTCTGACAGCCAGGCGAGGCTCTGCGACTGCGTCCCCAACTTTGTCAAACACTCGCAACGGCATCGCATCACTATGGTATGTTTCCTACGACCTGCTATACACACAAAAAAGCATCACTGACCATGCGCCACAGGCTCCCATCAAAAAACGCACAACAGCGCGCGCAAAGTCGGTTCGTGCCGCCCGCCCTACCACTGCGGTCTTGCACAAGCCCGACGACATGTCATCTTTTCCTTCGACCAAGCGCGACAAGCAGAGAATTAAGCATTCATCCTTTGTTTCCAAGATTGAGAAATCCTCTGCCAAGACACAGAAGCGCAGGCGCCCAAATAACAAGCTCATTGCCAACCTCGAGTCCCTCGCGGATGCGCTTCCCGGTGGAGACACAGACGGCGACATCGAGCTTGGCCAGGCGCGTATATTACAGCCAAAACAAAAAATGGAGAGCATGAAGCGCACAAAGGGCGCCAAGAAGAGGAAGGAGAAGCTCGAGAAGCTCGAGAAGGCGCGCTTCAATGCAAACTTGGCTCAGTTGACCACAGCGAGCACAAATGGGGCCGATGCTGTCAAGGACCGATGGGCGGCGCTGAAGAGCCATGTACAGACCAACATGGAGGTCAGGCCCGAGTTTGCCCAGCAATGAAGCCAACCTGCTTGAGATGAATATCCGCCCTCATATTGGGCTCACTAGACGGGAGCGATAAACTTGCCTGTCCCGCACACATATGCGTGCCTTCGCAGCAGTCATCGGCAAATGATTGGTCATCTTGCTGAGGCCAGATGCAGTAATTTGGCGCGATGCTCATCACTATCATTTGCGGTATCTATAGGAAGGATTACGCGGCGCTCCTGTCATGCATACGACACGAAACCTAGGCTACAAGGCCAAAAACTTATGCCGCACACCATCACCATAGACAAAACACTTGGAGTCCCGAAACACAACATAGTCGCTTGCTCATATATCGAGCAATTGTACACGCCACTGGAACATTTCCAAGCCGCGTAGAGCTATATGATAAAATTTCAATCATAGTTCAACGAGAAACACTCCTTACAAACCATCGTACTCTTTTTTCTTAGTTAGTGCATCTAGCTCACCGCAAGGTAAAATTTCTAGAAGACTTGGAAGCCCAGTACGATCAGAAAAGTTTGACATACGATAGCAAATCGATAATCGAGTCTAGTTGCAACTCCATGTTTCCCAATTCATCAAAAGAGAGCATCATAAAGAAAAGATTCCACCATATTTGGAAACCGACCAAAAAGGTAAGGTCTGGGTATCGTACATATACAAGAGGCTGAATAGAAGAGTCATTCCTCCACATCTCATTCTCACACACTCCAAGCAGTAGACCAAAAAACCACGTAACGAAAAACAAAGTCATACTACACTTCCTCCCCCCCAAAATTAGTCAAGCACACGAATCTAGAATCCCTCACACAACCGTAAAATTCCGCTGCGGATAATTATCCAATTGCGTCATATCCTGAATCTCAGGGAACCAATGCTCAAACAGCGCTTCGGCATCCTCACTCATCTCCTCGTCTATACCCTCAGGCGTACACTCGTAGCATTCAAAGCGGCCAACACGGCGATACGTGTTGTTTCCTTGTGGCGAAGACTTGAGTACAACACCGACAATTGACGAGCGGAACGTCATGCTCACGAGGACACAGACGAGCGTCTCGCCATCATGCAGTGCGTCTTCGTCGCGCGGCGGAACAACATCGGGTGTGAACTCGACTGTCATTCCGTTGCGGGCTAGCATGTATGAGTACGGTTGTTGTGAGGAGGGTTTCGAGGAGGTGTGAAACACCACTTCTGTGGCCATTGCGCCAGATAGTTCGAGCGGCTCGCCCATGATGGGGGACCAGGCGCTTGCACGTTTGCCCTTTGGACCAAATGATGCTCTGCATGCAAGATCCATTGCGCTTGTGTTGTCGAAAAAGATTGGGGCGCCTTCGACAGAAGCCCAGGACCAGCTTGGGACGTTCTGGCCTTGTCCGAGTTGCGGGCGGCGGCAGCAGGTGCTGTCGTTGGGATACCAGAGTAGTCCTAGTGTGCTGAAAGTCCATTGTCCAGCAATGTATCCTGATTGCAATGTGGGCGACAATGCTTTTGCCATACTTGCTGCGGCGATGAGGCGGTCGCTGTCATATGTCAGGTGTCTTGCCGTGTATTCTGTAATCATGCAAGACCAGAGTTGTAGCGTTTCTTCGCGTTTCCGCAACAGTTCTTGGTGCGCGCCATTCGTAAGATTGGTAGAGGCTAATTGGTTAGTGACACTGTCCATCCGGTTGTGGCCCAGGTTGCTGTTACCATTGTTCTGTTGCGGTTGATGTAGAATTTCCGCAAGGACCTTGCCAAACTCCTGCTTGACCTGATCAGTAGGTCGCGAGTCAAATGAGCTGTCTTCGATACGCCCGCATTCGCATTGGTAGCCTTGACGGCATTCGAGTATCATTTCGCTTTTTGTAAAATGTAGCACACGGGTGGATAGCATGCGTTCGGTGTAAGGCCAGGCACGGACTAGAAGGGGTGTGTCCACATTTGCCTCTTCGGTAATGTTGAAGGGTAGTTCCCACTCATTCATGTGTGCATTGCCATTGGAAGGTGCTTTGAAGCTGTAGTGGCTCGGCTGCTCTCTTACGTTAATTTTATGCATTGAGCCTTTGGCATCGGCTGCTTGGATCTTGAGCGGTTGTGTCTTGGGGGGAAATAGTGGGTGGCTACTACTGTCGGATGCGGACGTTGCCGCAATGGTTAAGAAAGCGTCTCCAAAGATCTCATCCATCCGGAGCGAATCCTCAAGCTTTTCATGAACGTCATCTTGTATGAGACAAAGACTGTCGATGAACAACCACCGGAAACCAAGTGCTCGAGTAAGAAAAATTGCCTCCTGGTAGGTTCTGGGTAGAACTGACCACGGGATACACTTTTTGTGAGACTCTAATGTTTCCAAAGTTGTCTTGGGTATGCCTTTGGTCGTTCCCCAAACATGACTCAAGGCAATGTATTCGCCATGTTCGTATCTTCTCTCTTCTTGAGTATACTCACTTTCATGCAGTCGCAGAGTTTTGGGGTCGTCGCCTGCCGACAAGTCCAATATGCGTTTTGGTAGCGTAGTAGGTTTACTTCTGCGACTGCATGTAGCGTGGTTGTCTAGACAATTCTTTATCAAACTTCGTGCTATCATCAAACCAGTATTCTGCAACGGAGTCTCTACTAGTTGCCGACCTCTTCCAATGGCAGAGAAAGGAGATTGACCATCTGCACTGACGTCAGTACACACATTTCTGCAAAATTCGCGAGCTAGCAGCAGGCGATCTTTGAAAATAAAAGCCATATATCAAACAGAGCGGTGCATACCTCCATCTGTGAAAAACTCTAATTTGAGATCTGCGTAGCCAGAGGCGTTTTCATGGTTTTCGTTTTGACATTCGTCGTGGTCTTCGTTGTCCTTCCATCGAAGCTCAACTGAGAGATGATCCTGAAGGTTCCTGTCTGGTTTGGGGTTGAATGACTCGGCAGTCACTCGGATCCTGTCCTCGATCACGCCAGCGAATCGGTCGCAATATGGCAAAATGCCATTTAGTAGAAGTGCGCATGCGCGACAGGCACTTGAACTTGACCTTAGCGTTGGTAGCCTGGTGTTGACCCAAACCAAGGATTCTTTGCTGCTATCCTGGGCGCCGTTCAGCCCGTGGGGGTGTTTCTGCAGGCCTTTGCATGTCACGCAAACGGAAACCATGGCGTTGTAGTTGAGAAAGGAGACGGTGATCGAGAATACGGGAGGTGCGTGGGTCGCCAGAGAGGGGTAGATCGACCCGCGGGGCAGGGCGGCAAGACTAGTAGCCGTACGGTTCTGTGACTGCGACAGGTCTGTGGCGGCTATCACTGTCGTGCGCCAGCTGAGCTTTCTTTTATCGAATAGCACTAGGAAGATACTAAAAGTCTGCTGCTACCCTGCGTGTACCGCGTGCAGGCTACCCAACGCCTCTGTGGTGGACAGCGAGCCCTTTATCTAACTTTGAGTGGTGGAGGCGCCACCTAGGCATTCATGGCATAGCACAGAACCTGCGAATGGTATTCGCAGGGTCACAAGCTTTCGGCGACACCAACAGCCTCCAGTTTGACTATTGGGAGTTGCAACAGGGGACGGATACATCATCTATGCTGATGTCGATCGAATCAACACACGCTGACATGGAAAATGGGTTGCTAGATCTACATAGCTCGAAGCTGTTGCCGCGCCCGACCCTCTGGGTCGCCAGTTGATGGGCTGTAGCCATGCTTTCCACTCATTGGCTTGCTTGGAGTCCTCGATATCAAGTGGCTGGCTATATCTGCGAAACACTGCATTCTTGTTTCTCATGTTGAATTACTGGGCTAGTGCCCGAATATTTTCCTAGTATCAGCCACCCGAACTTACATACTTTCCCTAAAAATCCGGAGGTCCGCGGAAAGCCAAATTGCTGTCCACATACTGTTGGGTTATTCAATTTGCTCACACATACGAGTCGCGTGATCGTAGCAGCTGTGGACCTGCGCCCACCCTCCCGTTCAGCCACCCCGCCAGGCATCCAAGCGCATGCATGACAGGGTTTTTCCATGCATAATATGGAAAGATCTGGGGCTAATCGGGTTACAATGTGCTCAGATTTGGATTGGTCTGCCATGAGCTGTCAGACTCCTCAATCAGCTGAAATGACCTCAAGGGGCTACTCAAGTCTACCAAATGCTTACAAGAGGAAAGCCCTCTGCTTACGTTAGCGGGGGACATTTGAAAATAGGATGCAATATTCCGCATCTGGCTGCTATTATGATCATAATGTTTTCCCTACAGTGCCCATTCTGGGCGTGGTAGGAGCGGTCGTGCCTCACGCCCAGCAGACTATATCCTTGTACAAGCATGAGATGGTCTTGGTGTATAGTACAAATAGTGCTTCCATTAAAAGATCTTCCATTCTCACTTTACACCATCCATCGCACTTTTGTGATGACGGTACGGCTTCGGAGCCTCAATCAATGAGGTTCGCCACAAATGGTATGGTTTGATGACTTGTCACACAGGCTGATCCTATCACAGAGGTTACGCGTGCGGCCATGCAATGGATAGAATCACGGGGGCAAGCGATTCCGATCCAAATGTCTGGGAAACATATAATCTCGCTACATCTACCTGTGTTAACCTATACTCTCCAGGTCAGCTCATGAAGTAAGCGTCATTGTTGTTGGTGCTTCAATTTCTGAGTGCGCACACTGGGCTCCACAACAGATCACTCCAATCTCACAACATTATACATCTGCATCCAGTCCTTGATGAATTTAGCGATGCCGTGCTTGCTCATCCTCCGCCATACGCTTACATGCGCTTGTGTCTGTGAGGGAATTTGGTGCACGTGTCTTGTATTCTAATTTAATTTAGCGTCTCCCTGACCCCACACCAGACCGCCGCTGCACGCATCCTAGAATCACGGGCGTTGGATGTCTCTCGACTACGCGCCAACATGACAGCAGTTGTTAGCTCTCTGCGCAAGCAAATTGCAGCATGCGAAGCCACGCTACAGGAATTACGCCAACAGCTCGCCGAAGCTGAGCAAAACCAAAACCAGCCGTCCAAAGTTGTTCCTCAGAAACGGCCATTGGCCACGGATCCAACCAACCCATTAGATCATGATATGAACTTTGGTGTACCGGACGACTTTCGTTCCGAAGTTTTTGCTATCCTGGATCAAGGAGAAAAGAAAGTGAAGCATGCTGAGTCAGAAGAGACCCAAAAGTGGGAGCTAGAGAAGGACGAATACAAGAGGTATGGAAGACAGCTGATCATGCCCGAGATTGGGCTTCAGGGTAAGTGCAAATATCAATGACTGATGCAACGAGTCTCACATGCTGCAGGACAACTTCGCCTCAAAAGTGCGCGTGTACTTATTGTAGGTGTTGGCGGTCTCGGATGTCCAGCTGCCGCATACTTGGTCGGAGCGGGCGTCGGCACTGTAGGTTTGGTCGACGGCGACGTGGTTGAAGAATCCAATCTACACCGCCAAATCCTGCACTCCACAGCAAGGGTTGGGATGACCAAGGTTGAAAGCGCAATGGTCGGATTGAAATCGTGCGTCCACCTACAGACTCAAAGACACTTGTAAGCTTCACGAGATGCATAACTGACCGCCAATTAGGCTCAACCCCAACGTCAACTTGGTGCCACATATTTCTCGACTAAGTCCTGAGACTGCCATATCAACATTCAGCGGCTATGATCTGGTACTGGATTGTACCGATACTCCAGCGTCGCGCTACTTGATATCAGATGCTTGCGTCCTCTTGGGCAAACCGCTTGTCTCAGCGTCAGCCCTTCGTATTGATGGCCAGCTGATGGTCCTCAATAACCCACCATTACCACCGGGTGATCTCAATGGAGGCCCTTGCTACCGTTGTGTTTTTCCGAAGCCACCACCGCCAGAATCTGTTGTATCCTGCGGCGACGGTGGGATCCTAGGACCAGTTGTTGGCGTCATGGGTGTTCTGCAAGCCTTGGAAGCCATCAAGGTTTTGACCCAGAAAACACCTGCTGCAACACCGGCCGACCCACCAAGTCTCCTCATTTTCTCTGCCTACTCGAATCCCATGTTTCGCTCTATACGGCTGAGGAGTCGAAAGGCAAAATGTGCTTCCTGTTCAGCAAATGCGACAGTCACCAAACAAGCGCTAGAGTATGGAAACTTGGATTATGTTCAGTTTTGTGGCAGCGTACTTGCACCCGACAATCTACTTTCCCCAGAGGAGCGCATATCCGCCCAAAATTACGCCAGATTACGCTCCGGGGTCAATCCACATACAGGAACAGTGTCAAACAGAAATAGTCACATTCTCGTTGATGTAAGAGAGAAGGTGCAGTTTGAGTTGTGCCATATCGATGGCAGTATGAATGTGCCATTTTCGACTGTGTCCAGTACGCCAGGCCCAAGCGCCAACAAAGGGCATAACGGGGGAGATTTTGAAGAGAACGATTGGGTCACACAGTTGAAGCAGTCTGAGCGCCCTATCTTTGTGATATGCAGACTGGGAAATGACTCACAAGTAACTGTCAAGAAGATGAAAGAACTCGGTCTTGATTTGGGAGGGAAGCGATACATTGGCGACATCAAGGGAGGCCTTCAATCGTGGAGAAAAGACATCGAGACAGACTTCCCAGACTACTAAACAATTCTTCCATTGCTATTTCTATATCCTCTTCAGTCAATAACAGCTTAATCAACCTTGCTCAGCTTCACCCTCCAGCCACGCAACTCAACACTAACAATCTTCTCACTTTCCACATGAAACACAAAAGTATCAAGCGGTTCCCCAACATACCTCGCCGGATCCCCCAAATTCCAACTCATACACTCAAGCCCACCCCAAAGCTTCTTCGCCGGCGTCTTCTGATCCAGCAACATTCTCCAACTTTCCGCTTCTGTACCCAGAGAATCAGGATCAGTAGGATACAACCTCGGACTAAAATTCTCAACTCGAATCCCCTGCCTCGTAGCCAATGCCCGAAGAACAGGCACACTATTAACCGTCAGCGCATCAATTGAAAGGCCTGGCCCAGACGATGCAGACAGGACAACAGTATCATTCGACGTAGCAGACTTGTACGTTCCCGCATACTTCTTTGAAGCTTGCTCTCGCGCCAGTGCATCTGCATATGGCACCACCGCCGACACCAGCGTGCCCAGCAGCTCAATCGACGAATATGACGTCTCACCTCCCGCAGCATTCACCGTGATCGCAATGTTGAACTCGGGTATCAGCGCTACATACGATCCATATCCTGGCACGCCCCCAGCTTTCGTGTACACATCTATTGCGCGTGGAAACTCAAGCGGTAGATCAGTGATGCGGAAGATTTCCCATGCCACGCCGACGTATTGCTGAGTTGAGCGCAGAAAGGTTGTTGGTTGCATCCAGGCGCGGAGCTCGCTGGGACTTAGCAAGATGCCGTTTTGCAGGGCGTGGAGGAGCTTGAGCATGTCGTTGGGGGTGGACCATAATCCGCCTGTGGGATTTAGGTTCGCAAAGTTGGCGACGAACCAAGATGCGTCTTCAGGGCGGCGAGGGAGTATAGCTGCGCCGTCATCTGTAGGTACTGTGAATGTTGATTTTGTCATCCCCGCTGGGTCGAGGATGAGCGTTTGGATGACGGACTCGTAGCTTGTGTTGTGTGCTGTTGCGAGGGCGTGGCCGAGGAGTATGTAGGCAATGTTGCTGTACATGGCGCGTGAATTGGGGGAGTGCGGTGCGTAGGTCGGGTTATTGAACATATCGAGGACTTGTTCGCGTGTGCAGACGCGGCCGCCGGGTACGGGGTCGCAGCCTGGGAGAGTGTTGGTGATGTTGGGGAGGCCGAGTAGGGGGGCAGTGCGTCCGTATGCTAAGTCGCCTACGTATCCCTAGATAATGTTTAGTGGAATGCCGCATAGAGGAGGATTTGGACGTACAAATCTACCAAGGCCAGAGGTGTGATCTGCCAGGGCTTTTAGTGTCACATCGCCGTATAGGTCCTCGTGCAATCCAGGAACGAACTTGGTGATGGGATCTTCAAGGCTGAGGACATCCTTGCTGAGCTCCAGCGCGAGAGCAGTGATGAACTTGGTGGCGCTGGCGATGCGGATTTGGGTTTCGAATAACGGCTGGTTTACTTGGCGACCAGGTGCTGAGTGTTGATGTTGGAAGATTGTGGTATTTCCAATCGAGACTTGTACTGCGAAAGAGGTGTTTTGCAGAAAAGTGAAGTTCTGGAACACGGCCCTTGGAATAGTAAAGTTTGAAGCACCATGAGCGAGTGATGGAGGTGGGAGAATGGGGCCAGGTGGAGGGCACAAGGCGAGTGTTGTTGCTATGAGGAGCGGGGCGGCAGTGACGAGATGAGAGAGCATATTGTAGCACACTGCCAAGTAGAATACACAAGGCGGAATTGAATTGGGAACAGGCAACTGTCCAGACTTGGTGCTGGGAAATATGGCAACAGAAATTCAGGGACGATACTGTTCCGAGTCTTATACTACTCATAACAAATGACTTGAGGGCTTAGCATTGAATGGCTGCCTCTGAAGAAGTACACTTCATGTCCTATTAGGCCGTGCTTACTTGGCTTTGGGATAGATCTGCACGGTGCCTTAGCCCCAGAGGATTCTTGCACCGTGCGGGGATAGAATCAAGCCTTACCAGAGGACTCTGTTGGTGGACTTGCCACTTTATTATTCGATTGGCGAACCTAGGTATCACTGATAGGTGATCAAGTTTGAATCTTTCATCAAATAACAGACTCCCTATCCAGCAAAACACTCACAAATTTTCTGCCTCCATATAATTCCTATTGGGATTGTCTTTGGTTTAAAATTCAGCCCCATGAAGATCTCTCGACCTGGCTGTGTACCTGCGGCCGCCTAACGTCTGTGTTGTGATCGGAGCTCGGTTATGATTGGTCGGCTCGTACATTCTCATCGCGACTCGCGCTGGCATTTATATCGGAGCAAACTGTAACCTGTGATTTGCTTTGTTTCGTAAAAGATGACATTGCCATTGAACGTAAAAGCCTTTGAGCGACAGAGCCAAGCAAACAGTACGTCACCAGCTCAGCCTTCGTGTGGAGACCTTTTACTAGTAGACGCCCTATTTTACTGAGTGATCTCAAAGAGTATGCTACAGGCTCATCACTCGATATATTCCTGTTTCAAGAAGATAAGGAATGCGAGTATTTGAAAATATTGGTTGGTAAGTGATGTTTTGGCCAATAGGGTATGCGCGAGAAGGCCCCGTTACTCAAATTCCAGGCGTCTATATCACGTCCATTGAGGTGGAGTAATCTGTACTAGCACCGAGCGCCTATTTCCAAGTCATTCTGGTGATGGTGATTCGCTTCAGATATTACGGCTCCGCAGTGGCTGCATCGGCAAACTGAATGCCTAAGATGTGCACAAAAGGCCGTCCCAGAAAACAATACACGGCCTGGCCGCCACTAAGGCCGCCACTTCTCGATACTAAGGCCCCTCCAATACTAAAAATCAGTCGATGGAGAAAAGCCAAGAAGTGAAATTGCAGGGTTCTGGCACGTAAATTGTCACAGTTCGCAAAGAGAGGCGGAGAGACGGGAAGCACACCATAACAATCATACTATACTCGCGTCTGGGGCGCATGGCGAGCCAATAAAGCGTTGTAAGGGTGCTGCTTACCATGGCACTATTTTTTCCCAGGTACCAGGACCGGCTATTTTTCAGAAGATTGTATGGGGGACTCGAGAGGGGTTCTGGCACGGTCCGCGGAGGAGGACATGCAAGTAATCTTAGCGCATACCCCCCCCCCCCGGGCCAACGCGTTTTCACAATATCCCTTTTGCATACCGCGTGGCACTGGAATCTTCAGAGACTGTTTGTGAAACTTTCAGCATTAGTTCGGTTACTATCAGGTTTTTGGTCACGAACGATCCCCACATGCGACAGTGGTACTATTTTCTTGGTCGTGACATCGACAGTGGACAACCAAGTGAAGTCAAATTCGATTTCTGAGAGAAATAGAAGGAGAAATATATATAATCCAGTAGCAGCGAGAGTTTGACATAGTGACCGGCCCCATGGATTTGGTTCCTCGGACTACAGAAGCGATGGTGACACAGAGATATGCGAGATCGATCTTAGTCTACTAGAGGGGCCATCTCTTGAGTAAACTACCCATCAACAAATAAAAACCCGACAACCACTGGAGCTGAAAAAGCAATCGTGTAGCCAGAATGCACTCTTGTCACCTGCGGAAGGAACGACATTGACGGGCTTTGTAACTTGGCGGGGGTACGCTAGCCGTCAGAACCACACCACACCACTGAGAGAGTGCTGACCCCAAGGTATACGGCAAATTCCTGAAAGTGTGTACACCTACACAGACACGATTCCCAGACAACTATCACAATCCTCACCTCAATCGATATGGGGAGTCACACGAATAGTCTAATCCGGCAGCCCATATATATGATGTCCAAAGCATAAAACCACAAAGGGCATCTATGCGTAATTAAATCCGCGGAAGACCAAAGGGTCTTCGACACCCTCCATCTTCCAAATGCCCCTCCCATCAGTCCTCCTCTTACGTACCGCGAGCTGAAGAGCAGCAAAAAACGCGGCCAGCGAACCCCAATCGGAAATCCCTTGCTGTAAATACACCATTGCCCCTGGCATCGCCACAGGTACCCAATCACGCATGAATCCTGGTACCATCTCTCCCAGCAGCACTACAAGACCATCTATGCCGTGGTATCTACATCTCTACATAAATGGGCACCGTTGAGTACGTCTGTCTGTTGCAAAGTGCTGGTAGAATGCACAAAACCACACTGACATGGACTTCAGCAGCATTCCAGCGGGCGCGGCACCCCTGGGCATCACACCTAATCTCGAGAATCCTGCGGACCGGCTGAAGACCGTGATTATCGCTTCAGCATTCATTCAAACTATCACTTTTGTCTTTGTTGCTATACGCGTCTACGTCAATTTCTGGATGCGGAAGATCTGTCTTGAAGATGTGTTCTTGTACATCGCCTGGTGCGCCTTCGTTGCTCAGACGAGTCTGACGATACATGCTGGCACTACGGGTGTCATGCGGCATTTGTGGGATATGAACTTGGCTATATTGCTGGATGGAAGCTATCATTACAACAACACGGTCATTTGCTATACCATCAGCGGAGGATTTGCAAAGGCTGCAGTGTTTCTGCAGCTCAAGAAGATCTTGACTACGCAGCTGCGTGGTGCGGTATACTGGGCCATTATCATCTCGCTGGTCGCAAACGCAATCGCATATACGGTCCTCCTCTTCCTCTACATCTTCAACTGCTGGCCACTTGAGAAGATGCACAACCCACTGCTTCCCGGGCACTGCTTGGACTGGAAGCCGTCGGTCATAGCCATTGGCGTCGTCAATCTTGTATCCGACATCGAGGCCCTGTGCGTGCCTATTTGGGCCATCTGGACACTAAGCCTAAAACTCAAGAGAAAACTTCAGATTTTTGCCGTGTTCGCTACAGCTGTGCTAGCCGTGTGTATTGCCGGTCTTGGACTTTACTTCAGGGTGGCAACGGCACAACGCTATGATTACACATGGCATCTCCCGCAGAGTGCGATAGTAAAGTGAGTACAGGCGACATTCCTGTCTAATACAAGAAAAGGCTGACAAATTTTACGCAGTATAGCTGAGCTGGGAACCATCATCATTGTGGGGTGCTTTCCAGCACTTGCACGAATATGCTGTCATCTTAAGCGTAGAGCTGCACCGCCTCCTCCTGGGTATTTCCATTCTGCAGTGCGAAAGAGAGCAAAGCCAAGGAAGGACGCGCTCAACGATAGCCACGATAGTGCGGGGCAGGAATCGAATTCGATCGTGATGCTTGAGACGTATGGGTATAACAACAGCATCGTCGATCACGGGGGGAGTGAGATTTCATTTGGCGGTGAGGGCGATGTGCATGCTATATCGAGCCTGATTGTGTCTACTGCCGACATGACGGCCTAGGCGGTGAAACGGTAGTCTACAAAACGGGAAAAAAGCAAAACATGATAAGGCAAAGTGTAGATATCGGAGTTGAAAGTTAAAAAAACAATCATCCGAAAGTATAACTTTATCGGCGGTTCCTGGTGTTGTCCGGGGTGATCAGCCATCAAGCGAGATCCTGTAAATAAACCCAGGAAAACAGTAGGAAAGGATGAACCGCGCTTTCCTCTAGTGTGAAGTGATGAGCAAAGAAAGAACGAATCACTTACAGAAATGCGGCTGATTCACGCGACCACCAAGCTGAAGAGAAATGAATGGGTAACAATGCAAATAGTCAGAGTCATAGCCACAGATCCACTGAAAAAGAAAACATAGTCTCAGCTTTCTTGACCGCTCTACCGCCTGCTCAACGTAGCTAGATGGCAAGCGCCATGATGTCAGCGGCGCTCTTTGTTTAGTTGGACCACTTATATGGAGTGCGGTGTTTTTAAGCACAGCGCTAAATGCGGGCCAGATGCAGATAGCCAGGTGGGTGGGGAAAAGGAGGCTGCAGGAAACCGCTCTCGTGACTCTGCCTTCATAGAATCGGAAAGAAAGCACAATGTGGAAATCACATTCTGCATTGGCGATTGGCGTATTTATGAATTCCAAGTCATGTGAACAACTATCTGCGCTACCTACTGCTATCACAACAGAAAAAGAAAAGAAAAGACTCAAATCCTACTCATTAGAAAGACAATATGCTGTGATAGAGATAGAGGCGGATTCTACATATGTTGGCGCTACTTATAATCGGCAAATACAGTGGTATCACGTGCCCGGTCCGAGTCTATCCATGGTCTTAGGAATTGTTCTGCCAATCAGCAATGAAACAACAAAGCCGTATATACGATAAAGTGTACAGATCCAACGCCGTTAATATGCCCGTCCCATGTAGCCCGGTCATGAAATTTCTGAAAGAGTAAATAGCCCAAGACACCGCATTAGATCCTGACTAAATCGCTGGTTTCGAGTCAAACTGGGAGAGAGAAAAGAAATCAGTAGTGACTAAATGTGCGGCCTTTCAAAGGCTCAACTACTGCCAGTGCTACTATGCATAGGCATTGCTGGTGTGTGCATTACGCCGCTGCCGCTTTGCAAGCTCGAGTTTGGACCTTGTTGCTTCTTCTTTTCCTTCTTCGCCCACCGCACTGTAGCTGATTAGCATGCAATTTTGTCAGTTGAAAGAGGTGTTTGCTTACATCCACAAGCATTGCAGAGCGTCTTCGGTCCATTTGGACCTTTTCGCCATTCGGGCGAATCCAGCGTTCCGCAGTCGGTACACACGTACTCATCTGCAATCTTCAGCTTCTTCTTCTTTTCTGACGAGTTTCTGCCGTCACGGTCTAGAGATATTTGTATGCCCGCATCACCACGTATAAGGTTAGGACTGGCATCGCCTGTGCTTATACCCTGAGAGCGTTCGCCATCTCTGTAGCGGAGACCGGTTAACATTTCAATCGTCTCGAGATGGTTTGCGCCCTCGTACCGCGCCATCTTGTCGTTGATGCTGTCGGGCTTACTTGCTGCAAGGGCTTCGTCGAGATTTTGCCGTGTTAGGGCGGTGTTTGATACGACTGGTTTCGCCGGCGGTGGCATTTGTGCGTATGACGCGGCATCTGCTTGGCTCATATTCTGGGTGACGTGCGACTCGGAGGCTGTCATGGAGGCTGTGGCGCCATCGGCTTTTTTGGCCCAGTCGTCCTGCTCATCCTGCTCTTCGCGCTTGAGCTCGGCTATGCGCTTCATGAGGCGCTCGTTTTCAATCTTATGTTCGAGGAAGGAGTCGAGGAGGGCGGCGTTCTTGGTAGGGTAGGGGCGGGCCATCATGAAGAAGCCGCGGCAGTTGATGGCGTTTGGCGGCGCGAACGTGTTTGTGTCGCTGCTGAGGTGTGGATGGCCATGGGACTCGAAAATGACCCACGAGTCGTCGGTCTTGCGGAAGCGGTAGAAGAAGCGTAATGGGTTGCCGGATGCGATGGATTCGTTGAACTCCTTGACAAAGATTCCAATGTCGTCCGGGTGGATAAATTCGTTAATGAAGTGGCCCATGATATGCGAGGGCTCCCAGCCGGTCAACGACTTGCACGATGCGGACACATAGAGGATCCTGCCGTCGGGGGTTAGAATGTGCAGCAGGTCGCGCAGCTCTTCGAGCACGCGCTGGGACCAGTTGCGGCGCTTTGTGAACTCGGTGAGCGTGCTGCCAGAAGGATTCATATTGGGGGCGCCAAAGCCCGTAGGCAGCGGGCCTGCGCCGGCGCCCGTCATTTGAATGTCGGTGGCCATGGTGTTGTTTGGTGGCACGACCGACTGCTGCATTTGTGGGTCGGCAAAAGCGAAAGCGCTGCTCTGGCCGTCTGTGCCGTCAAGCGAAGACATGTCCAGGTCCATATGTTGCATTACATTGTCCATTGGCAGACCGCTGAGGTCCGGACGGTGAGGGTGCATCGGGATCCCAGCCATGGAGTTGAGGCCCATCTACAAGTCACCATCTTCAGAATTGCCCAGCCTAGTCAGCAAGTGGGGTCGCGCCTACCTCAGCACCACCGTTCGGGTATTGCGCCATGGCGGCTTCGCAGTACACCGCAGTGGCACTCAGCATGCACTGTCGTACAGGCGGGGGGGATCACGGGGAGGTACAGGGCGTCTGCCCGGGCTGGCGAGGGATGGAATATTTTTGGGGGAGGAGGTGGGAGGTTGGATGTCTGAGCATCCGGGCCTGTCATGGCGGCCGCTGTCCTGTCCTCACCGGCAAGGCTGCGCTTGGGGGAACAATCACCGACGCCCGCAGCCACAATGCTTGCTTAGGCTGCCCTCACAGCACGGACACGACGTCATCATTCTCATCACGTGACACCGCGTTGATTTGGTCCAGCGACTCCAGGCTGCCGTCACGTGTCGCTGTCAGCACGACGCGACGAGGTGCCCCTCCACCACAACCACCACAACAACCAGGGCCACCACCACAATCACCACGACTAGAGGCCAAAGGCAAGAGAGTGTAGCGCCCGCCAAGCGCTGCCACCACCACTGCCACCGCCGCCATGTCCAAGATCGACCGCATGATGATCCAGGGCATCCGCTCCTTTGGCCCTGAAAAAGGAGAGACCATTGTCTTCACCGCGCCGCTGACCCTCATTGTCGGCTGGAACGGCTCCGGCAAGACGACCATCATTGAGTCCCTCAAATATGCTACCACCGGCGACCTCCCCTCGAACAGCAAAACCGGCGGCGCCTTTATCCACGACCCCAAGCTGCGCAACGAAAAGGAGCTCCTGGCCCAGGTCAAGCTGTCCTTCCGCTCCACTTCTGGCGTGCGCATGGTCGCTACCCGCAACCTCCAGGTCACCGTCAAGAAGAACGCCCGCAGCCAAAAGACGCTCGAGGGCTCCCTCCTCATGATCAAGGATGGCGAAAAGCACTCCATCTCGACCCGTGTCGCCGAACTCGACCAAATCATCCCCCAATACCTGGGCGTATCCAAGGCTATACTCGAGAACGTCATTTTCTGCCACCAGGAAGACAGCTTGTGGCCATTGGCAGACCCCACCACTCTCAAGAAGAAATTTGATGAGATCTTCGAGGCCATGAAATACACAAAGGCCATTGACAACATCAAGATGATTCGGAAAGCGCGGAACGTCGATCTCGGTCAACTCAAGATCATCGAAGCCAATGCCAAAGAGGACAAAATGCGGGCAAAGAAGAGCGAGGACAGACAGGCTAGACTCTTTGACGAAATCGAGAAGCTACGCGAAACGTATACGGAGGTGGATGCCAAATGCACTGAGGCCCAGCACAAAGCGAGCGACGCTTACAGTCATGCTGCGCGTTTTGAGCAGATCGTTGCTCAGTTACACGCGAAGCGCATGACACTCAGCATTAACCAGCAAAACGTTGCAGAGCTGCAAGACAGTCTCAAAGAGCTGGCCGAGTCAGATGAGGAGCTTCAGGATATGCTGGATCAGTACGCGGAGCGAGTTGCTACATATTCCACACAAGTGACAGAGTTCAAAGAGCAATACCTTGAACTCAAGGGTGATCTGGAAGATAAACGCGATGCGCTAGGAGCAAAGCAAAGCGAGATTGGGAAATACGAGGCACAGAAAGAGCAGCACGAGCAGCAGATTCAATACCGTGAAAATGCAATCAAGGAAGCCGCAAAGCGACATGCTATCCGAGGATTCGATTACGATATCACAGAGAAACACGTGGCCGACTTCCTGCAGATCTTGACAAAGATGTCTCGCGACCAGAACAAGGCTCTAGATCGAGCACGGGAAGAATCCCAGCGCGATTTGCGTGAGGCTCAAGAGATACTCAACCAGCTGAACACACGTAAATCTGGACTTAGTCAGAGCAAAGAGTCCGCCCGTAGTCAGATGACGAATAACGATAAGCGCATTTTAGAGCTCCAAAAACTTATGAACCAGATCAGGGCGGACGAAGGCAGCGAGGCCATCCTTGAAGCCAAGAAACGAGATGTTGAGAAGCAGTTGCAAGACGCTACAGCTACAGCTACTTCAGAGCGGTTTGATGAACGCATATCAGAAGCTTCGAGTAACCTGCGGACATTGGAGGATCGCAAAGAGCGCTTAACTGCTGAATTTGGCGACGCATCAAAGCAAGCGCGGGAATCTGCTTCTATTGACGTGAAGCGGGACGAGCTGCAGAACCAGCAACATAGCTTGGCAACTATGAAGAAAGTTCATGACAAACGTATCTCCCAGCTCATTGATTCAGACTGGGATCCATCTACTTTGGAGATAACCTACCAGCAGGTGCTTTCCGAAAAGGCAGAGAAAGTGAAGGAGGCTACATCTCGTCGTGACATTGCGCAATCAAAGCTGGATCAGGTCACCTTCCAACTATCCAGCTTGGAATCGCAAGTGAAACAGAAGCGCGCTGAGCTTCAGAAATACGAAACCTCAGTCAAAAAATCTATACAGAAGGACGACATTTCCGATTTCGACGAGACTCTGCAACAACTTGAGGAGGAATACGAAGCAGTCTCTTCAGACAAGGCCAAGTTCGAGGCACAAATCGACTATATGGGCAAGTGCCTAGAGTACGCTGAGCAGCACAATATCTGTCGGCTCTGCAAAAGGACTCTTCATGATGATCACGAGGAAGATTTCACTACAGCCGGTTTCATAAAAGGGCTGAAGGACATTATCGCCAGAGCAAAGAAGAACATGGATGCGGACAATGCGGACGAAATCTTCGCTGAGCTGGAGGCTGCTCGCAGCGCCAAACCTAGCTACGAACTGGCGAGTAGACTTCGTAACACTGAACTTCCCACGATGCAGGTGAACCTCGCTGAGCTAACATCGGAGCGAGAGACTCTCAACAAGCAACTTGAAGACCAAGATGCTGTTGTTTATGAATTGGAGGCCGCCAAACAAGAAGTCGAGTCTTTGATGAAAGAGGTGCAAACCATTGTTGGATACTACACCAGGGTACGGGACCTTGAGGCTGAAATCAAGGAGCTGGCACAAAAGCAAAAGTCTGCTGGGCTGTCGCGGGGAATCGATGCCATCCAGACCGATCTAAAGCAGATTTCTGACGACAGCCGCGACGTCAGGAACGCACTTGACCAGCTTACTGCGGCCAGAGACAAGTCACGCAGCAACATCAACACACTTGAGTTGAGTGTACGGGATATTGGCGCCGAGCTGAACAGTGCACAGTCCAAGCTGAAGGAGAAGCGCGCTCTCGCTGACCGTGTTGATGAGTTAAAGAAGGAAAATAACAAGCAAAGAGAGGCCATGCACGGCTTTGATCAGGATATCGAAAACATTGATCCTGAAATCGAGCAAGCGCAATACAAGTACGATGATGTCAACCGTCGTGGCAATGAGCGTGTTCAACGGGCTCACGACGAAGCTTCAAGATTGTCCGATAGTCTTCGCCAACTCAACCAAGCGAGCGAAGAGATTGTTGCCTACATCGAACGCGGCGGCCCGCAGCAACTTGCTCAGACTCACCGAGAGATCGAGAATCTTCAAGGCGAGATTGCTCGCATAGAGGCAAACATGACTGATACGACTCGAAAGATCAAGAAGATTGAAGACACGATGCGTGATACAGAGACAAGCAAACGCTCCATTAGCGACAACATTCGCTACCGAAAAGCGAAGCGCTCCCTTGAGGGCTTAGAATCAGAGATTCGACAGCTTGAGGAGCAGGGTGCTGAGCGCGATAAAGAGCATTACGAACGTGAAGCTGAGCACTGGGATCTACAATACCGTCAACTGAACATTGAGAAGACAGGCGTTGAACGTGATATGAAGAATAAAGACGATCAACTAACCGAGCTCATGGATGAGTACAAGGACCTCTACAAAGATTCCGCGCAGCAATATCGCGAGGCACATATCAAGGTCGAGACTACTAAGGCTGCCATTGAAGACTTGGGTCGTTATGCTGGCGCTCTAGACAAGGCCATTATGAAGTACCACACACTCAAGATGGAGGAAATCAACCGTATCCTCGCTGAACTCTGGCGGAACGCATACCAGGGTACAGATGTGGATACGATCCGCATTGCATCTGACGGCGATGGTAAAGGTAACCGGACATACAACTACCGTGTTGTAATGGTCAAGCAAGATACCGAGATGGATATGCGGGGTCGTTGTTCTGCAGGCCAGAAGGTCCTCGCTTCAATTGTCATTCGTCTTGCACTTGCTGAGTGTTTCGGTACAAACTGCGGTCTCATCGCGCTCGACGAACCCACTACCAATCTTGATCAGCAGAACATCAAGGGACTTGCAGAGTCTCTATCCCAGATCATTCAGAGCCGCAGGAGGCAGGCCAACTTCCAGTTGCTGGTCATCACGCACGATGAGCAGTTCCTGCGTGAGATGAACTGCGCTGATTACACTGATGTGTATTGGCGTGTGGGACGAGATGCGAACCAGGAAAGCTACATTGAGCGCCAGAACATTGCTGAGGTAAGTACATTTATTTATCTAATGCTTGCATATAGCAGCATACACAATCTTCTGGATAATGGTCGGGTACAACTGCATCAACCACGTTCTGACATGATTACAGGTTACTTAATCGAAGTGTGTATGATGAGCGTTGCAAAACCGATGCGGTGCCTTATATTGAAGGCGCATAATTGACAATGTAGCATTTCGTGTTTATCGGCGTTATCCATGGGTATCACAGCGACGGAGTTGGCACCATACCCGGTACAAAAGTGGGGATTTCACTGTTATTAGGCCATTTCTATGTGATGTTTGCGCCGTTCATCTTGACTGCCTTCAAGTTTACAAAGTAGGGAGTCGATTGTTCCGATTCAAGGTCAGCAGCATTGTTGTATTCTGCCATTTCATCTCGCGTATCGCATTATCCACGATGCATAGACGCAGCAGCGTTTACACCGTGGATTCCTGACGTTTGGCATAATCTAGTTAGCATGTTAGATGGAAGTGAGGAAATTCACAGAGCTTGTTAGCACAGAAGAAGAAGTGACATGTGAACATTTCGTTGATCTATCCAATTGTGTTTCCTTTTCACATCTATTGCAGATTTACAAACAACCCGCCATCAACCAATAGTTGGGCTCCATTAACATAGGAACTCAAATCACTGCCCAGGAAGACGGCTGGACCAGCGAGGTCACTGGGCACACCTGTACGACCCAGAGGTATCCTGCCCTCCATGTACTTTCTCTTCGCTTCATCCTCCAGATCCTTCTCATTCAACTGTGTCTTGATTGTACCAGGCAGCAGGGCATTGCACCTGATATTGTGTTTTCCGAGCGCACACGCCGATGACTGGATCAGCGAGAGCACACCAGCTTTCGTAGGCGTATAGTGACCCTGGTACGCGCCCCCGACCAGTGCACTGATGGACGAGATACCGATTATGGAACCACCTGGGGGTGACTGGATCGATAGTTGCTTTGCGCCGGCTTGGATGGTGTGGAATGCGCCTGTGAGGTTGGTATTTAGAGTCGAGGTCCAGAGATCTTCCGAGATACTACGAAATGACATGTTAGCTTTCCCAGTACATTCTGCAGTGCACGAAATGCATAATGAACCCGTACTCTAGGAACTCCTTGAACTCGCAGATACCCGCGTTGCTTATGACTACATCCAGGCGACCCCATCGCTCCACCACTGCTGCCACCATTTTCTTGCCCGTCTCTGGGTTTCCGACATCGCCGGGTACTTCGACAAGTCGCTTTTCTACGTCTTCTTTGCTCACGTCAAGGATGTGGGAAGCTTCATCGACCAGAGACTGGTACTGCGAGGAGGACTTGTCGTCCCCAAGGTGGTTCACAGCGACATTTGCGCCGTGCTGCAGGTACCCGAGGACAATGGCGCGGCCAATGCCCGTCACGCCGCCGGTAATCATCATGGATTTGCCGGTTAGCAGCTTCGGTGTCTGCACCACGGGGGGCGTCCATAGACTGTTCTTGCGTGCGTGCGACATGGTCACGTATGTAAATGTGAAAGTGTGGAGTTAACAGAGAATGTAGTAGTAGACAGCGGGGTACGTGGGATATAATTCAAGGAAGGGAGAGTTGTAGAAAGGTATATAGACTATAGATTTTTCTTACACCACAAGCGGCAGATTAATTGAGACCATGACGGCCCGTTCAAGAGGCCACGAGATACATATGCCGCGCTGCGCCAAATGACCACGATAATAGGTCCGAGGAGATGAAGTCGGTGTATTCCATGCCGAGGCGGGTTCTTGGCAAACTGCGCAACGGACGCGAAACGCCTGCCATAGTTTGCCGTCATAGTTTAGTCGGCCGCGTCGCAGACCTGCACCAATGGTTTATTTTTGGGACGACAAGGAGGCCGTGTGCTATCGCCTCTATGTCGAAGAGCGGAAGAGCTTGGAGGAAGTCATAGCGTATTGGGAGGTTCGGGGGTTTACTCCTAGGTATGTGGGATTGTTGCGCAATTGCACGTCCAGGTCGCCGTACATTTTGCAGCTGTCATTGAACCCTCTTTGATCTGTGTTTGAACAAGCCAATACTGACTGTGTTTCTACAGTAAGCGGGCGTTCCAGACGCAGTTCAAGGTGCGTCGCCAGTAATCAGTCTCTTTCCGTCACGATTGACACAATGGCAGCGATGGGACTTTCCGAGCAAGCAGAACCCAGCGCACAAGAACCCCGCTCTCGTCGCACGGCTCCAACAACTATGGGAACAGAATTGTACTCAGAAGGAGATGATAGATATCCTGCAGGCTGAGGGTTTCGACATCAACGACCGCGAACTGCTCCGTCTGCGGCTCAGACTCAAGCTTTTACTCAGAGAGCGCGTCTCCAGGCCGAAAAAGGCACCGACGACCGATGGGCGAATACAGAAGAAGAAGGCAAAGAAGAAGGTATCCAAGGTTGTACCTGGCAAAGGCCTCATAAATCAGCTTGGAAACGCAATACTGGCAGAGGGGTCTTCAAGCGAGGATGAGAGCGGGGAAGAGGAGCAAGTTGACGATGGGTCTGCGGAACAGTCGGAAGAAGCGCGACCTATAATCCCTGAACCTGACACTGTTGGCTTGAGCCCAGAGGAGGTGCTTCGGAAACAATTACGACAGCAACAACTGCAGGCTGAGAGCGACGAGAAATGGCGCACGCGGAAACGACGAAGACGAACCCGCGGTTGGGCTGGGCTGCCCGCAGATGCGCCTGGCGAGCCTCCTCGATTTCCGTCCGAGACGACCATTGACGAAGCGAAGGCGTACCTTTGTCTTAATAACAACATGTATCGCGAGTTACGAGAGCGTTTTCTCGATATCTGCAACGCCGAGGAGGTCGTCAAGAAGACGATTGCTGGTCCTGAGAAGTGGGCGCAGATTGTACAGCAGCTTATCAAGGAAAATACACATTTGACAGAGGTCTTCCAGCAGGAACCTGAAGTGCTACAGAATCACGATGCGCTGTTTCGACCAAAAGGCCAGCGGGCCTTGTCGCTAGATGTCATTTGCATGGATGTTACGAAGCGCCTACGAACCCTGAATACACGGATGAGCCTCGCCGACGCGAAGAACATTCTTGGTCTCAACCCCGAGCAAACGAGACGCGTACGAAGCGCCTTCGCTGAGAAACTGAGAGCAGCTCATTTTACGAACAAACTCGAGGCGGGTGAAACACAGTGGACAGAATTGAAGCAGGCCTGGGTCAATGAGTCTGAGCATTTAGTAAAGGCGCTCTCGCAAGGCGAAAACGACCCAGACTATGCACGGAAACTAAGAGCGCTCGAAGTTCTGGCTCGAGACGTCACGAAGAGACAGCAACAGGAGAACGCAGCCAAAGATCCAAATAAGAAGCGACAGGCCCATCAAGGACCAGGACCAGGACCTGCACCGCCCGTTGTCGCTCCTCATTCCACAACACTGAGCACCAAGGAGCGCCCACATGCAAACGTCACTCGTAACGAACCACCACAAACATCCTACCCCACCGCCCCTTCAGACCTCCAAATCGACCCCTCCCTCCTCCTAGCCGCCAGCGACGCCTCCATCCTCCCCACTCCTGACTACCCATCTCAACCTCGCTACCAACCCCCTCAATACCAACCCGCCTCCCACTACCAACACACATACTACCCCCCCTCAAATACCACCACCGCTTCCTCCCCTCTCCCAATCTACTTCCGCCTCCACCCACACTCCTCAACCCCTTTACCCACAAAATCCCTCTGGCTCTCCATCCTACACTCCCCTTCTGTATCCGAACTACATAACCTGGCTACCCGCGAACACCCGGGTACAGAAGTACGCAAGTTGGAGGGTCTGATAGCGTATAAGGGGGGCGCGGAGGGGAGAGAGGTTGGCGTGCAGATTACAGATGATGAGGAGTTGAGGGCTTATTTGGGGGTTGTGAGGGGGGAGAAGGGAGGGGGACGGGAAGGCGGGAAGGCGGTGTTTGTTGTGTTGCTTGGGAGTGTGGAGGGGATGGGGGTGGGGTATGTTTAGGGATAAGTGTGTAGAGGGATGGGGTGTAAGCAAAAAAAAAGTAGACCTTTTGAATAGTTGTATACCCGGAAATTAAGGAATACAAGGGCTTTTGTTTACCTACATTTCTGTCCTATATATATTTTTTTCGTACAGATTACTTGCCTAAAGGTTAGTTGTTTCTCCTGGGACTCGATGTATCTGGTATATCAATCGCACTGGTGTAATGTACTCTAGTCTGTGTCGCTATTGGGGTTGTCATGGCGGTGGTGCTGGATTTGGGTAGATGTGTTGAAAAGTGTTAGGGACGCTGGTTTGTGGATTCATACACGTAGGTTGAAGGAAGAGTGGTGACACCGAAGATGAAATATGGGACTGGGTGAGTTGGTAGACTCCTTGTTGACATAGCGATGTACAAGGAACGTAGAGAGAGTTGAGCTTGAATGTGGAATGAAAGGGTAGATTACGTCGTCGATGTGTAGTAGGCCGATGGTATGAACTCTGTCTAGGTCTTTCTTGGTCTTATTCCTTGGTGGATGATGGGCTATCGATACGTGGAAGCTAGTTCGTGAAGAAGAAGAAGAAGAAGAAGAAGAAGAAAGATGCGTTTATTAGTGCTCCGGCTGATTTGTTTCCAGATTATGTGACAGAACTTTGTGAGGCAGACAACGATGGTTAGACATCAAATCTTTTAAGCTACGAGAAGAGGGTGCGTGTGCAATATAAATTCATTTGGTGATAAAGAAACAGTAGGAATCAGGTCATATCACGTCACTTTCCAACTACCAAGCCTCAACATGCTTTTACCCCCTCCCTCTTCCCCGCTTCCTTCTCCTTGCATCCACCTCCGGACCCAATTCAGTTGAATCCAAATCACACATTCAAAGCATACGCAGTACACCCGGCTCCCCACCACACACTCTCCTTCTCCTCCTCGCTCAAACCCCTAACCTCCAAACACCCCTGCACTACTTCCCTCCATAATGACCAATTTCCTGCTTCGCCATTTGGCCCACCGACGTTGCACACGGGCCAATCGCTGCCAAACAGAATCCTGCGGGCACCAAAAGACTGGAAAACGTGGTTGAAAAAGGGGGAGAGGGTTTTAACGAGAGTGGGGATGTCGGAGGGGGTGCCGGGGGTGTCTATGAATTCGTTAAGGGCGCCGGAGAATTTCATGGAGACGCAGGGGTCAGAGGAAAGGGAGGAGATTGAGGAGATCCAGATGGGTGATGGGATTGGGGCAGTAGGGGAGAGGGGGTGTTTTGCGAGGTGGTCTGGTATGATGTTAGTTTAGGATTTCCAAGTCTTGGATTGCATTTAGTAGAAAACACTTTTCAGGTGAGAGAATTGAGGAGGAAAAAAAGAGGGACACTGACTCAACACGAATCTCACCCCTTTTCCATCTTCAATACCTTCTTTCTTTTCTTCCTGTCTCACTTTCGTGATCAACTTGCCAACTGCTTCCATTGGTCCAGTCCCATCTCGATTGATATCAACTCCGACATCGAAGGCCCACCCCTTACCACCGTTTCCGCGTCTCAAAACACTCAGGTTATTAACCCATGACTCTTCGTTCTCTTTAAACATGCGTTGCACAACCCCGTCACCCTTTCCCTGGAGCAAATACCTAAATCCCACGACTTTGCTCCACAACTTGGGTCCCGCGGTTTGTTCCGCTAGCTCAATATAGATGCGAAATAAAGCAGGCGACAAGTGCAGAGGACCATATACCACGCACCCGAGCATTTTATCTGCTTCTTGCGGGGTAAATCCATCGCCATCTTCTGGTTTCGCTTCTGCAATTCGTCGGAGAAATTTTATTTCTTCCAGTGGTTGTGCGGCCCATTGCGAGAGTTTCTGCTTCGCTTCTTCCACTTCTTTTTCGTTGGACGGAGAAGAGGAAATGTCGCTGGGAAAAGGCAATGGTAGGTATCGGTCTGTTTCTACATATATGAAACCAGTTGGGGGTGGTGATGAGGCAATGGATAGGTAGTCTGAAATTCCGTGGCGCTTGGCGAGAAGGTGGTTGGGTGTCATCCAGCCATGCTCAGAAGATGACGTTGCTGTTGAGGGCCAGAGATGGATGTGCGAATCCAGGATGCGCTGGTGAGGCTGTGGCATGATTCAGTTGATTGGTTGGAAGTCGGCTAGTAGTGTGTGTTAAGGAAGCCTTGTTGCTGATGTGATGGTAGAGGTGGCGTGCAGAAGAATATGCAGGCTTGGTTGCAGTAGCTGTTGAGTATAATATGAAGGAAAGTGCCACGAGCGCTTAGAGTGTCTCAAATAGTTGTTTTGCTATCGCTGCTGCTATGCCACTGAGTCGTTACCTAGATGCTCTCCGCATTTGGCGGGGTAATGAGACTCCGAGGAGGACGGGCCCTGTACCCACCAACATTATAGGCTCAACTGAGCAGTCAAGACATATAAAGTACACCAATACATTAGCAGATCACCCTATCGTGTTGCAAACTGTTCCATGTGAACAGAAAGCTAGTAAAGGTCCTGATTGACTACACTTGCCAAGGCTTCATGGCCCAGGGGCTGTAGCCCCTAACCACGTCGAGTAAACAACTCGATCAACTACCGTTCAATTGTAGAGTGCATGAGAGCGTAGACTGTCAGGATTTCAAAACCGGTACTCCATGTATATGTAGATATCCAGTCTGAAAACATTGGCCGGGGATACCTTTCCTTCACTGACAGGGGCGCGCGATAAGACATCGTCGATTCAAGTCTTAGCTATGCAAATGCAAATACACTAGCTGCATGTCATGCATACGGATTAATCGGGGTCCACGAGCAGCAGTCTAGGTGTATAGCACCTGCGAGGCCTGCGTCTAGGCCTCACAGTTCTAAAAAAGGGCGCAACCCATAGCAATGTGTCAGGCCAACGAGCGTACGACGGAGATACTTCTTGCATGTCTCTACACGCACGCTGGCCGGCAAAGTATTGACGTGGGTTGAAAAGGCAATTGCTCCCGACCAGGGCAAGCGACAGGCGCTTACTCGTCCCGTGTCTGCCAGCCACACGCGGAGGACAAGTGTTCAACTGCAGGCCCGTGAAAGCTGACAAAAAATGTGGGGTAGCTGGAAACAACCGTCGTCCATGAACGAGGTCAGTCGAAACCGTAGTATAGTTCCGCTTGCGAAGATGAAACCGGGCTGCGTTGAAGCTTGGCAGTTTTTTTTCCCTGCGTTACTTGACGTGCCTTGAAAAAAAAACTGCGTCGCTATTGTCAAGTATTTCCCGAAGTCAAAGTGGGAAAAGTGGAAGCGAAGGAGGGGTAAGCGGAGGAAAGAGGGCCGGAGAAGGGCCGAACGTGGCTCGCGCAGCTCAACAAACAAAGTCGTCTTTCGTGCGTAAGACGTGGGTGAGGCTCTGCACTATCTCATGCATTTGAAATGTATGTGGTGTCGTATGTGATGGGTGCGGCGTGTGGACGGCCTATGCCGAGGGGCAGGCATCGGCATGTCGCAGCATGTACGAAGCAAGAAGAAAAAAGCCGTCGGCCCTGTAGCCATCAAGCTGTGACACTGTAGTGGCTCAACGTGTCCAACCCTCCCGATCCGCGCCTCTAGTAACTCCACCAGTGGGCGGAAGATGCTTTTCGGTATTCCCAAAAGAGAGGGTCTGAAAGTGGGTCACCCTTGCTGGGTCGCGAGTGTCATCTCAGAATTGTGAGCAAAAGTTGGCACGGGCAGAGATTTACTGAGCACTAGATGATTCCGTATCCACACCCGTTTGCCCATCATCCGTCGGCACCCGTTAGTGGACGTGGCTAAAGGATACGTACCGCGTCTTATCAAGCAATGCAAGTATGTAGTGTGTATGCGTCAAAGGTGCGGTGATGCTGAGATGGACTACACGAAACATCAAGCGCTGACTCGTGCGGGATAGAACGCCTAAAGTCGATTGAGACGGAGAGGCTATCCGGCAATTTTAACATGAGAAAGAAAAGGGTGGGGTTGAAAAGTCTGGACGCAGCGAGTGTAGCCGTGATTGTGGAGAAGACAGGCAAGACCCTTGATCCAGACAAAAGTCGAGTCAGTGACGGGCTCAATCGCCCTGCACGACATTTTAGCGCGTTTATTACTGTGGAGTAGTAATACGCGCTGTGGCTCGCTCGGGCGAAAGGGCCGCCCGTCAGCGCTGCTCAAGAGGGTAGGTTTCCTGGTCAATGAGATGGAGATGCGGCTGATGGTCAAGTGTGGCTTTAGTGGCGCGCAGCGTTGACGTGCAGCTGCAGGGGATGATAGTTTTGCGTCGTGGTTGTGTGGGGACGCAAATGAAGGTTTACTGTAAGAGCGTTGTCGGACGTCGTCATCTTGCAAAGATCGACGAACCATGGAAAAGGCAATTCTTAGGGGTGTTTTAGCGCACCCTGGATCGGCCAGGATCGGACCCATCGCTATTGTACCGAGTCCATAGATGCTAGTAGGGGTGTCCGCAGGAGTACACTTTCGTACGGCGCTACTCGACGCGCAAGCAGTGGAGTTGGCGCCGCAAAGAGACAGCAATGATGATATCATTTCCGAGCACGACAGTGAATTATGCAGCTGCGTTCCTGGAATGACTAGATGCAGACATGGCACGTGACCTGGGTAGATATTGCGAATGCTATGCAGGCCGTAGAAGTTTCGCCGCAAGATCTCCCGCAGTCGCCGGTGGCCAGCCATCGTAGCTTTGCATCTACCCATTCTTACATGGGACCAGTTCCAGGTCGTGCTTGCACTTGTAGCTCGATCTCGGTTCAGGACCGGCTCGGCGCGAGCACTACGTTTGACACGTCCGCTTCGTGACGTCGTTGGACCCCCAAGATACATATCTACTACGTGTGTACATCCATGCACGGCGTCGGAGAAAATTTGTTGCACCAGACAAGTCGAAAATTTACAAGTTGTGACATTTCGGACATAGGCAAGTCCGAGCACGTTGTTGTTTGATGAAATCGGAAAATGTTTTCGCTTTGCAGATGTCGAATTCCAAGTTTACTGTGCAAGCCCCCCACCCCAGATTCTTCAAAGCGTAGTGCTAGTGCTCGGCACGCCGGATCCGGCCTAGCGGCCACCGTGTCAGACAATGTGACATGATCATGAGCAGATGAAACCGGCCGACATGAGAGAGCCTGGTACGAAGTATTGAGCAGGCCCAGGCCTTCTGTGCCAGGTTCCATGTTCGATGTCGTCAGACAGTCGTTACCACCAGACAATTCCGTCGGCAGCGGTTGGCCGAAGGGGGAAATGCTTTATCCCTACTATCGTCATATTAGTCTAACGAGTCCAGCCCACTTTCGCCAAAGTAAGATTGAGTGGGGTGGAGGAGGCATGTGCCCTTGCAGTGTACGGGTATAAGGGCGCGGAAGCATAATTCCTAAGCAAGATAAAGGGAAATGTGTGCGATGAGTCCAGAGTGCTTACATGCAACCCGAAATCGTGTGTCGCGCGTGAAGCGAAGGGTGCAGAGTTTTCGCCTGGGACCCGGCTGTATGGATGCGGATGTATGGTGACGAGCAACGTGGGAGACGACAAATGGCAACCAGAACAATGTGTAAGGCCAATAACAACAACAACATTAGTATTACATATTAGGCGAGGGCTTATTGCCAGGGCGGGCACAGACAGGTGGCGACATGGGATTTCGACAATTGACGGGTGCAGTGAAGCGTGTCGCACGCTACGTGATTGCGCCATGTTGCAACCGCGTAGATTGGCATTAGTAGTAGAGGAAGCATCTCGATGAGGGACTTTACGAGGGACTTGCAAGCACAAGGGCGCAGGCGCAGGTGCGTGTGTGGCGCGCACGCACACCCAGGCTGCACCTGAGCCTTTGGAGAATTTCGGATCGGCAGAAGCACCAATGAAAATGTTCCGCGCCGTGGTAGTACGGGGTGCTTGGGCACGGCTCACCACCGTCGAACTGCGAGTCCGTGCCTAGGCCGTGTGCGAGGGTACAGTGCATCGGGGGCCGCGGGACAGCAAGACGTGCGGATACTTGGCCGCGAAGCGTTGGTGGAAAGGTGTACAGCGTGGTGCTTGATGTTGTCTCTGCTGGGGAAAGTCGGGGGTGGGATAGCGAACAGGCAGCTATGACGAGAGGTGGAGAGGTGGAGAGCTTATGGGCCTGGCACTGGCGTCGCGCCGCCGTCGGCGCCAGACTAGCGTCTGAGCTTGTTGCCCTCTGGACACACAGGCCTGCGGGAGCGGGACGACAAGCATAAGGTTTGCTACAAAAAGGGTCTCTGCCGCTCGACGTGCTGACTCGCTATGGCTAAGTATGTATTCGAGGCCGAAGCGCATATGCTCGTCCTGGTTGGCCGCCCGTTGTTTTTGCTTCTTCCCCTCTCGTCTCTAGGGCGGGCGTGGGCGTGTTGCGTCGTGGGCGGGCAGGGTGGTGCGTGAAATTGCCGCAACGCACAATGATGATTACTGAGGGCAAGCGAAGTCGAGTGTGCATGAGAAGTTCGGCGCCGGCAAGGTTTCCCTGGAGGCGCGACTATGAGTAGGCCGTGCAGCATGCAGGCCCGCTTGAGTGGGCGTACAGGTCGTCAGTGGGGAGGGCGTCGTCTGAAGGCCTTGGCGGGGGGCAGAGGGCCCATGGGCGAGGGCCGTGGGCGAGGGCCGTGTGGGCGAGGGGAGGGGCCCCAAGAAGGCTGCGGCCGCTGCCCATTGCTGGCTGGTGCTCAGTCGAGGGCGGGCGCGGTGCGGGAGAGGTCAAAGCCACGGCGCCGCAGCGCCTATTTGCTGTGCATGTCGAGTAGTCGAGTAGTCGAGTAGTCGAATCGTAGTAGTACACCTGTACTTGCATCGCCGTAGGTTAAGGCGACGGCCGCACGCGGAGATACGAAGTGCCTCCGAGTGTGGAGAGTCTGAGTGCCCAGAGTGCAGACACAGTGCAGAGTGCAGGCCCGGTTGCAGAGGGAGTGGGTTCGTTGCGACAGAGGGCCCCCCTTCCCTTCCTCCCCGTCGCCATGCCTACAGGCTGGGTACGCAGCATACATACACATACACACATACATACATGCCACATATGTACATACACATACATACATACATACATACACGGCCCCCCTTCGCACCTGCCGTCTTGGACTCCCCTTTGGCCTGCATTGCATGGCCGTCTCCATGACCCGAGTAGCGTAGTCCGTCTTGAGATAACATGCCGCCCACCACTTCTCGACTCGGCTCAGACTCCAGATCAAGTTGGAAGCCATCGGGCAGGCGAGCGGGTGATGGTTCGCGCTACCTGTAGGCCGTGCAGCGCGGGTAGCACGCCTAAGCCAGATACCTGACCAGGGTGCTGTGCGGTTGCGGCATGCCATGCATGTGCGCCTGTCTTTGTTGCTTGGGAAACAGCTTGTCTTGTTGGCATCCACATTGGTCCTGTTTGCGCGAATCCCGTCTCGAAGCGAGACGACCAGCCTGTCCAACAAAATCCATATCATTGCAACTTTTTTTGCATAAACTACAACGGTTGGCTATTGACCAACACCGTGACATTGCCATGAAAAATAAAAAAAGACGCTGCAAATTTCGTTCGGCCTCGCGCCGTCAAACGCCAAAACACCATGCAATCATCCCAACCGGGCCCCTTTTGGTGGTATCCGAGAGCTGCCACGCTCCAAAAATACTAGGAAACAAGACAATGCTGTTCTACCTTGCATGCCCCTGGCACATGTCGGGCTATGCTCCAAAGTAATAGTAATAGTGCGAGATAATAATAATAATAAAAAAAGGCTCATCAAAGGCTGAGATGCGTCTAACATGACTGCGGCATCCAGAAAAAAAGGTGTGGCCGAGGGCTAGAATGCGAAACCAAAAAGTGGAAACAGTCGTCTACTTCATCATCGGGAAGCCGGCGCATCGCTCTCGGAGGACGCGTCCGCCTGGCGGAGGTGTCAGGGGAGGCGTAATCGCTGCCATCGGCGGGATCGGCAACATTCGGATGTTGTCGTCTGCATCGGCGCCCTCACGGGTGCCCCATGTAGTCTGATCAACAAATGTCAGTCATGTCAAAGATGAGCTGCCAGCGATAGTGCTGGTTGCGCTTGGTGTGGGTGGCGGATGGGAGAACATACCTCTGTGACGGTGATGCAGCCGTAGAGCTTGATAAGGTTGTGGAAATAGCCGAAGAGAATCGAGACGGGCACGAAGCGGACATCGCCGGGGTTTCTTAGCAGATGCGGCACTAGCTTGATCGTCTTTGCAAAGACCCAGTGCGCGATAAACAGTGTCCACAGAAGCGAGCGCTGCCACTTATCGGCACGCGACAGTTGACCCTCGTCAGCTGGGTAGTATCCAGTCTCACAGAGGGCAAAGTAGGCCGATGCAAGCAGGGCACAGTCGAGCAGGAACGCCCACTGGGTTACGGTGGTCTGGAAGACGGCATAGAGTGACCATGGGTACCTCTGTCGCGTCAAGTGGTGTCAGCAAAAGGGTCATTATGCACAACCGGCTAGTGAAAAGAGGGGCAGGCTTGGCGTCTCGACGACGCGAAATTTGTGCAAATATTGGAACTAGCAAACTCACCATCCACATGTAACCCTCGGTCAAGCTAGTCAGGTTGCTCCTCCAGTTGGAACGGACCCAACGCAGACATTGCCGCAGGTACTTGGAGTCGTCTTCGAGCGTCGTCTCGACTTCGCACTCGCGGTGATTCTGCATCTGAATTTTCCAGTTGTGCGAAAACAGCCAGCGGGTGATGAAGTTGTCGTCGTCGGCGTTGAGGAAGTGGTCGCTGCCCCATGTCTCGTGTGTGAAGCCATAGGTGAAGTTGGGGTCTTGCAAAATTTCAGATCGATAGGCTACGGCGCGGCCGGACAGACAGGGCAGGCCGCCGTCTATCCAGTTGCAGGCGGTGCAGTCGAAATTTCTCCTGACCAAGTAGATGGCACCTAGAAATTCCCAAATGTTAGAGCGGTTGAAGCGGCGAATCTGCTGGTTGGTGCCAACTCCGCCCACGCGTGGGTCCTCAAAGGGAGCCAGGATCCATTTGGTGAACTTTTCAGGCAGCCAGACGTCGTCGTCGAGAAGAAGCGTGATCTTGGTCTCAACCTCGGGAATGGCGCGGCACAGCTGGCGACGCTTGTTGGCCTGGCTGACGGACAAGACCTGGATAATCTTGGGGCTGCCGAGCTCTTCGACCATCTGATAGACACGCTTGACACGCGAGTCAGGCGTGACGAGTAGCAATTCAAAGGGCTCGAGGCGATATGCGCTTTGGACCGTCTCTTTTAATTGCTGGAGATCCTCGGCAACGGTGGGAATGATGACCGTCATGTCCTTGGAGGTGATTGTTGGGTCGTCGACAGGCTGCATGGGCGTATATGTCCAGTTGCTGGCGAGATTGACCCAAAGACGGACATAACGAAACAAACTATGGCAGCGAGTCAGTATAGTCCCAAGAGCAGGAAGGAGGAGTAGTAGTAGTGGTGGTGGTGGTGAAGGTGGTAATGGTGATGGTTGTCAACATACAAAAGCACGACAAAGATACACAGCCAGCTCCAATTAGGGAACAGGGTCAGTGAAAAGGGAAACATGGCGGTGGCGGCCAACGAGTGTGGGAGTGCGGGATGTGAGCTTCGACAGAGTATGGTAGACGAAGATCACATCGAATGGTGGGAGTGAAAAGCCGCTTGCATCGGGGAAGAAGCGGAAGTGACAGGTATTTAAACACGTATGCTTGCGAGCGGGCTAGGGCGGCGAGGACATGTTTCGCTTCCCGGCGCTGTTTAAGCTGCATGAGATTCCCTTAGCAGACTTTGGGGTAGTGTGAACATGGCTGGAGCATGAGGTAGTTACGAATTTCCAGAGGCAACATGGGTGGGGGGGGAGGGGCGACACGAGTCGGGAATAGCACATGCGCCTTTGTGCCAAAGCGTCATCCCATGGATGCTGGATCCCGCCAGCCGTTGAATCGCTCGCATACGCCTAGGCACCCTGGATGCAGCGCTGTCAGGGATCGACTGCACGCACTGTGGTGTGCGTTGCTGACCAGGGCCATTTGCGGTGGTGCAACCGCCCCGCGGCTGCTCCGGTGGTGGTGCTGGTGGTGGTGGTGCTCTGGTGCTCTGGTGCACACACAGGCAGGCCGAGGACGAGGGCACGAGACAGCCTGCCTGTGCCCCCCCACCACAACCACGGCCACCACCACAACTACCGAAGACGACGACGACAACAACCACGACGCCTCCCACCCGCCATGCTCACCTCATGGCGCCATCCTGGGCCAAGGCGCGCCGCCCGCCTGTCTGCCCCAGTTGCTATTGCATGGCCGTCCTCCTGACGCCCCAGGCCGGCGGCGGGCTGTGCTGTGCGAGCGATGCGGCTGATGATCGATGGGTCCATGGCCAATACTCTGTGCCCCCGCTTGGCGCCAGACCATCTGAGATCAATTGCTCTAGGCCTGTAAGTTGCTCTGCCTAATAGTACTACTGTACATACTTGCCCGCGCTGCCCACTGCCCATTCATTGCCCATTGCCCACTCTTTGCACGTCCTCCACGGTCCATGCGCTAGCCGCTGCAAGCGGAGTCGTCCACTCCGGCCCCAGCACTGGCTCCAGCACCAGCACCAGCACCAGCACCAGCCAGAGCCATACGCGCTCATGCTGGCCCTGCTCATGCTCGCCTGGCGGCAGGGCTGGCGTCTCCAGCCTGCATCGCGACGAGCTCCCACTCCCGCCACTGCCAATTGATTGCCTGCGCCGCCTGCACTCCCGCCACAACACGAGCGAGCCCTCGGTATCGTGGTGTTGCAGCCGCTGCAACCATGGCTCAGCTTTCCAGGGTCCCTTTTTTTGCTAAATTAATCCATCTGTCAACCTGTAGCCGAGCCTTTTCCTACCCTGCAGCCGCGGCGCGACCTGGGGCGACGTACTTGCTTGCCCTGACGCCCGCCTCGGTCATGTGATTCGCCAGCTCGCCTGGCTGCCCTCGCGCCCTCTTGCCCTCCTGCCATTCATCCATCCGCTAGTGCCGTGTAGTCCTCCTACGTGGGCTGATACTTTGTTCCCAACCCGGACTCATTTCCACTTGCAGAACCCGCTCGACTGATGAGCTGCATTCAATTTCCACTCTGCCGCTGCCCCTACCACTTTGGAAAGGTACCTGCTCCGGATCAAGACTTACATGGCCCGCCTTCCGCCTACATCGTCACCAAACTGCCCACCCACTACCTTTACCCTCCTATACGCTGCTGCAGAGACGGGGTTGCTGTCATGCTCTTGCAGATCCAACCCTCGGCCCGCGAAATCACTTACGCGCACCCAATAGCCTCGTTGACCCGCCTTGTGTCCTCCTCAGCCTGCCTATGCATCATGCATGTAATATATCATGGTGGGTGGCCGCCCATCCTGTGAGCGATCCAACGACACTCGGCCTGGGCGTTGGCGCCTTCCCTGCATGAAATTCCCTTTGTCACTTCCATCAACATCCTCTGCATCAATACACATAGAAATGTATTTTGCACCACCTCTTGCTCCTCGACTTGATCCTACCACCCCCTCGAAAAATTGACATGCTCAAAATGCCCCGGTTGCCCCCAACGCTGTCAGACTAATCCCACAAAAAGGCCGAGACTCTAGTATTACACGCGCCCATACGAGATTACCGCATACGGCAAAACTACTGACCGTCTGTGTACTCTGATCACGACACTTCCGGGAATTGCGTCATCTACCATAGGGCATGGCGGCAAGCTGATCCTCCGCGTATTGCGGATCGTGTGCCGCTTCCTCGCGAAATGCCGACCTTGTCGCTGTTGACATGCAGCTGCGCGCTTCTGCACGGCATAATGAGAGGCAGGGACCCAAGAAGTGTACACATATAGAGCCTCAAATGCCATAGTGCACCTGCCAGTCGCAAGGCTGAAATTGTCCCTCTATCTTCTAGCCATGAGAGCCTCGTTGTGCAAATCGCGACCTTTGACCATCTTTTGCTCCCCTCTCTCGCACTCCAAGCAATCTTTGCTCACTGACTAGTCATTTTCCTATCCGACAAGGGCCGGTTGGTCTGACTCTATTTTCCTACCTGCTGTAACCCTCTCCACAATCTGGATACCATCTACCTAATTGGGCCACCCGCTCTCGAAGTTGCCTGTTTCGGAAGTCCTCTTGAACCCATACCAAGCCTCAACTGACGAGTCGGGCCACACGTCCCTAGTGGGGACAGGGGGGTTGAACATCGACTCCCATGATGTGTTTCTCTATAAGAAATTTTTTAACCACAGCCTGGGCAATGGCATGGTCTTTCAGTGTCTATTGCAGTTGGCAAAGATCTGGCATGATATCCATCCCGTCGCTTGCATCCTTATCAGCAACTGTTGCAGCGCTAGATTCGCATCTTGTCTTGACTCGCGCAACATTCCGAGAATGTTTTGTAGATGGCTCTGGAAACATAGGCTTTCTTCCAGCCAGCCCTGGTCGAGTGTAAGGACAGCAACACGCCAATGACGTAACAAGAGCGCAAGCGCTGACCAGAACAGACTGGTGGATTTAATTCATCTGAGACATGTCAGGGTCATCATCGAAGATGGCGAGTGGTTTTCCTACTCCCACGATACAGAGATACAGATGTAAATGATCCCTGCAGTCCACTAATTGACGCGCAGGTTTTTTTTTCGGTACAGCTGCCGAATCAGAAGAGACTGCGCAGCTGTCCGGTGGACAACATTGTCGCTTTCTTTTCGACCATCTGACATTACCATCTCACAAACCACCATCGATACACCTTGCTATATTGATAAACGATCAATAGTTCTGATCGGCAGGAGATGATGCACCGGTCGAGGTCATTCGCTTACTGACTGCACCCTTAACAAAAGAGCGTTACTCCTTGCAGGTCCCGGCGCAAGGCATCCCTCTAACGATACTTGTTGAATTGGTAGCAGTACAAAGACCTGCATCCAAGCCCCCATGTCCCCTAAAATCCTGCTGTCCGGTCAGTGACAACTTGTCTTAATCCCAGTCCGTCCGATCATCGAGTGAAACGCTACCCAGCCTTGGAATCCATTGCGCGCACAGATAGATCGGGTGTCAGCAGATACGGAGCTGTGCCCATGCTGTGTATTCTGGATTTCGCCAGTAGTCGCGATACAAATCGCGTATGGTGGAATTGAACGGGCAAACAAGCGGGCTGGGGGCGGGTGGTGTGGTTGCTGGCTTGCGAGCTACAACCAACTAGGCCGCTAGCGTCCTTCAGTCACATGGGGGCTTGATTTCACACATGCACACCATCCACATCTAGCACGTATTTAGCGACGGGTTCAGTCAAGCGCACAGATACATGGTAAGCAGCAGCGCCTCTAAGGGTCAGATTTTGGCAGAAGCGCCGCACGCTTCTCAGCGCTGGGGCCAGGGTTATGGCCGCCATCCCTGGCGGCCACTATATACGAGTGCGCCATTTGTTCGGATCGCCTGTCTTGAAATGCTCTAGACAACCATGGGGTGGCACCCTGCTCGTTCCCCACACACTCACACCAGGTTGCTGCCGAGCTATCGAGGGACGCAGACGTCATTTGGCCTGGGTATGTAGATAGCAATCGATCCGGCTGATCACTAGACCCCAGGGCGGGTGCGAGGGGTGCGCGCGCGACACCTTCATTGCTCGAAATCTACCGGCCTTGACTGTGTTTCCAACTGTATGGTTACTTTCGGTCCTAACGTCGTTGGCTGTGTCGAACGATATTGACTATTATCCCGCACTACCGGAAATTGAGGGCCGCTGCAACTCTCACTATGTCGGGAGGCCAGGGTAAAGTTGATTAACCAAATCTGCAAGCCTCTGCAGACACCTAGCCGCTACCGTTCAGAAACCCTCAAGGCTGGTGGGCAACCACGACCCTGCTTACCTTGCGTGAACGGTGTGCAAAGTCTTTAGCTGCATCCCACTGGATGAGTATGGTAAGCCTTCTTTTGTCTTTGTCCTCTTGCCTACAACGTTCGATACATTTTCATCTCGGTTGAGTAGATTCTTGCTCGCTGAACAAAGCCTTCCCAGACCCCTTAGTCAGTGAACAATTAACATATCACTCCCGTAGGGCATACAGTCGAACTTGCTACTCTGTCGCAATCTTCACGAGGCCATACGCACCCACATCACAAAAGTTTTACAAGCGATGCGAGCGATCGACAACTAGAGGATCAGGCGACATTCCCTTTGATGTCGTGCATACGGCACGCCACGCCGCAGTGGTCACCCAAACGCCCAAACACCGCGTGTGATTGGCATATCTGGCAAGGAACAGGTCTCTTCACAGCATCAACTGACTCGCCTGCCAGTTCAAATCTAGATTGATTATCGAGATGATAAGCATGCGTTCACAGGAAAACTCAGTGGCAATAAGCATAATGCTTATGCCCTCGTATCGAACGATGCCCTCTATTCCAGTCGACGCGCGTCGGACCCATGCGAATATGCATGCAACAAACATCCAAGCAGACATATCCAACAGGTCTAGGCCCTTTGGCATTTGCTCAATCCCTTGATCACAGATGCTGCTGTCATGCAGATTGTTGAGCTCACCTTTTCATATGAACGGCGTTTAGAATTCCTCTAAGACTCCTTTACGTGCTGCAATTCAATGACCTACAAGCAGTAACGATACTACGAGACCACTGGAACTTTCTATTTTGGCCTACCAGCAACAAAACTATGACAGTAGATCACGATCGTTGGAGGCTCGGCAGACCGCTATCTCCGTTTTCACATTTCTTCTGTACCAAGACGCTACAATACGGCTCATTCCACGGAGAATACCCACATGGTATGGCCTTGTTGTGTCTGACAGCTTACTCTGATTTTACGTGCTATGCATTAGTGTGTCATCGAAAATTCCCTTTTCTGGCTATGGTATACATGGGAGGCGTTTATTCTAAAAAAAAAATCATCAAGGGGATGACCAGGAAGGTATGTGACCTCCAAGGTAGGAATATGGGGCAGAACTGTACGAAGCTTTGCCTCCCTGTCGCGCGAAGCGCGACATGAGCTGAATATACGACGTCTCATCTCTTGAGGCACTGTACAGGGTAGGCGTTCCAGGAATAAGACTGTATGCACGTAATCGGTGCCCGGCCTATCTTTCTACTCGGTTACACTTTTAGTTACATGGCTGCTGCATTTGAACGAAGGGATGTCCTGTTTTGCTTGGCGGTGCATCTTGAACACGATAGCGATACTCTTAAGGTCCTGCCACTACCCGTCGACCCACCACTTACAGATTACACGCGACACGCGACCATCAAATCATTCTTGCATCAGAAGAGCTGCGTGGACCGCCACTGAGCTTTTTGATGCTGAATGTCGACCCGCACATTGGCAAAAGAAGAAAAAGCAATGTCTCCTGTATTCTGCAGCCTGCAGTCCAGTAACATCACGCATCGTAATGACAGGGGCCTCATTGGACAGAAACACATTAGGCTGTAGGATGTGGGGAGAATTGCAGAACCATTCAGGCGTCATCCCGGAACGCCAACCGCTACACAGCAATCGAATCAGAGATGCTTACATTTCCAGCTCAAATCATTTGAACTCACTGCACCTCTGACTGCAACTTGAGTCATAAATTCACAACCACCAAGAAAAGGCCCAATATCTTCTTGTAATCCTACAGAATCCTACCACCACACCCTCCCGCGTCATGACGATGCCCTATGACAGCGCACCACCTACTCCATACAGCCCTTGATGCCGTTGCGAGCCACTCGCCGGGTATCCTGCAAGATATGCCAAGCCCATACAGAACCCAGCAAACCGTGCAAGTTCCCTAGATGGATCCCGGAGGCTAGAGCCGGATGGTCGGTTAGTACCGCAGTGCGAAAGATTTCTGTTGCTCGAGAATACGGTAAAAACTCAAACAGGCCAAGCGCTTGCATACCATCGACCCTTTTTTTTGCCCTTATCTGCCGCTCGCCGAACCGCGACCAGCCGGCTAAACCCTTGTTTCCGTCGCCATCGAACGTGGCATGCATAAGTAGTGATGGCAGGATCCATACCGTGGGGGGCGAAGACACACACAATCAAGCATGCATGCTTCCTGTGGCTGGTTTTTCCCGAGCATCTCCGGTTAGATATCCTGGCTCCTTTTGAGAGGATCTCCAAGACCTCTTCCTCTTTTTTTTTACCCTGTTTATCTGTGGCAAGCAGAAGTACTCAAAGGGTACTCTTTTACATACGAAATTCTTCGACTTTTAATCTTTTTGCCAAAATTCCAATCCGGAAAATGCAGATGCAGGGTGTCATGTACAGTATGCACAGATGCATTGTTTTCCCTTTTGATAAGATCCTTTTTTTTCTTTCTTGTCGACTTGCTTTGATATTGTGAAGAGTTGGGATGCATATGCACCATTGTTCAGATTGTACAGTGTCCGATTAGGTATGGTAGGCAAGTACTTGCATTAAGTCAAGGCATCACCGCTTCCTTTTTTTTTCATTACAGCACAGCAAAGCAAGAGTTCAGCAGAAATGAGAAAGGAAATGATAATGATAACAGCATTGATGTGTCTACTCCCAGAAGAGGACTCTACGCCGATGTACATCGTCTTGGCTTTCTTGCCCAACCTAACACACCATCTTGAAAACTCAAATCTCAATCCTTCACACCCGCACCCTTTGCTTTTCCAATAATGTAGCAAAGCACAAAATGCCGATTTATGTTCAGGGATTAAAAAAAAATCAGCAATAACAAGTATTTACCAGAAAACCTCCAGAATACTGTTAACAATCTTTTACCCCCTTAGCCATCCCCTAAAATAAATATCAACTTTGAAGAAGAAAAAACCCCCTTCCTCCTTCGCCCAACCTTTTTTTTTGCCCAAGTCATATCACTCTGATCACAAAATAAAACATGAATCACAACACTACCTGTATCTCCCACCAGACTCGAAAAAACGCAATGAGATTTTCAACTTTCGCTTTAGACAAGAGTAGATAAAAGGAAGGGGGGGGGGGGGGGTTGGATGAGATGAAGTGGGACGAGACGGTAAGGGACGAAAGGCAAGCAAGGTAACGAGGACGAGATGAATGGGTAAACTTGCAAACAACAGAACTTGTATCCAGAGAAATGATATTATTGAATCCAGTTGTAACATCAGTGAAGCTTATTGAATAATCATGAATTTTCCACAGAACATAACTACCTGTACACTTCAACCATCTTTAGTCAAACCCCTCAAACTCCCCTTCCCCTTCCCCTTCCCCACCCTCACTCCCCCTCTCCCCCCTCCTCCTCGCCTTCTCCTTCTTCTCCCTGCGCATATTCTCAATCCGTCTCTCATACCCACTCTTACTACTAATCCTACTCGCTTTACCTGTCCTCCTCGCCTCAACCCCCCTCCTCTTAAGCACCTGCCTATCCCTCTTCGACGGCGTCGGAAGCGCATCTAGCAACCATTGTTTGACACTCCCCTCATCCGCACTAACACCCCTCAGCGCCTCAGATGCGCGAATAACGTTAGCAATGAGTTT